ATAAATTTTGCAAAAATAAGGATATTAAAATTTTTATTTAAATAAAATTCTCATCACATGGTTTCACAAAATATTTCAAAATGGAGGAAAGGGTTACAAGTTCATATCAAATAACTACTACAAGACCTATTCAAATACAACAGTTTCAAATAATATTCTAAGTCCTATAGTAGTTCCATCCACCCTTTTTCACTAAGACCGATGCTGATTGTCTTAATTACCTAAAAAATGAATGTAAGGGTGAGTACTCTACACTACTCGTTACACAAACAAACAAAGTCTCACATTGCACTTATTTTACATTATTTCTAACACAATTCATAAAAATACATTCACAAGAAGCAATACTATTTCATTCAATTTAATTCAAACACCGATGCACTCACGATATCAAACAGTTTATACACACAAAATTAACAAATAATAATCTCATGCACTCGTTGCACGCCAGCCACACTCACGATGGCACGGTGATCAGAGATTTTCACTATAGATGGTCGCCGGTTACCCTCGCCTCACAGATACCACGTGGGCAGTCACGGGTCACTCAACAAAGGTAGTGGTCAGAGGTATAGTCAGGAAGAGAGTGTGTGGCCTGTGATGTACCCGCTCCCACTATCGGTATCACCATCACTCCCTCTTTCCCAAGGTATTTCTATTGTCCTCATCTTTCACACCCCCAGTGTATCGTTGAACCATTCACAACACATTACACTGGCGTTAATCACGCCTCATTTACACACATTGCAATATTCATTCTCAGTATACGGTATAAAGCCTACAGTCATACATAATACACAGCACTAGGCCCTCATTCGTTTTATAGTACATGGCACAAAGCCTATATTTATTCATATTACACGGCCTTTGAGCCCACACTTGTTCATAATATTCATTCAAATATATGACACAAGTGCCCACATGCATTTACAACATAATTCATTTCAACCACACACACAACATTCACCATTATACAAAGCTCTCGGCCTACACTTATTCACATTACACAGCGCACACATTGCCCTTATTTACTCACACAATACTTTCAACATAGTTCACATTTACATTTCTCATTCATCAAGTATTAGCATACTCACACCACATAATCACCCATCATGGGTTTCCATATGGCAAATTCTATCAAATACATACTTCCTACCCTCTATCTCACTCACATTGCAATATTCATCAAAATACACGACAATCAAACCCAAAGAGATAGGGTAGAGTCCCTCTTTACCTTGGATTGAAGACCTACACTCGAATTCAACCACAGAAATGCTCCCCACACGGATTTCGGCCTATATACATGGAAGAACTCTATGAGAATCCAAGGAAACCGAGAAACAGAAAAAAGGGATGAAAAACGAAAACCTTAACCATTAATACTCACCTTCAAGCTTTCCCAACACGAATCCAACCTTCAATCAAGCTCTCGAACGGCTTTGGAGGCAATATAATCAGTGTGATAAGGTTTTGGGTTGAAAGAATCGAAGAAATTTCAAAGGAAATGTGAGAAATAACCTTTTCTCGAACCCTAACCCTCTTTAAATCCTCTCTGGTCATGACACTCTCACTGCAGCGAGGACCTCGCTGCATCGACACCCTCCCTCGCTACAGTGAAAAGCTCAGACAAAAATGCACTCTGGTTTCTGCAAAATCTCGCTACAGCGAGACCCTCTCGTAACAGCGAGACTGCACCTAGAAATGCAGCCCAAACTGTGGCTTTGTCGATACAGCAAGAGACCTCTCGCTACAGTGACAATGTAACAGTTTTATCCTTCTCTCCCAGTGCCTTCTCGCTACAGCGAGAAAGGCACAGTTTCATGCCTCAAACCCAGAGGCCTCTCGCTACAGCGAGAATGCCTTGCAGCAGCATCTACACTTAGCCTGTTTTCAGCCCAATCAATTCAATCCAATTACATATATATATACACACACACACACATCTATGCATTATACCCACAAATATCATCATTACGCATTCAAATGCAAATTATATCTTTCACATTTACACGTACATATAAACATATATACATATATCAATAATAATTAAAATTACAAAATTTGGAGCGTTACAAAATGAGGATGTTACAGAATCAATATCCAAAAACTTTTTATACTTGCACTTAGAACATAGACTCCTAACTTTTTGGTTGGTGATGAATTATTGCAAATTAAAACAAGCACGTATGAATTCCTCTACACCCTCAACAAGTTCAAGTTTTGTCCTTCTGGCCCGACCTAGGTGCAACCTATCATACATCTACTGACAATTTTCAAAAAACATCTGGATCAAGAATTATATAATCCTAATACAAATATATAATGATGTATCAACCTTCTATTTTATATTACACAAATTTATAGTGTAAATTTTGGTAGAATCTCCCTGAATATATAAATATTTCCTTACGTTTGTTTACACCTAATACAAAAATTAAAATTTTTCCCACAGATAACAATATATTAATCAATGCATAAAAAACATATACATCACAATCCTAAACTATTCTAGAGCACATCTCCTTATGACTCTACAACATGCATATTCTACAATCTACACAAACATAAACAATCCCACAGCACATAATAATCAGGTTTGGAAAAGGATCTCTACGCCCTTTCCCTCAATCATACAATTTCTAGTCCTATAACTCTATCTTAGAAATTTTAAATCTCTATTATACATCAAAAATTAAAAAATTAAACCAATTAAAAGTTAGAGTATCGTACCTGGACCACAGTGATGCAAATTATTTTTCAAATTGATGCTTCAATCACTCGCAAAGACCAAAAAATTAAACCTCTTAGAGAGAGAAAAAGAAAGGGACACGAGAGAGAGGGAAAATTATGCAAACTAAGGAAAAAGAAGAAGGAGACGCGTTTTGATGTGTTTCGCATATTACAGACGAAAAAATTTGTCTATAAATGATTTAATTAAACGATGCATTTTACAAGTTCAATTATAGACGGATCTATCCATTCGTCTGTAAATTCGGCAAAGACAATTCCAAACAGTTTGTAATTTATGTCTATAATGCTTCGTGCCAAATGGCAGGCCAAATACAGATAGATTTCTCCAAAAAATAAAATTGGATAATTCGTTTGTATAATATAAATGGATAAAATATGTATGTAATTTGTTTGTAAATAGCGTGTTTCTGTTAGTGAATTTTTTTTAAAAATTGGAGTTTTCTTTACATTGATTGTTGATATTTTAAAAAATAATAATAATAATTTAAACTAATATTAAATTAAAAGAAATGCTTAATACAAAAAAAAAAATATTACTCAATGAATTCCTAAAATCATTTGATAAAGTTCCAAAAAGTGCTCACACTTAATAACTTAATAATTAGTACTCAAAAATTTTATACAAGATTGGTTGAATTAGAAAATATAAATGCATAATATTAAAAAAATTACCTGATATGATTAAAAAAAAAACTCATTCTTTATAATTTTCTCGATATAAAAATGTATTTATTAAAAAAAATTATGATTTTGAGATAACAAATATCTTAGACACATTTTAGAAAAATCGATTAATTGTTTCATTTATTTATTATTAAAAATTTCTTTTATCAAAGTTTTTGTGTTTATTTTTTTCATAATAGTGATTATTAAATAAGAGGTTGGTAGAATTTTTCATTTTGAATAAATTCTTATATCACTTTTAAAAATTAAAACATTTATATTAACCGTTACCTTAATTTGTCCGTGGATCTTTGGGTTTACCAGCAAGAAGGTCATTTCCTTAGAAGAACAGTAACAATAATCGGGAGATTCGAGGAAACAAGAATTTGGAATGTGAACAATTATGTTAACCGGCCACGATCAGGACATGAACATAGTACAAAGGAGATTAAACTACATATCTTATGAGGGAATCTGGAAAGCAACGATTTTCAATTGTTGATTTTCATGCTTTAAAAGTTCAAAACAGCACTTACTTTAGAAATTCATACTGCAAAACTATCACCATTATTAAACAACTCAGCTATATTAAAATTGATCAAATCAATTAAACTTTTAAACATTGTTTAAATCGCATATGGAAGATTAGTCTGATCGAAGCATTTGTTGTCTCAGACTTTTATGTTTGAATCGTGGCGTGTGGACAAAAGGAAATGAGTGGGGATCAACCATAGTTTCTCACAATAGTTTCCCCAACAACTATAAAATAACACAAGAAGAAACAAACAGATGTCCCACAACAATTTGGAGAAATATTATTTTAACCAATTTTTTTGCAATTTAATTTGAGTCAAGAATTAGACATAACCATAATAATTTCAAAATAAATTAGTATAAAATTATTATTTTTTTCATTATCTCATCCCTTAATTATTCTTTGACTAATGTTTAGGATTCAATTCTACAACATAAAATGAAAAGTTCTAATGCAAGTTTTCCTCTAAACTATTTGCCTGGAATTTAGACATGATAATTTAAGAGAATGCTTTATGATGATTAAATGTAAAATTCTATCTTGATCTTTAAAAGAATAAAAAAATATATAATAATTAATGAGATCAAATAAGATTAAAAAAATTCTATAAAATTACTTTGTAAAAAAGTTATTTTTCAAACAATATTGTAAAAAGTAAAAAGGAAATCAAATAAAAAAAGTTATAATTTTTACATTCTTTTAAAGATCAAGAACTTAATTAAAATTATTTTAGTACAAGAGAACGTAAAAAATATATATTAACACGTACTTATTATATTAAAATTGTAGTACAATTCTTATATTGATTGACATGATATAAAAATTGTAATATTTAAATTTCAAGATGAGGTGTGTGTCTCTGATTATAATGCTCATCATTGGTGGCGTCGTCAGCTGAGTTGGAGATTCTTCTTGTCCATTTATGAATATGCTCCATGCTTCTTGCATTGTCGTTGAGGACGCTTCTCTATATATTATTGTTTGACCAGAAAACAGGTTGATTTATATTGGACTTCCATTTTAACCAATCATAGGCACTTTGGAAATGGAAGTTGATGCAGCAACGATGATGGGTGTTGGAATTTGTGTGGCATTTGTTATCATACTGCTAACGAAAGCACTGAATTGGTTGTGGCTGGAGCCGAAAAGGGCAGAGAGATTCCTCAGAGAACAAGGCCTAAAGGGAAACTCATACACACTTTTCTTTGGAGACATCAAACCAATGACAACCATGTTAAAGACAGCAAAATCTAAACCCATAAACATCAACGATGATGTTGTACCTCGTCTCACTCCTTTTCTACATCAACTCCTTAAAATTTATGGTATGCTTCTGATGATCTTCATTATACATCTCTAATGCTCCTCATGTTTGACTATTGCTTGTTATTTACCTTTTCATTGAGCATAATTATTATATATGTTTATATCATTACTCTTTCGTCTTGGTGAAAAATAATCACCAGTTTATATAACTGTTTTCGCAGGTAAGAATTCGTTTTCATGGTATGGCCCCAAGCCTACAGTGAACATTATGGATCCTGAAGCAATAAAAGAAGTTCTGAATAGGATACATGACTTTCCAAAGCCGACCTACAATCCACTTGCCAAGTTCTTGATAACAGGACTTGTAGACCTTGAGGGTGAAAAATGGTCAAAACACAGAAAGATTATCAACCCTGCATTTAATCTCGCCAAGCTCAAGGTTTTTTCTCATCATATTTTATGTCATTTTCTAACTTCAACTTATACGATTATCAGAAATATTGGATTGGGCAAGACTAGAATATCCGATACTCAACTCAGTTTGGGGTCTATATGAAATGGTTCTCTCATCGAATGTGTGTTGTATTGTGCATTCTGAGCTTTCCAAGTAGGATTCTTATTTCTTCGCTGTAATATGACAGCGGTTACAGGAAGATATGTCTTAAACCTTACGAAAGTCATGTTATAAAGATTTTAATCATATATATACTTAGAATATTAAACAAAGTCATTTATTTTTATATTTTTTTCAACTAAATGTAGCTCAAACATACTTTTAACAAACTTGAAAATCTTATTTTGAGCACAAGTCAATATAACTTGGAAAAATTATCATTTCTCTTAAAGAGTCATTTATCATTTTTATTTTAGTTATTCTGTTAAATTTTATTAATTAACTTCATAGAGATAGTGAAGTGACATGATAAATAAAATATAGTATACTAATATGCTTCTTAGTTATTTAAAAATATTACAAAATAAATTAAAAATACTTCATTTTCATTTAATTCCTGATGAAACGTAATATTATGAGGTAAAAAATTACATATTATTTTTCATAACTTGTGTTGTAACATTCTTAATTGACATAGTTAAAGACATTATTATGCTATATTGTACTTGTTACATTACCATCTTTGTGAGAGTAAATTAATGAATTCTATCAAAAGGACTAAAATAAATAACAAATTGTATATTTAAAAATTAATTTTAATTTTTTTCTTTTAAAGGACAAATTAAAAGTTATTTTTTAAGGACGAATTTGATATTTTGATAAAATATATAATTTAAAAAAATTAATGGAGTTAAGATCACACTCTATTTGAAATTAAATTAAAAGTGAAAGCAGCATTATTTATGCACTTTACAAAAGATTTGTTGGGATAATTTGTTCTATAGACAGACACATCATAGTTACAAATAAGAAATGTGCTTCTCCAACTAAATGTCATTTGAGGGATCCAACTTCCTTGGTTCCATCTCTCTCTCTCTCTCCAAACTAAAAGCTAAAGAGTTTCACATTTCAATACCTTAACAATTTCACGTTCTCTGCGAAGAAGCATTAGTTTTTCAATCGTGATCTCTCTCTTTTTTCACGTGTCAAATTTGTTGCAGCTTGTGTTACCTGCAATGTATCAAAGTTGCAGCGAGATGATAAACGAATGGAAGATGTTAATATCTGAAAAAGGAACAGGATCATGTACGGTAGATGTTTGGCCTTTTGTCAATAGCTTATCTGGTGATATGATTTCTCGTACGGCTTTCGGAAGTAGCTATGAAGAGGGGAGAAAAGTATTTCAACTTCAAAAAGAACAAGCTGAACTTACTGCCAAGGTCCTTCTTTCTGTTTATGTTCCAGGGTGGAGGTATGTTTGATTATATAATGTTGTCAACTTCAAATTGAATTAAATAAAATTTTATTAAAAAAATATTTATTATATTTGTATATGTCAATACAATAATTATTTTTTAATAAAATACTTAATACTCTTACTTAAATTCAGTCTTAAAAATTAGGGTTAAGTAATTGTTAATTGAAAAAAATATGTTTCTTCTAATTATATTATTGTTATCATGAGTTTTACTTCTTTATAATTATATTTGCTAAAAGTAGTAAAGATGAGTATTTAAATTTTTATAATATCATGATTCCATAGATACTATTCAAATAAGTAATAAATCAAATTTATGATTATTGTCAAATTAATCAATAAGTTTATTATATTTCAAATTATAATAAAGAGAATCAAAATAAATAGTAAATGAATGAAAAGCAGAGAAGAGAGACAAATTTAAAGAGTACTCAAAAAATTAACTAATTATAAAAAGATTAAGGGATTTAGATTCACTTATGAGCTTTTTTTTATTTTTTGCTTTATATCTTTTCATGGATTAATTTATGATCTAACGGTTAATCACTCATTAAGATTTTACTGTTATGATAATGCAATAATAACATTATTTTTCTCTATTAATATCTTTAATAATCATGCAAAACAATTAATGTAAATAAAATATGAAGAATCAATATATTTATTAATTAAATAAGTAATTAAAAATCTAAAATTTCAATTGATCTTCTAAAATTCTAAGTTTAATTGATCTCATGAATCCACTAAGTAGATAATGATAATTGTTTGTTATCTAATTAATTAAAAACTATTAAAAGTGTTCAATTCTTAATAATGAAATAAAAGTAATGTGACAAATACCATGAATATATTCTTTGGCTGTGAATTTAGTTACTTGTATTAATGAAAACATAAAATCAAAACAAATATTAAAAACAATTCATAATCTTATTTAAAAGAGAACCTAAAAGAAAAATCCTTATACCTAGACATTTTGACTCAAGGACTAAGAGATTGATCCTATGAGTGCTTAATAATTTCAAAACTACAATACTTTCACAACAGAGGAAGATAAAGCAAATAAAAAAAATTGATAAGAAATAAGTGTGATGAAGAGCTTGAAGAATGGCTTTGGGGTAATCCATGTGAGATAAAAATAAGACCGCTAAATAAGATATAGATAACAAAATAAAATATGAGATATCTTCAATGAGAGATAATGAAATAAGATTAAAAAAAAATCTCCAATGAAAGATAAGATATATTATTTGATTTAAACTTTTAAATTTTGAATTACACATAAGTGTGTTGACTTCATTTAATAATCAAGGTAAAAGAACAAAATATGATAAATTATCCTATCTAATCTTATTTTTTTATGTTTATTGAACATTTACTTATGATAACTAATCTTGTTAGGCTATCATATATTATCTTAATATTTTAAATTATTATTTTGACGAGAGTGATTCATTATAAATTATTGATAATTTTTTTCTTAGTACTCTTACTTCATACTTCATTATTATTTTATAGGAAAATTAATTATTCAAAAATATAATTTCAATAAATAAAATATTATCTTTAACAAAATAAAATTTAAAATATATTTTTCATAAAATATTTTTTTGTAGAAAATACTTTACTCATTTTATAAAATATATTTTAATCTTTAATAATTATTTTTTGTTTTAATGATAGTTTATTTCAAAAACAAACTTTAATTTTAAAAAAATAAGAAAACTTTATAATTATTCATCAAAAATTTTATATTATTTAAGCACAAAGATATTTTTAATTTTAATAAATTTTTAATATATATTTTTATTGAAAAGTTAAATGTTAAATTAAAAATTATTTTAAAAATGCATATTAATTTTTAATTAAAAGAGTAACTTTATCATGTAAATATAATTTATATCTTGTTTTCTTTTTTTGTTTATTTTAAACATTAATCAGGACATATACTATTATCTACTTTACTATTTTAACATATATCAAACGTAGGATAACACAGAGGTTTATAATTCTTTTATCCATCTCTCATACAGTCATATCCTATCATTTTTTTTATTATGTTTGTCAAATGGGTCTTAAATATTGTTACTCTTAAAATACTATTTAATTTTTTTCTGTTTCTAATAAAAAATAAAAAATAAATAAAATTAAATCAACTAATATAAGCTCAAATTAATAATTAACAATTCACCAATAATTAAAAAAAAAACTTCCAGAATGAGAGCTTTTTAATTATGATTTGGATAAAACGATGAAAAAAAACTGTAACATACATGAAGACCATCAAAAAAGGGGATTCAGACTCCTTCTAGTTGTGACAAGAGCTGGACATCTAGTTTCATTTTCGTTTAAGCAAAAATAAACTCGCTTAAGCAAAAATACAGAAAATGATAAAAAAATTTACGTAAAATTAGCTTAAGCGAATTTTTTTTATTTAATCGAATTTTGTAAATTTGCTTAAGCGAATTATTTTGACTTAAGCGAATTTTGCGTCTTCTCTCTTAGTCTTCTCTTCTCTTTATCTTTATACCTGACACTCCTTCCTCAACCTCCATATTCAACCATGTTTAATCTCTATATTCAACATTCTTCCTTCTCTCATATTTAACTCCTCTCTCCTTCTCCCAACTCTTTTTTCCCTCCACCTCATGCCCAACTCCTCTCTTCCTCTTCCCACTCTCACTCCACTCTATATCTATCTTTCATTCTTTCCTTCACAGCCAACTCTTCACCTTCTCTCCCTCCACCACTTGCACTCTTTTTCTTCATTCATCCTCTGTCCTCTCTTCCTTCCACACCCAACCTCTATCTCTCCAAATGCAAAAAATTCGCTAAAGCAAATATGTAAAGTTCATTTAAGTTAAAAATTTTCACTTAATCTAATTTTGTGTAAAATTTTGTAATCATTTTCTGCATTTTTTTTAAGCGAGTCCATTTTCGCTTAATCAAAAATAAAATTGGATATCCAATTCTCCGTCACAACTAGAGGGAATCTAAATCCCAAAAAAGGAGTTAGCATTGTTTAACTCATTTTTTCAACTAGACAAAATAATATTAGTTAGTATAGTCTGTCTAGTGATGAACTAGCGAATTCTTATTCCAAAGATTTAAAAAATAAAATAAATGAGAAGTTGAGTAATAAACAGTGAGCTGGTCCACCTAAAAATAATTCAAGAGTAAAAATTTTATTAACTTAAAATAATAATAACTAATAATTATATATATATATATATATATATATATATATATATATATAAAAGAGGCATGATCTTCTTATATCGGTTTAAGTTTAAAAATTCTTACGTTTAATCTGAATCTTTCATTCAACTTAAATCTAATGGGTTATAATTTTACTTTATTGACTGTTAGATTTAAGTTAAATAAAAGGCTTAAATTTAGTATAAAATTTTTTAAACTTGCACTGTTATAAGAAGATTGTTCTCCTATATTGGTTCAGTGGACCAATAGATTAATCCATTGTAAACCCATTTCAGCACGTTACAATGGAATAGGTTAGATTAGCCAATAAATATAAAAGCTTTGAAAACACCCGTGGATTTTTGTTGATTAAAATATATTATCTATTATCAAATCATTTTTTATTTAACACCCTATGCTTGCCGGCAAGGAGATTATCATAAGATTTTTTCTGTAATGTAACAACATAATTTGTTTATAATTTATAGAAGTATCCACTACATATAAATAATGAAGAAAGAGAAATAATAAAAAGCTCAATTAGAAGACCTTTCAAGCTAAGGCCCACTTTCCTTTTATATTTTAAGATTTGTACCAACAAAATTGAACAAGAGGATGAAGGAGATAGAGTATGAAATTCGAAATGTGCTTAGAGGAATTGTCCAAAAACAGGAGGCTGCAATGAAGACATGCAAAGCTGCAAATGATAACTTGTTGGGATTACTATTGGAATCCAATCAAAAGGAGATAGAAGATAATGGACAAAACAAGAATGTTGGAATGAACACCGATGATGTAATTAACGAGTGTAAGCTATTTTACTTTGCCGGACAAGAAACAACGTCGGTTCTACTTAATTGGACAATGGTGTTATTAAGTAGGTTTCCCAATTGGCAAACACTAGCAAGAGAAGAGGTCATCGAGATTTTTGGTACAAAAGAACCAGACTACGATGGATTAAATCGTCTAAAAGTTGTAAGTATTAATTACCATTTTATTCTTTTAAATTATTTTAAAATACTATTTTTTATAATTAAAACGAGAAAATTTCTTCTTAAATTACGTATAACTCGACCATTTATTATTCTAGAGTATGACTATAGATTATTGAGAGCAAATTACTTTAATAATTACACTTCTGTTTCACACTTTTGTACAAAACTTTTATGTATTTATAAAGTACATTTATATATATATATATATATATATATATATATATATATATTTAAAACTCTTATTTTGTATAAAATTGGAAAAATTACATTTTAAATTTTACATCACACAAAACTTCTTCTTTTTTTTAAGCATTACACGCATCTTATCTATTTTAAAATCCATTACGGTTACAGCCTGGCCTCTATGACAGTAAAAATGTGAATTTATTAAATTCATAAAGAATACAATTTTAAAGATAACACTACCATAATTAATCTAAGAGAATAGACATTTAAATACATTTTAACTATGTATCATTGTAATAAAAAATTTAATAAAAAGTCAATCACATGAATTATTAATAATTAAATCAATAGCATGTTCTTTTATTTTTATTATTTAATATTTAAAACTTATTTTAAAATTAATTTTATTCTATCACATCAATTATTCATGTGATTAAATTTTTATTAAAAATTTTTGTTGCGACCATTTTAAAAGCGTGTAATCTAAAAAATATGAAACTGTAATTTATCTTCTGTGTTATTCTAATTTAACTTTAAATTTCTTATGATTTGACTTGAATAATTTAATTTTTTTACTAAAATAAGCAAATTTATTTGTAATTCATTTATAATATAAAAGACATTGTGTATTAATGTTTAAGACATATTGAAAATTTTATCTAATCAGTCACAATCTGCAAAAGGGTACTTACAAAATCTGATGGTTGGGAGTTTGAGTGTAGCATATTTATTAGTTAGTGGGATTTTTCTTATAGATTTTACAAATAGAAAAAGTTGTGTAAAAGATACTAAATAGAAATAAATTGGAGTAATTTACCCTAAAATCAATGATACATTATATAAACAAAGTCATAATTTATTTTTTGTATTTATAACTTCGTTTTACAATTATAATAAACTTAGGGTATGTTTGTTTCCAATTTTTAAAAGAGATTTCTCTTTTTAAAACTAAAAATACATGTATTTTTAGTTTTTAAATGGAAACAAATATGCTCTTAATTTTTATTTTTTTAGTCATTTTCTTTACATCAAGAAGGGCACATAAATTTAATAAAAAAAAAATTACTGCTCCATATAATGTCAATAAAGCTAAATTTCACTGATTTGAATGGAAATTTATTTTAATTTTCTATAATGAGGGTTAAATTATTCTTTTCATTGACTAAACAGCATAATATAGGCTATCTTTCAATTCAAAAGTTGATAAATAGGACAAATGAACTCAAGGATATTAAGTTAACTTCTTGAACAAATCAGCTTTCACCTGAAAGTATAAATAGCTAAAAGTTCATAAAAATCTATGACTTTATAATAACATAGTAGGTATATATTCCAAGATTTCTAACACCATAAAATATTTAATTTTAGAGCTACCTTGCTGAATTATGATTTTTCAACGCTAACCATTTTGAAAAAAGATTTAAAACGCAACATCATAACTAAGAGGGTTGCTTTAAGTTATGTGAGAGTGGTAAACTCTTGGAAAAAAAATTAAAAGAAAACTACATGTACGTTTTGTACGTTTAAGTAGAGTTAGAAACAGGTTTAGTTACGTTAGGTTAGACTTTATTAGACTTGAACTTGACTAGTTTCTCAAATTTAAAAACCGAACTTGATCTGTTTATCTTATTTAGATTTTTTTTTTTTTAAAGTCTAAATTTTTAAAAAGTGTTAGAACCAATTTAGTAGAAATTAAATAAGTTAGAAAATCACTTTAAATAGATTAATAGGCCTAAAGTTATATATTTGTCAATAAACTTAAATCCTTAAATAAACTAACAAATATATAATCTCAAAGTATTATACTAATAATAATAATAATAATAATAATAATAATAATAATAATAATAATAATAATAATAATAATAACTATTATTATTATTATTATTACTATTATTATTATACTCAAAGTATTATTATTATTAAGTAGGTTGCTACGTGGGTTAAAGGGTTTTTTAAGTGACATAAAGTCAAGTCTTTTTAATTAGTTAAATAACTTTAAAAAGATTTTGAGAAGATCTATTTAATAAAAGGGTCTTCCCTAAAGTCAATTAATGTGAGCTAGATCACTTGCTTTAATAAATGAACTAACCTATTTCCAACTTTAATATATGATAGGTTTCTTAAAACCACATGATTTCACCTAAAAAGGATTTCTCACAAATTTCATCTTTTGAGAACATGGTCTTACATTTAAACTCGCAAATCTCACCTTTTGATAACACTGTCTTATATTTAAATTGATTATGTATTCAATATCTCTTTTAACAAAGTAAACTTGAAACCTTTTTAAAATTGAGATGCTTAATTTAGTATTTGACAACCACTCCAAAAATTAAAAGTTGAAATAATAGCATATGGTTGCTTGATTTATAATAATAAGCCTTTCTATCTTTATGTATTTTCACCATTTCAATTCATGTAAATCAAGTTTACCCTATTGCACCTCCTACAAAAAAACATTGTTGAATTTATTATTCAAATGAGTATATCTGAGAATTTAATGCTCTTGTGATAAACTATAAGAATGCTTTTCTAAAATGAGTGGACAAAATATTAGTTCTCTTGCTTTTTCAAAGTGTCAATTAGGTGAATTAATTATAGTTTCACGTGACATTATCATAGGTAACAATGATTTTGTGCGAGGTTCTAAGGCTATACCCACCAGTTACTGCCATTACCAGAGTTGTCCAAAAGGAAACTAAGGTTGGAAATTTAACTCTACCTACCGGAGCACTTGCTATTGTTCCAACCATATTGGTACACCATGATTGTGATCTGTGGGGCAATGACGTTAAAGAGTTCAAACCAGAAAGATTCTCTGAAGGGGTCTTAAAGGCAACAAATGGTCAAGTTTCATTTCTACCATTTGGATGGGGTCCACGAATATGCATTGGCCAAAACTTTGCTTTGCTTGAAGCCAAAATGGCTTTGTGCTTAATCCTACAAAACTTCTTCTTTGAGCTTTCTCCATCATATATTCATGCTCCAATAACAGTGATAACTGTTCAACCTCAGTTTGGCACACCTATCATTTTACATAAGTTGTAGTTCAAGGTTTTTTAGAAAAGGTTACATAATTTGAATGCATTTGGAAACCAACGCAGATAAAACTTCTTCTATAATATTATATAATAATTCTCCGAATAGTTCTGCCATTGTTATATGTTTATTCCAATTCATTGTCGTGAAGGTTCTTTCCTAACGTTAAACTACAAATATTTTTTTAAGGTAAACATCTCGGGATTGAGGAGTTAAAGGTATACTCTCCTTCTAACTCAGCTTCACAAAAGAATGAAAAACATTGACTCAGGTGCTTCACAAAGTCTAGAGGCACCTTTTAACACATATTTTAATTTGTTTATTATTTTTTAAATTAAGAAGAGTTTTTTTCTTTATTTTTATACTTTCTTTGTAGTAAAATTATATTACTATTATTTTATTTTATTTTTATAATTCTTTAATAGATTTGCATCTCGTTCTTCCACAAAACACACGAATCTTAACAAACAAACATTCTTTTTCTTGATTGTGTAAGAGTGTTTCTTCACATGTAATGTCTGACAAATATATCTTGAAGAGGTGCACTTAGTAAGTAAGAAGTAGGACTTTGTCTAATGCCTAACAAAATCTGATTTCAGGTGAAGAACAAATTTGATTTGTTCGTCATACCAAATGATTAGCAAACCCTGTAAAGCTCGTGAGAAGATTCCAAACTTTTCGCTCGCGGAACTCGTGTTACATTTTGATGTTATTTTATTTGGATATAAACAGTAAAATAATTTAAAAAGTGAAATTTTAAATAATTTTTTAGTTAAATCTATTTATAAATTCTATATTTTATAGACACTTTAATTTTATTTATTAAAAAGATTGATTTCATTCTTTATTTTTTTTTTCAAAATCTAACCAAGTTTGTCTAAAGTGATCATGTGAAATAATAATAATAATAATAATAATAATAATAATAATAATAATAATAATAATAATAATAATGTGTCCACTTATTTACTCATTATTATTAGGGACGAAAATGTTAATTTTTTTAATTGAAAATAAAAATAAAAATTTATATAATTTTCAGTATAATTCATTCTATTTGATTGCTTAATTCTAGTTATTTTAAAATATTTTTATAATTTTTTTTAATAAAATTGTCTCTTTTACTTTTCTTTAAATCTATGATTTAGTCTTTATTAAATTTAATTATTTTTATAGAGAAGTTAATCAAAATGTAATAAGTTGACCAAAATAAGCTTAAAAGATTATTTGTTCTTTACATATTTTGATAGGACTTTTTCTATATTATAGCCTTTTTGAGATTGGATGCTTTGAAAATTTAGCCTCTTAAAATATTTGTATAGAATTCCGTTTGTTTAGGGATTTTTTTAAATAGAAAAAAAATTGAATAATTCGTATTATTTTAAATATTGTATTAAATTATATTTGTGATTTTAAAAATTAAAATTATTGATTTCTCATAATGTGATAGGCTAAAGTTTTTTCTTTCATAATTTTAAAGACTAAATAGGCATATATTTATAATTTTAAAACTTAAAATGATTAATTTTATAATTTTAATGACTGAAAATAACAGAGTTAATAATTTTATTTTAGATTAAAATGAATATTTTTTAATAATTTTAGAAAATAAATTGAACAATGTTAATAATTTCAAAGATTAAAATACAATATTATTTTTATTTTATTATATTAAGTAAGCTTAAATTTTATAAATTAAGAATTAATTTTTAAAAAAATGAATTCAAATTTTAAATTAATTATTGCACCATTATAGATGACTATAGACTAGTAAGATCTTGTTTCAACTATTTAAAATAATTGTATTTATTAAGATTTAAATTCAAAACTATAAGCTAAGTTAAGTATGATTAATTATTAATTAAAAATTATTTAATATAAAAGATGAATATATTTTAATCATATTATCATTTAAAATAACTTTTAAAAGTAAAGTGTTGTATATTGACTAAACCCTCATTTTAGTCTTTAAAAGAGTTTGAGTCCAGTGTTTTAATATATAAGACATTTAAAATGTCACGTTAGTTCCTAATTTCTTTCTTCGTCATTCATTTTAATTCCTGAGCTCAAACTCCGTTAAGAAACAATAACAGAAAGCTAAGTTGTTATGTTAAGTGTCACGTCAGAATCTTAGTTAGCAGAAATGATGTCGTTTTAGGAAGATAACACAGCACCTTAAATGACCAACTAGCATTTTTCTGATTGAAGCCCTTTCAGCACTACCTTGATATGTGGTAGTACCCTGCTTAGTTGCTGGCTGAGATTCAATTGAAGGCTCTTCTTCCTCCCTTACAATCTCAAAAGTATCAATCAACTGCTAAATAGTTTCTTGATCCAAAATATGGAATGGCTCACCAACTCCAACTGCAGCAATAGTGCATACAGAACTACTACTGAGCTTTTCACCTTGCACAGACTCCGTAGTTGCAATAAGTGTATCTTTAATCAGATATTCTCAGGAGAAGCTTGTGAAGTTCTCAAACTTGCATTCCAAATATGTCTTTGCAACTTGTGAGCGAGAGCTAATTGCAAAAGCCTAATAGTCAAAATAGTTTCCACTCAGACAATTGTAATATAGGTGAGCTCCATATTCATCTAATCCAACTAACCAACCCTATAAGGACGTTTCCATGATCATTGGATGCAAATTTGCCATTCAGAATTGCATCACAAATACTTATGAGAAAGAAATATTTTAAGTTCTGATAAATTCTACAGACACTTTCTTTATTTATTATATAATTCTATAGATACAAACACAAGATTTGCCTACCATACCCCACTAATCCAACTTTCGATAACTAAATCACAAGCATGATTCTATACCATAAATATAAGCCCAAACTTCAACTTTATCCTACCTGTACAGCTAGGATTTTTCATCCCCAAAACATTGAACACTTAGGGTTCATAGTCTCCAAAATACAAAATGACTCACAGTGAGTTAAGAAATTTTTTTTACCTAATTTTCCATCTGTTAGCCCTTTTTCCACTATAACAAACTTTAATCTCTAAATATTTTACCGCTAAACACAACTATGAACAAGAATTTGGGCGAGATTCTACATGCACTTAAGGTTCTTCTTTGAGACAAAGGGCTTCAATCAGAACAATGTCGTTTGGTCATTCAAGGTGCCACCACTACTAGAAAACCTATAAAAATATATGGATTTACAGACAAATTTTTTAATTATTATAGACAGATTTTAGCATTACAGACGGATTCAAATATGTCTGTAAGTTAGAAACAAAAAAATTTGTCTGTAGTTACAGACAAAAAAATCTGTCTATAAATTACAGACGGATCCGTTTGTGAACTTTCAAAATTTCTTTTCATTTTTTTTATAAACATAATTATTTCTTATTGTTCCTAATTATCATAATTTATAAACATAATGAAAACTACAAAATTATATATTTAAAATCAGAAATTATTTATAAAATATAAAATTAAAATGTTATTACAAATAAAGAAGTAAACATATAAATAAATAATGTCAAAAATAAAATATTGTACATCACAAATAATCGGTGTGATCATCTTCCAAAAAAACATCATCATTAGTAGAGGAAGAGTCGGAGAAGGAATTATGCATGGAACTAAAGATTGATGGTGTTGGAGCTAGTAGAGAAGGAGTAAGAGGTGCGAAGCTACTTGCTCTTATGAACTCATGAATGCATCTATTGCATCTACATATGTTGTTGTACCTCCCTCTTCATCCTTAATGCCACATTCTTTTCTTTTCTTTTTTTCTCCATTTTCTTTGCTCACTTCTTCTTATATGCACTTTCCTTGGTCTTCTACATTTTCTCATTTTACTTCGACAGTTCTTCATTAAGGGCATGGAGTTGCTCCTGCAGTCAAAAAAGCAACAATGTTATATCAACCTTTTATTTTAATTTATACAAATTTTTAACATAAATTTTGGCAGAATCTCCTCTAATATATGAATATTTTCTTATATTTGTTTAACTTAATACAACAAATTTGTAATGTAAATTTTAGAAGAATGTCCCTTAATATATGAATATTTCCTTATATTTGTTTCCACTTAATACAAAAATATAAATTTTCTTCACACATAAATTTTCTTTTATTTGGTGTTTTGGAAATTTAACCTCTTAAAATATTTGTATAAAATTTCATTTATTTAGGGGCTAAAAAATATCGTTTAATAGAAAAATTGAATAATTCTTATTATTTAAAAGTTGTATTAAATTGTATTTGTGATTTTAAGAGTTGAAATGATTGATTTATCATTTTTATTTCATAATTTTGTAACTATAATGACTAAAAATAATAGTTAACAATTTTGCTTTATATTAAAATGATTATTTTTTAATAATTTTAGAAAATAAATTGACAAATGTTAATAATTTTAAATATTAAAATAAAATATTATTTTTTATTATATTAAATAATATTGAATTTTATAAAGTAAGAATTTTTTAAAAAAATGAATTTAAATTTTAAATTAATTATTGGACCATTATAGATGGCTATAGACCAATAAGATATTGTTTTAACTATTTAAAATAATTATATTTATTAAGATTTAAATTTTCGAGACTATAAGCTAAATTAAGCATGATTAATTATTAATTAAAAATTATTTAATATAATAAAAAGAATATCTTTTCCACGTATTATCATTTAAAATGACTTTTAAAAGTAAAGCGATGTATATACCTCGAAATTGAATAGTTTGTCTTGATCTTCGTCATTGCAGGTGGCGAGAAAGAAAACAAAAAAGATGGAATTTTCTTGGAATGTTGGAATATGGGTTCTGACAGCAATTCTTGCTGTGATTCCCATATGGGCACTGCAGATTCTGAACTCTCTGTGGCTTAGGCCTAAGAGGTTGGAAATGCTTCTAAGAGCGCAAGGTCTTCATGGCGATCCCTACACCCTTTCTCATCACTCCTCCAATCATACCCATATGCAACATCAAGAACCCTTCGCTCTCTCCAATCATGTTGCACCTCTTCTCTCCTCTTCTCTCTGTCACACTCTCTCCAAATATGGTACACTTTTTCATGAAATTTATTTATGACTCGTACCCACCAAACAATAAAACATTATCTGAACTTTATGCTAATTTCAAATCACATATTCATCATAAGTCTTCCTAAAGTTGTCTTTATGAGCAATTGCTGATAAGTAAAGGATGTGCAGGCAAAAACTGCTTTTTCTGGGAAGGTACAACACCAAAGGTGATCATCACAGACCTCGAACAAATCAAAGATGTCTTTAACAACATCCATGACTTCCAGAAACCGAAGTTAAGTGGCAATGTCAAGGTCTTGGTCAAAGGTTTGATAAGTTATGAGGGTGAGAAATGGGCTAAACATCGAAGGATCATCAACCCTGCATTCCACTTAGAAAAATTAAAAGTAAGGTTATTGCTTTAGTTTACCATTTCACTTCATAGTCAAATTCTATAGTTTTTTTCTTTCTATGATATGGTTTCCTTCGTACTTAATTTACAGAACATGCTACCAGCATTTTCTCAAAGCTGCCATGATATGATTAGCGCATGGAATGAAATGCTGTCATCGGATGGAACGGGTGAAATTGATGTTTGGCCTTTCCTTCAGAATTTGAGTCGTGATGTAATTTCTAGAACAGCGTTTGGAAGCAGATATGCAGAAGGAACAAAAATATTTGAACTTCTAAAAATGCTGGGGTATCTTTCCATGAAAGCACAGCACAAGGGCATACCAATATTGCGGTAAGATCACACACCATAATTTTGGTATATTTGACATCTGAATTAAGCATGTTCCAGTTTTAACAGAAGTAGACTCACCATGGAGTTTCACAGAGGAAGCAACTAATTACCGTTTATTTCTAATACGGACCACTTAAGTTCTACTTTTAACACCACTTGAGTTCTTGATCGCAAAGTTGTTTCATATGTCTACATTTTAATATGGACACAAATTGGAAGTTTACCCCTGACATTAGTCTATCAATATCACGTTTTATTTCCTGTAAGTGCTTCATGTCTAAAAGTCCATGATCTCAGTAATCTGAAGCCTCTCAAGCTAGTCAAAAGAAGACTTGGACCCAAGTTGTCCAAGATAAAATATGTAAACTCTAAATAAGAATTCTAATAATGATGACAAATTGTTATTAGTAACATACATATTTTAATTTATAAGTCTCATCGCCAAGATATTTGATATCTGGTTTCATGTTTTTATGGACATGGCATACAAAATGACTCGTGCAGGAGTTGCTACCAGAGTTTATGTTGTTATAGAGTACTAACCTATTGTAGATATGAACAAATCTAACGCTCATAAGTGGATCCATTCCTTCATAATTCATCCATTTACATAATCTTTAGGCATCTACCATCAAGTGTCAACAAGAAGATGAAAAAAATTGAAAGAGAAATGTGTGATTCAATTGAGGGTATCATTAAAAAGCGAGAGGAAATTATGAAGAATGGAGAAATCGCCAACGATGATTTGTTAAGCAAACTCTTGGAATCAAATCACAATGAAATCCAAGGACGAGGAAATAGCAGGAATGCTGGAATGACAAAGCGAGAAGTAGTCGAAGAATGCAAGCTATTCTACTTGGCAGGGCAAGAGACCACTTCATCTTTGCTGGTCTGGACAATGGTGTTATTAGGTAGGTTTCCTGAATGGCAAGCAAGGGCAAGGGAGGAAGTTTTGCAAGTTTTCGGAAACCAAAATCCAAACTTTCATGGGTTAAGTCGCCTTAAAATTGTATGTATCACTATCATATGTTTTCATTTTATCATTATTATAAATGTTTTTGGTACTAACTTTTATAAGAACTTTTTCTTTCCTAGGTAACCATGATTTTGTATGAGGCTCTTAGGTTATATCCTCCAACAATTTACTTTGTTCGAGCTCTTCAAAAGGATATGAATCTTGGATACCTATCACTACCAGCCGGAGTAAGAGTTTCTATACCAATACTTTGTATTCACCAAGATCGTGATATTTGGGGTGATGATGCAAAGGAGTTCAATCCTGAAAGGTTCTCTGAAGGAATTGCAAAGGCAACAAAAGGCAAAGTTTCGTATTTCCCATTTGGATGGGGTCCTAGAGTATGTGTTGGTCAAAACTTTGCCTTGTTGGAAGCGAAGATGGTGTTATCATTGCTTTTGCAAAATTTCTCATTTGTGCTATCTCCTTCCTATACACATGCTCCTACTGCTTTGCTAAGTTTCCAGCCAAAACATGGGGCGCAAATCATTTTCCATAAACTCTGATATATCAGTCATATGAAGAGGTACGCTTTGTGTAATATGTAAAATAATTGTCTTACTCCAAACTCATAAAGTTAGATCCTTCAAATACCCTTTGTGCTTGTAGGGGTGAACCTGAGTACTAAACGGTCTATTAAGCATCGTATTAGTTACATATATGTTTGGATATGTAGTATTTGTTGTATCAAATTAAAGTGTTTAGCAAATCAATTTAGGTCTGTTTGAAAAAACTTATGGAGCTAGATTATGATTCTCGTATCTTCTTTTCAATAAATAAATTTGAGTGTTCAACTGTGGTTCCAGTAAATGTACTCTTAACTGCTATAAAAATAATTTTCGTTAATCTTAATCGTTAATGCTAAGTTTTAGCATTAAAAAGTAATAATTTTTTTTAGATATATTGTGATGAATATTTCTTTAAAATAAAATACTCCTATTGTTAGTGGCTTAAACTCAACTTTAAAATTTAAAATTTATATTTTCCTGAAAATACTAACAAAAGATTAAATTTTCTTGTCTTCTTATTTTATATTTGGTTTTATTTTGTTCAATTTTAAAATGTTATAATAAAAGTTTGATGTAATAACAGGATATTATTATTATTTTGTATATATAACTACATAATTAATTTCTTAAGTTTATAAGAAGTGACTTAAGATACCACATGACCTTTTCAACGAATTATAGAGTTCACCCTACGTAAATATTATCAAATTTAAATATTTTTAGATAAATAATCTTAAAAATATATTGTATTACTATTTTGTAATTTATTAAATTTTACAAAATAAAAATAGTGATATTATGAATAATAAATATATATGTAATTATATTACATATCATATTAAAGAAGTAAACTTTTTTAAAAAAATTAATAAATAAATTATAAAAAATTCAAACTTTAAATTATAATTCAATTAAAAAAGGTAAAGTGCTCAATGCAGGAGAAATCACACGACACAATGAAAAGGAATAATAACTCTAAAATATGTCCTCATTCAAAAAAAATTTACAAAAATACTCTCCTTTAATAATGTAGACTTAAATTTAATACGTAAAGGTAAATTATACTTTCGAATGATATTGACTTATTGGTAAAAAAAATCATGAGTTTTAAAGTATGCAATAGTTTTTCAAAGAATAGTTTTGCTAATTTTCATTGAATGAAACTAAATTGACAGCCCTCTCTCATGTTTTTATTTATTTTAAGTGCGAATTTCCAAAACAAACGTCTTAAGAAAATTTAAAATTCTTCATTCTTGCTTGTTCTCTAACCAGAATCAGTAACATTTTGAAGAGATTAGTGATAAAAATGCAAAGACCAGATTTGATTTGATTTATTATAGCATGAAAAAGGCCACAAGTTGAGCGACAGAATTACAGCAGCACAGCAGCAGCATTGTTAGAACTAAGAGAAATTTGGAAGGTTATGAAATTAAAAGTGGAAATTCACACGTTTATTTATACTATTAATCTTTAAATACAAGAAAACTATAACATAAAATTGATTCTAATTTTACTTATTAATCTGAAAATAAATAAAAATAAAGTTATTCATAAATATGTAACAACTCATTTACACCCATAATTTCTATAATCAAAACTCATAACGTAGAAATAAATACTAATAATAGCTATTGATTCAGATTCTCAATACTCCTCCTTGCATCATTAATTATCGACTCTAAGTTTCTTTCTTAAGTTCTTGAACCGTTCTTTTGGAAGCGCCTTTGTGAATATGTTTGCCAATTGGTCTTCTGTCTTACAATATTCTAATAAAACTTCACCTTCTTTCTAAACTTCTCTAAGAAAATACAACTTGATATTGAAGTGTTTAGTCTTACTATGAAAAACTAAATTATTAGAAATTGCAATTGCTGCTTGATTATCGACAAACACCTTAGTTGAATTTGTTTGAACAATTTTTCTCAGTCATAAGACTTAATTAATTGTTATAGTAGCAGCTATGAACTCTGCTTCAATAGTTGATTGTGCCACAATATCTTACTTCTTTGAGGCCTAAGAAAACACTCAGAACCAAATGTAAAGCAATAACCAAAAGTATTTTTCATATCATCCAATGAACCTGCCCAATCACTATTAGAAAATTCATGAAAATTAAATTCTTGGTTATGCTCAAACCAAATTCCATAACCAAGAGTTCCTTTGATGAACTTCACTGGCACAATATAAGAATTTAGAAAGAACACATACAGCTTGCAAAATATCAGGTCTTGTTATTGTAAGATAAATGAGACAACCAATCAGATTTCTAAAATCAGTGTCATTAACTTTTTCTGTACCATCCTCTTTGCAAAGCTTCAACTTCTAAAATATTAGAGTACTCATAAGCTTAGAGTTCTCCATTTGAAACTTCTTAAGAATTTTTTTTGCATATTTCTTATGACTAATAAAAATTCCTTTCTCATCTTGTTTGACTTCCATTTCAAGAAAGAAAGTTATTTTTCCACAATTTGTCATCTCAAAGACTTTCATCATATTTTATTTGAACTCTTTAACAAATGAAGTATTGTTTCCTGTCACCAAGATCTACATACAAAGAAACAATTAAAATCTTAGAATTCAAGCATTGCAAATAAAGAATTGACTCACTAAGACATTTTGTGAAACCAATACTCAACAAGTAATCATCAATCTTACTATACCAAGTCCTTGGAGCCTGCTTTAAACCATACAATGCCTTCTTTAGCAAATAAACCTTGTCTTCTTGTTCTTAAATGCAAAATCTTCAGGTTATTCAACATATATCTCCTCTGGCAAATAACTATTAAAAAATGTAGATTTTATATCCAACTAAAACACCTTCTATAATGAGCACATTATAATCTTAGATGAAGCAAATCAATGCTACATCAATACTTAATAATCTTAGCAAAGCAAAAAATAAATTATAATTTCAATATTAGCTATTAAATCTTCTTTAGTTAAGAAAACTAAAGCATAGATCTAAAAATTAGGTGGATGAAATATGTTAAAATGAGCACATTCGAAGCGATGATCATTGTTAGTAAAATTTAAATACAAATGGTTGATATCAAGATAGAAACTGATGACAAACCCAACCACAGATTCCTCTGTGTCTTTTCTCTTCCATGAAATTTGTGTTCAATATATCTCAAAAAATTATATAAAATAGTCATATAATTTACATAAATTAAATTTTTATGGTAAAAGATAATTTTTTTAAAGTTTAGGACGTTAAAAAGGGCAATAAAATTTAAAATTTTTTATTATTTTCTATATCAATTCTCTAAAAAAAAATCTATATAAAAAGTAGCAATGTAAAAAAAACTCATCTTTTTACGTCAATTATTTTTTTTATTACTTTACTATTATATTTATTGTCTGTAAAATATTTTATTACAGATTTAATACTATTATAATCTGATTTTGAACTATTTTTGGTAAAATAGTTAATTGTCATCTTTAATTTTATAATAAAATTTCAGTACAACTTTAAATTGAATATTAATATAATATCATTTTACTTCTTTTAAAATTATAATATTATTTTATGATCATTTATTAAATATTTTGCATAAGAAAAACATTTTCATTTGTTATGTTGTCTATATATACATAATGGGAGATAATTATGAGGGAGAAATTATGGTACCTGTAATGTAGACAAATTTTCTATATATGCCAGTTTGAATAATTCTTATAAAAAAGAAAAATGTCAGTATAAAAAATATTTTTTTTGCAAGAAATCTCAATTATTTCTAATTTATCAGAGAATATTTATTTATATTTTATATTAATTTTTTCTTCTACATGGACTTCTTTAAAAGTTTATCTTGTAGATAAATTTTTACAAAAAAAAGAAAAATAATATAAAAAATAAATTAAGTTTTTTTTTATAAGTTAAAATAATTTATACTTTTCTATTTTTCAAAAGTTATTCTCATTTAACTTTTCAAAAAGTTGAAAAGATAACTTAATTGAAAAGATGAGGAGTGAAAAATTTAACACTGATTTCTCATGCAGGAATCTTAGAGAGCAGAAAGATTGAACAAGGGAACAATAATCACAACTTCTGAAGACAATAGGGTATATTAAAAGCTCAACAAGCTCCTTGTCCCATACAAGTTGTATATTGTCAATGAATAAAGAGATAGCTGTACGGTCTGCTTTGAAACATATATAAATTGGCGAAGGCCATGGTTCCATTACCGCATCCTTTTATCCAGCTATCCAAATACAAAATTTGGGATAATTAATTCTTGCAACAAAAGATGCAAGAATTAGGGATTCAAACCATTCCTCTCTCAGAATACAACTACATGCGATCTCTTATTTAATCCATACATCAGACCCATCGAAGCGGTACCGTCAATATTATTTGGGAGAATGATACATTCTAGAAGTAACCAAAAGGGATACAATCCTCTATCTACTATATATACAGTGATATAGCATCTTCAAAAATCCATTCAATGGGACTAATAATAGCACAAATGCAGGGCTCGCTGCAGCTGAAATTCTCACTAATACTCGTCTTGATAGTTTAGGAAACTGATTACTTGACTCCCAGTGACCAAATTCCAAAAGCCACACTTGTACATGGTTGTACTATAAAACCAATTTGTTCAAAGTTCAAACAATCAATTTTGTGTTCGACCTCTGCATAAAATATTCAAGCTAAGTAATGTTGCAATCAACAATTCAATATGATCTCAATATTTATTGAGATGTACAAAATTTAGAGAGCTCAATAGTTTTAACCAGCCAATTGAATCCAACTACTACCTGGTTGCTTTGTAACACTCCCTTTTACCATTTTGTTTCTCAACTCTGTGCAACTTTTCCACATTGATGCTGATGCATAAATGTTAGACAGTAGAACATAGGTTGACGGTTCATTCAATTCTATACCAGCAAGCAAGTTTGATATTCTGTCTCCAATGTCAGCATTTTCATGTTTAGAGCACGCACCTAGGAAAGTCTTCCATAGAAGAGATTTTGACTGAAATGGAGCTTCCTTTATCAAAGCTTCTGCTTCTTCCAATTTTGCAGCTCGACCAAAAAGATCAACCATGCAGGCATAATGATTTATGGTCACTTCATAGCTGTATTTACTTCTCATGTACTCAAAATATTGGCAACCTTCCTCCACTAGTCCTGCATGACTACATGCAGCTAAAACCCCAGCAAAGGTGACACCATCAGGTTCCAACCCAGCTTCTTTAGCCTTGTTAAACAGGTCAATAGCTTCTCTTCCACGCCCGTGATAAGCATATCCATATATCATGGCCGTCCATGTTACTAAATTATGGTGACTGATGGTATTGAAATACGTGATGGCATCTTTTATGTTTCCACATTTACTATACATGTCTATAATGGAAGAAGCCACATGTAGATTAACCTCAAGGCCAGTTTTGATAACCCAGGAATGGAAACATTTGCCTGTGTCTGATGCTGATAAGCCAGCAGCTGCTGAGATACAGCTGGATATGATAGACTCATCAACCTGAAAAATGGGAACAGTTTGGAATTCTGTGAAAAGCTTAAGTGCTTCTTCATGAAAACCATTTTGGACCCATGCAGTTAACATGGCACTCCATGAGACAAGATCTTGCTCTTTCATGGACAAGAATACCTGTAAAGCATTCAAAGTTTCATGTTTAAACACTGCATACATGTTAATCAGGGCACTTTCCAAAAAAGGATAATATCCAAATCCTACTTTCATGATATAACAATGGACTTGTTTTCCTACTTCAAGTGCCTTTATTTCTGCACATGCCTGAATAGCACTAATTAAGGTGAACTGACTAGGTTTTGAATATAGAAGCATATCGCGGAAGATCCCCAGAGCTTCTACAGAGTGCCCTGATTCACTGCATCCAGATATGATAGTAGTCCAGGAAAACTCATTTTGTCTTGGCATCTTTTTGAAAATCAATTTTGCATCATTAACAGCTCTACATCTAACATACATGTCTAGAAGAACATTTTCAGTGCCCAACCTAGAGTCATCTTCAAAAGGATTTTTAATCAAATACGAATGAACAGATCTTCCTTCTTTTAGCATAAAAAGGTTCCCGCAAGCACGCAGAGCATAAATGATTGAAGAACTGGTTTGGGCAATACCAACTTCCCTCATCCCACAGAACAGCTCTAAAGCTTTCAAATCATAAGAATTGAAAATTAAACTATTCATCATGGCATTTATACATATTTCATTCTTAATGTGAATAGCAAGAAAACATTTATAAGCATCGGATATCATGCCAAAGTTTCCATACATGTTGATAAAGGCACTGCCAATATATGAATCCATCTTAAAGCCAAGTTTGATGAAACCACAGTGAACTTGAGTACCAGAAAGCTCTGTCTCCAAATTTGAGCACAAACTAACAACACTTGCACAAGTAAATGGATCTGGTTTATTCCCTTCATAAAGAAAGTCAACATATAAGGAAAATCCTTCCTTTGATTTTCCAAACTGATTAAAGCCAGCAAGTAAAGCACAGATTGCCACATTATCCTTCTCTTCAAGAATTTGAAACACTTTACAAGCATCATTAAATAATCCCAGTTTAACATAGCAGTCAACAAGAGCCCCACCCACCACAACATCATTTTCAATTCCACTCTTCACAGCCTGGCCATGAACAGACCTTCCAAGTTCAACATCCAACACATCAGCACAGAGTTTAACAAAAATGGTGTAAGTAAAATGATTCGGCGACACGGAAGAGTGCCGCATCTCATTAAACAACTTCAGAGAGCTCTCCACATCAGACATCTCGACATGAGCGTTCAGCAAAGTATTCCACAGTGCCTCACACCTTTCACCAAAACAAACCCCATCAAAAACCTTTCTCGAATTCTCAACATCACCACAATCAGCATACAAGTGAAGAATTGAAGCACTGCAAAAGCTATGCGAATCAAACCCACATTTGAGTATCAACCCATGAATGAGCTTCCCCATCACAGGATCACACATCACCCTGCAAGCCTTGAGTGCCACCGAGAAACCATACTCATTTGGGTGCATCCCCGACCGACATAAGCCACGAAACAAGCTTAGACCCATTTCATGTTGCCCCACGTTGACATAACAAGAGACCATGCTGGTCCAAGAGATCAAACTCGGTTGAGGAATTTCACCAAACAATTTGTGTGCATTCTCGAGTTCTCCAATATCGCCATAAAATCTAACCATATTGTTTTGTACAAATTCATCCTTGTCAAGGGCGCTTTTAACGAAAAGAGAATGAAGGGTTCTTCCACTGTTTTCGTCTTTGTGGTCTCTCAAATGCTGCAAGAGGGGGACACAGTCTTGGAAGCAAAATTCCCGTTTGTTTCGAAGTTCTGGGGATGTTTTTGAATGAAATTGTTGCGTTCTTGTCAGAATTGGTCTGATGTGTGAATTGGTGAAGTGGGTTCTGAAAAACAATGAGAACAAGGGAGAGACACGCTTGGTTTGAATGAAATTGGTGAAAAAACAATTGGGGAGAATCATGTTTTGCAACAATCATGAGTGAGACACTCTCTTTGGATCCTTCAGTCATCTTTCCAATTACACATTTTTGTTCTGCTTTAGTCATCAAGTTTCGATTTTGTCAACCGTGAATGTATCAAGATTTGCTTTTCCGAAACAAGATGAAGATTATTTCTATCTAAATTTCTTCCATTCCGACAAATTCTTTCAAAATATTAATTTTTGTCACGAAAAATGTTTCGAGAGTTTGGCAACGCTTTTCTGAAGTTTCTTTCTTACAAAGCAACATCATTTTATAAAAGATAATTTACGTACCTGGACCAAATTACAGCATCATCAACCCACTCTTATCCTAAGTGGTTTAAATTATCTTAGGTAATTTTTACTGTGAGTAAATCAAGAGGGCATTAATGACAATTACAAATGCATTAAAATTTATGTTTATTTTAGTTTAATTTTAATATTTTATATCTTTCTTTTGTATTGACTTTGCTCAATCTTTAACGTTATATTCTCAAATAAATTATTAAATTATTTTCCTTAAAACTTATATTTAGTATATCTTCCTCTCTTTTTTCTCTATAAAAAAATTTACATAATCTAAGATGTCTACCTAAAAAAAAGTAATGAAAATTTTATGAGAATGAAAATTTTACAAATTTTTTTAAATTATCTTGTTATTCTTCAATTTCTTTTAAGATACTGAAGTATATTTTTTTGTTGGAAAAAAAATTTCAAAAATGATTGAGTGTCATTTTATCATTATGGGAATGTGACTGATATTGTTTGAATATTTGTTTTATTACTTTGTTTAACAAAATTTGGAAATGATTAAGGCATTCAATTGTGATTTAAACTAGGATCAAATAACTAACTTGATTAATAATTAATCCTTTTGCACCCTATTTGAACTTAAAATATGAAGATTTGATTTTAAAAACCTTAATCTAAACTTGAAAAAGAAAAAGATTTGATTTTGAAAACTTTTTCTAAACTTGAAAAAAAAAATTATTCTGTGTTTGTAGAAAAGAGATGTGTTTAGATTCTGAAAAAAATAAAAGTGTTTGGGTTTGAAAAGTTAAGTGTATAATAAAAAGCTAAGAATCAATCATTGTTGTTCTTCAATTATTTTAAATGTTATTTTCTATCCAAAAAAATCAAGTTCATATGATTACAAGCTTGAAAGACCTTAGTAATCCTAACCTTGTTTTGCAATTTTGATGATATGAAGATGAATATCAATGTTCACTTACGTATATAATGTGATTGAATGAGAGAAACACTTACCTTAGTGAAGAATATATTTCATGAAATTTTCATTATGAGCTATGAGAGTTGTTCTTTGAAACATAGTCATTCAGTTGTTCCTCTTATATTTCTTTAAATGTAAAGTGCATTTGCATCTCATTTCTACTTGAAATTGTGGACACCATGTTTTACTTCATGAAAGATTTTTCAATAAAATGCATTATTGGAGGGTGATCAAACAAATCAAGGTTGATTTCTATCAAACTATTTCTAGTGACTTAGTTTTAGTAAATTGTTCTTCTGTCAAAATTTATATACTTTGCGTGAGGGCAAGCAAGATTCTAGATTTAAGAAAGTTGATAAGTGTCAAGTTTTAGTAAATGATAATTTGAATTAGGACATTTATTGTCTTTAATTAATTAAATTTGACTTTCAATCTCTTTCTAGTTTATAAAAATTTAAATTAACCCATATATTTTGACTAAAAGACAGAGATGAAATTTTTCTTAATCTTTTTTTGTTGAATTCTTTATTTTACAAAAACTTAGGGAGAAAGAAAGAAAGGAAGTGAATATGCTCAATTTTTGCTCAAGTGAAGGATTTCTCGCTTGAGTAAAAATGCAAGAAATAAAACTTGGTCACCCCGTGATTTTAGTTCAAGTGAAAATTTTTTGCTTGAGTGAAAATTCTTTTTTAGCTTAAGCGACAAATTTTTGCTTAAGTAAAACAATCATTAAGTCACTCTTTAAAGAAAGAAGAAACAGAAAATAGGAGAAGAATGAAAAATGGAAAAGAAAGCCTAGAAGAGAAAGTTAGGACATCTTGTAAAGAACCATTGAAGCATTAATCTTCATATCTTTTATCTTTTTTTTTTTTTGTAGTAATAGCTATCCTAAGTAGTTAAACTTCTTTTGGGATTAGATGTAATCTTCAACTTAGATATGTTTTATAATTTATATATAATTTTTTATTTCTATAGATGTTGGTGTTTCATTCTATTTTTAATTCTTAATTTTAATTTTTAATCGATAAAATCTTAATTTAAGATCCATGGATTAGCTGGAAAGAAATTTATAGTTTCATATTAAGTGAAACTCACTCAGTGTATTAGGTGATACTAGATAAGTCTCAATATATTGATTGTTATTTGATAAATTATTTTTAGTGTTGGAGGATTTATTGAATAACCAAGGAATTGTTATTTAAAGAATACTCTTAGGAACTTTGTGCAATAAATCACTAAGAAAAAAATGTGTGCATATACTTCTATAGGAGTGGTTTTTTTATATTAAATTATTAGAATAAGAAAGAGAAAGAATGATAAAGTTTAATCCCTATTTTTAATCTTTACATTTTAACATTTCTATTGTCACATCTTGTTGGTGCTTATTATCTTTAATTTTATAAAATTATAACTCATATATGCAATTATTAATTTTTTTATTAAATATATAATTAAAATATTAGAAATTATAGTAATATCTACCCATCCTTGTAAAATATCACATATTAACTCATTACTAATTACACAATCAATTGGTATGCTTGCCAAAAGATATGTGTAAAACACTTTATTTTTTTAGTTTTATTTTTACATAAACAAAATTATAACTAAAAAATTAAAATTTTACCAAAATGGTGAGAAATATAATGTTGTAAGATGATAAAAATATATATTTAAAAATAGAAAAATTATGATTTATTTTAATATTATTGAATAAATAGTATAAACAATAATATCATTTCAATATATCAAATAAATTTAGTATGTTTAAAAGTTAAATTGAAAAATTTAGAATCTCTTGATGTATTATAATAATTATTTTTAAAAATTAAACAATTGCATATATAAAACTTGTTATTTATATAAAAAAAATCTCAAAATTATTGAAAAATATTTTATTGATTATTCAACAATATTTAGTTACTATCAATATAAAAGTAATATATTCTACTATACTAAAAAAAATATTAATTAAAATTCTCTTTATTCAAAATAATAAATATAATAACAGATAACAATAAAAAAATTTATTTATTATAATTTTTAAACATGTATTAAAAAAATAATTAACAAAACATCATTATTTTCCAATATAAATTAATTTTTTATTAAAAATAAATAATAATAGAATTTAAAATGATATTTTAGAATAATTTTTAAATATTATAATATCAAATCATACTTTATAACAAATAATTTAATTAAAATGTAAAAATAGTTAAAATTTATAATAATTTAATATTAATTATTATTTATAAATTTAAGAACTATTTTGAAAAAAAATTATCCTCTTAAACTTCTTTAAAATGTTTTTGTTAGAATCATGATATCTTTTTATATATTTTATTGAATAATTAAATTAAACTACATTAAAGTATATTAAATAAAATTTTATTTTATTTTTTCATATAATTCATATAAACATGAGTATAATAACTAATTTTAATTAAATTAGAGTTGATCGAAGGAACCTATTTAATTAAATTAGACTAGACTAGCCCAATAAAATATAAAGTTTAAATTTTATTTTTTATAAATAATTATTTAATTTAAAATGAGAGATAATATTTTTATAAAAAAAATATATAATACATAATAAATAAAGTTAAAAGAGTATACGTGAATTGAATTAATAATTTTTTAATATATTATTAATTTTCTTTAAAGTTGTAATAAGTTATAGTATCTTTTATACTCTAAATTTATCTTTAATAAAATATTGATATTTAATAAAAAAAAGAGTTAAAGGAATATAAAATATTTTAAAGTAATTTAAAAATAAAAATACTATAATAAATAATAGTTTTTAAAAAATTAAATCTAAAAAATAAAAATACAATTTTTTTAAAAATAAAAATAATATTCTCTTCTAAACTAAAAATTAAAATATTTCAATATCAAATAATTATATTTATTTCAACAAACTAACCAACCCGAGAAAAATATGTATTATAATAACCTGAGAAAATAGAGTTTTAGCTTGATTTTCATATTTATAATAAATTAGTGAAAGTTGTTTATTGATTCAAAACAAATTTCGTATTATAGATCTTATTTGAGTAAATCAGAAGCATATAGAATCTGATAATAGACTCGCGAGTTTATTAGGCCATTCTTTGTAAAGAATAGTATTTTAATTTTTGTCAATATTGGAATGTATCCAAATTATTTACAACAGATTGAAGTCTAATTTCTTACTTTGACCTCATAAATTAATTTATTGAGGATTTTCATCCAGACCTGTCACTAATAAGTAAGAATTCATGTATAAATGGATTATCATGTTAATTAAATTAATTATATTTTTAAAGTAAATTTGTTGAGTATGTAAATTTTTTCACATGTTTATGTTAAATAAATAAAAATTATCTCTTACATTTTTTTAAAAAATAATTATAAACTTTCTTAATTGATTCATAATAGTAATGTATAAATTATTTTATTATTTTCATATTACAAAGTTAAATGTGTGAAATTTATTAATATTTTTAATAAAATAAATAAATATCTCTACAATTCCTTTAAATTTCCAAATCAATATCGTTCGATTGTAAACTCTTTTATGTTTGATTTATAAAATAAATTAATTAATTAATTTGCATTACTATTTGTTCATACAATAATTCATAATAATAATATATAAATTATTCTACCAGTCATATATTATAAAATCATAAAAGTATTAGTTTAACACACTTTCTAAGTACATCATTTAAGTATATTATCATCTAATATTTTATTTTAAAAATTATATATTTTTTTAAAATTTTCCATTTTGAAATCAAAACATTTAAAAAAAACTGTTATAATAGTTATTAATAATAATATATAAATTACTCTTTCTTTTTATTTTATAAAATTATATGTGTGAATTCATTTACTTTTATAGTAAAATAAAATAAAATAAATAAATTTTACTTTAAAGTTAATTTTTGAATTAATATATTCAATTATAAAATTTTTATACTTTTATTTTTAATTAATTTGGCTAAATTTATACAACAATTTATAATAATAATATATGAATTACTCTATTATTTTTAAATTATAAGGATACTAATTTAATTACATTATTTAGTGAATTATTCTACAATTTATTTATAAAAATTAGATATTTTTTTAATTTTTTTATTTTAAAAGTTTAAATAAATTTTTAAATTCATATAACAATGAATGATAATGATATATAAATTATTCTATCATTAACATATATAATCGTAAAATTAAAATTTTTATCTTATTTTTCAAAAAAATAAAAACAAAAAATATTTTTTTTAAATCATTTTAACAACCATTTTACTCTCATTTTAATATAATTTTTAAAAGTATTTATTTTTAATTTTTAATTTTCTTACAATCTTTCAACAAAATTATCATTTCCAATTTTATACCTTTAAAAAAATTATTTTAAAATTATGTAACCTTAATTACACTAAAAGATATGTAGAAATAGGAATTAAAATTTGTTAAACTCAATTATTTTAGAACTTTTTTCTACTCATTTTCTTTTCTTCTAATGAATAAAATATCAAAATTTAAAGATGAAATAGAACTTTAATTTTTTTCAATTTAAGATAATTATATTTACGTTTATCGTGGACCACTAATATCTTTTATACGCATAATTAGAATTATAAATTTTGATCTAATAAGATAGACTCTTTTTTTTTTTTAATTTTCTAAGGTTTGTAAAAATTCCAATAGGAACTTCTTTTATCTATATTTCCTTTTCTCACCCAGTCTCATTCCCCATTTGTTTTCCGTTGTGACTTCAATTGTAACAATGTGTAATTAGTTATGCTAAAAATATATTTACATGAATATTTTTAATTTTTTCTATAATTTTCTTAATTTTTCTATTTAAAACCTTTCACGATTTTAGAAACTAAATTTTTGTCTATATCATAATTGCCAAAATCTCAAGGCCAATACATGGTTGAGTATACACTACTAGAAATATGCTAATTAATTTATCTGTAATAAAGATAAATTTACAATGATAAATCAAAAATTTAACTATAATTTATAAACAAATTTTTTTATTTGTAAAAATCATCTAAAAAAAGTTTGTCTTTTGGCACATAATATTACAGATAGAAAATTTTGTTTGTATTTTAAAATATATTTTTGACCTTTCATATAACTATTTATAAATAAAATCCATTTGTAAACAATCAACTATTTAGCGAGTAACTTCACATATTAACATTACAAACCGAAAAAATTGTCTATAATTTGAAACTAGAGTGAAATTTTAAGCAAGAATTATAGATGAAAAAATTTGTTTGTAAATACATTTAATGCAATTGCAAATGAAAAAGTTCATCTGTAATTAAGGTTTTTAAACATTGTGTTTCATTAAACCAATCACAGACAGAAAAATATGTGTGTAATGTGTGAAATAGATCAAAATTGCGTTTTCCCTTCGTCTTTCTCCTCATTTCCATTTTTCCTTGTCTCTCTCATCTCTCTCTTTCTCTACCATCTTCAGTTCTTTGCCTATTACGAATGGTTGAAGCATCCATTTAGAAAACAAATAAATTGAACCATTATGTTCCTAGTACAATACTTTAACTTTTAATTCACCTAGTTTTTTTATTTTTGATGTAGAATAGAGACTTATAATTTCTAAGATAGAATTGTAGGATTAGATATTGTATAAGCGTAAAGGTCCTGAACCTTATTATTATTTGTTGCGAAACTGTTTGTATTTACAGAGATTGTAGAATATGCATGTTATGAAATTCTAAGGGAATGCGCTCTGGAACAATTTTAGGATTGTGATGTGTATGTTTATAATTTATTTATTATTATATTTTTATATAATATATAGATTATGTATGAAAGAAATGCTTATTTTTTGTATTAGATGTTAATATACATAATTAAGGAAATGTTCATACATTAGGGTAGGGGAGATTTTGTCAAAATTAACTTTAGAAATTTGTGTAATGTAAAATAAAATATGTCTATACCATATTGTGTTTGAATTAGGTTTGATTAAGGTATGGTAGGTAAAGATAAGAAATGTATTACTCAACGCCTGCTCATGGTAAAACTCCTCCATCAACCACTCCCTCTGCTACATCCACACCAGTTGTAGTGCAAACCTCTCAGATTGGGGGCATGAGTAATTCATCATGGTGCTCAACCCTAGGTATATGTCTCATCCTCCTCCAATACAACGAGTTTCACAATTTGCACCACCAACTACATCTATCTCATTGTCTCCCTCCACACATTGCACAAGCAAGGGATCCACTATTATTGCATCTTCATGTGGACAACAATCACAGACTCAAACACCATTGAGACTGCTTCCAAGTTTGAGATAGGATGGATCAACTTGGTAAGTTATTTGCAAAATATGCTGCAAAACTTTATTTGATGTAAATATTATCATGGTTGTATTATTTTATTGTGTGTTGGTATTCACCACAGAAGAGTATCCATTAGGTAACAAATATCATTAAAAAGATGTATTATGCACCTTATACTAGTTTTGCTAAGATGCCTAAGGATATATTATGTGGAGTGGTTCAAAGATTGGAAGGTAATAAAAGTCAAGTAATTTATTTTAAATCTTATTATATTTGTATTTCTTGTACCTGTATTAATTAATTTTTATTCATGTAGAGCAATTTCTCCAACTCTAAGACGAGAAGATAATTTTGAAAGCCTGAAAGAGTCGCACTTCAAAGTAACTAAGATAGATATACATTTAGGCCTATCGAGACCCATCATTTGCTGATTAGATAGCACCTCACTTCCTTCAGTCTTGTAGAAGTATTGGCGTACATATGAGTTTAAAAATCTCTCCATAAAAAATAAGGCAAATAGGGCATCCAATAAAGAAGATTAGTACATACTGGTGATTCTATGACTTTGGCTAGCATTAAGGCCAACTTGGTTAGTGATTTCTAATTTTGTTTTAAATTTTATGTTATTTAATTTATCAATTGAATTTGACAGGTTTATTAATTGGAATTGCAAGAGAAGTCATTGAACAGACCACTAACGCATGGAGAGGTATTTAAGAAGATACACACTTGCAAGGGAGACAAAACTAAGTAGGTTGATGCATGATCTCAGACTACATATGTAACTATAGTTAATGACATTATATTATTTATTAAATATTTAAAAATATTTCTCGAGACTAATATATAATTATCTACATTAAATCATAGGATGATTATGTTCAAAGGCGAAAGGTTGCATCTACTGAGAACCCAGAGTCTATTGATGAGGATGCAATATGGTCAAATGAAAGGCCTTTATAAATGTCGCATTTATGGCATGAAAAACCGCTTAATAGACTCGATTGAGAACCTAAAGTCCATTGATGAGGATGCAATATGGTCAAATGAATGGCCTATATAAATGTCGCATTTATGGCATAGAAAACTGCTTAATAGATTCGATGTCGTCTACATCTGTAATCGGGGATGTCCTTTCTCTTGTGCCTGAGGTGATGGAGGACATGATTTGCACTCAAGTCCATGCCCCTAATGAAGAGCTCTAAAACCAAAATGAGGAGATGTAGAAGACCAAAGAGAGAACATGAAAAAAGAAATGGGCCAAAAAAATGAGAAAAAAAAAATAAAGAAAAAGGTGACATTAAGGATGTAGAAAAAGATATAACAGTAAAATACATTGATGCAACAGATGCATGCATACTTCGAGCTTATGAGAATAAGAAGCTTCACACCTCTTTCTCTTCCTCCACTAGCTCCATCGTTAGGGTGATGCGATATTCATCCTCCTCCTCTATTAATGATAACATTGCTCCTGATGATGATTGAGTACTCATGATAGAAATTGTCATTTTATTTTTCACATTATTACTTTGGATGTTTACTTCTTTAATTGTAATAGTATTTTAATTTAATATTTTTAAAATAATTTTTTGAATTGTGAGTTTTAATTTTATAATTTTTTTATGCTTACAAATTATTATAATAATTAAGAATAATGAGAAATAATTATACAAGTAAATAAAAAATTAAATTAAATATCACATAACAGTATTAATTTACAAACAAAAAGATTACAGACGGGTAACTCATTTGTAATTATGGCTGAGCTTTAGGCAAGAACCATATCTCATTCAACCTATTAATCAATTTAAAAGGGGAATTATATTGTCCCAAGGCATAACCTCCTTTCTGAATGGCAGAAGACCACTTAGTGCCAGAAAGACTAGCGCTTAAGGCTGCAACTTCCTTCTCAACATTTGAATCAGTCACAAATCCCCCAAACTGTCTAATTGCTGCATACACACTCTTCAATCTTACAACTCTGAGACCCTCTGCAGAAGGTGGGTTTTCTTGGTTTGCTTTCGGCAGATAGAAGCTCACACTAAATGCGGAGACATTCCCAGTTGCGACTTCAGTGATCACTGGTGCAGTCATCTCAATCTGTTCCTTACGGCTGTTATTACCATGAATATAACTAAATAGCCTAAGAAAATAAACAACAAAATTGGTTACTCAAGCTTATATAGCTCTTTGAATTGTACTATAAACTTTCAATTATCGTAGTTTTTATTTGCTCAATTAAACATGAGATGGACCAATAAAAATTACCTTTCGACGCCAGTTCTTGTAGCTCCTACCAAAGAATCGCCTTGAACAGGGGAATTTGAGATCAACACAATGGATTCATAGCGTCGAATTTCAAAGTCATTGGCTGATGCTACGAGTTCATAACGGGGACATTCATAGCGTTTGCATGGTGGGGGAAATTCCCCTGAAACACCCAACAATGAAACAGAGAAGAGGCTCAAAAGTGAAAATAAGAATGTGAAGGTAGTAGCCATGGCAGAGTTGTTGAATGGTGCAAAAGGTTACTCTCTGAAAATCTCAATTCTTTGGCATCAATATATTTAGTATCCTCATATTTTAATACACATCTCCGTGTCTCCGTTGACATTTAAATGAATTTAATGCGGTCTAGAGACTATTTGTTTCACTTCATTAAATTAGACCCTTTCTGTGAGAACGTAAATTTGAGTTTTTTTATTGTGTTTGACTTGCATTTTCTCTCTGCATTTAATGTTATGTTTCTAAATTCATTATGTATGTTTTGCTTTAAGGACATTTACTTGATATATCTACACAATTAATACAAAAATAAATTAATTATATAAGTTTGCAAATACTTATTTATATAAATAAAAGCTAGAGAAAAGTTTTATAAAGTACAACTTTTTTTAATTTATATAATAATTCGTTGATTTATTTTATAGAATATATGGACTTTTAATTATAATTGAACTGTAAATATTAAATGTAATTTTTTAAAATTTTATTAATATGATTTAATTCAAGATAATATTTAGTTTTATTAATTTATCAAGACCTCGTTTAACGAACAGGATACAGTATATGAGAGTTAGATATGTTTGATCATTAGTAAAGCAGAAATATTATGTCATTATGATTAATGTTTGAGATAAATAAAATAATAATAATAATAATAAATCAAGATTAAATTATATATAAATGCCAAAAATATTCTTTTATCAAATTAATATAATTTTTTAAGAATAATTTTTATTCAACTTTTACTTTTCAATAAAAATATAAATATTAAAAAAAATTGTGTACATACAATATAAAAATTTGATATTAAATTATAATATTTTTTCATTTTTTTTACATCCATTTATTTTTAAATTCATTCTGGTTTGTGAAAATTCACATAAATTAAATTAATAAAATAAATTGTTCTAACTCTTATTCCTAAATCTGAAATTCTAGAAAATATAAGTCAATTAAGGCTATTTCACTTTGAAATGTTAATGTTAGCTACAAAATCCTATAAAAAATTATGGTTCTCAATTTACAACATTCTTTATCTTATTTTATATCTAATAATAAATATAGTTTCATTCCGAATAAGCAAAGAATTAACAATATGATTATTCTTTAAGAAATTTTACACTCCTTTTGGAAATTTAACAGGTAAAATAAGATACATGGTATTGAAATTAGAGATAAACAAAAATCTATGATAAATTAAATTTAAATTTTATTACTAATACTCTTTAGTCAATTAATTTTTATTCAAATTTCATTAATATTTTTTATCATTATTTTTCTTCTATGTTCTTACGCACGATAGGGTAGCAACTGTGCAGAGAGAAAAAAAAGATAAAAAATAGTTATAATTAGTTAAAGAAAAACGGATAATTTAGTGAAGTTTATAAAAAAAACATTAAAAAATGATTTTTAAAAAAAATAAGAGCATGATTTACATAAACTGTTTTTAAAATATAAATCAAATATACTCTAAATCTTGTTTCAAGTTTTTCTATTAAAAATAACCACGCTTCTTTTGTTCAAGTAAGTATAAATGGTTTGATTAGGGATTGTCTAGGTTTCATTTCTGAATTACCTGTTACTAGCAAGTGTATGTTGTGATCGGGATTGAGTCTAAAAGGAAATTCAAACTGCACATATTTTATTTAAGATGAATTAATTTGCTTTTATGAACTGAAGAGACTAATATGGGCCTATTATTATAAAACGTTTATGCTTCATTCTCTTCCAGTTTTGAACTAGAAATAATTGTGAATCATAGTTTCACGTTTTCTTTGAAGAAATTGGTTTGAATTGGTTACTGCACCCTACACGGGTCTCAGTTCAAATCCTAAAACCAGCCCAGGGGCTCATAACCCAAAAAAAGTGGCTTAACGGTTCAAAATTGGAGAACCAAACTTTGAAAAACCAGCTAGTTCTTTGCAAACTAAAATTTGTGCTTGGTCTAACTTGGACTGACTTGTCAAATTTTTCATTGTCACATTGCTCTCATGATAGTTTAGAAAGCCTAAACATAATTTAGATTGATCATACCTTACCGTTATGTTGCTCCGTTTGATACATGAATCTTACTGTCATTTTATATTAATGCTTCTGTAGTTCTGCTATATTCATCTAGATGATTTCTGATAAAAGTTACTCATTAGAGGGATGTATAGTGTTCATATTCATTCTTTACTTATTCAGCTTATATTTTCCTTTTAACTGTTTCATAGCCGTGCAATAGTCTGGTCCTACGTTTAGAAGTGTCACCACTTGAAGGATACTGAAGTTCTAAAATAGTAGGACACAACCAGGTTCTATCCTGGGAACTCAGAAGGGTTATATATATTAAAAAATCTTACTTGCCTAACCATTCTTTTGAAAATGACTACAGAAGTTATTCTTGAATTGAACCACCACCAAATGATAACTGTGGCACCTATGTTATGGGATATTTCGAGACTCATTCAAACTAACAATGTAAACAAAACTCGGTTTTCAAACTCTTAACTTCACTAAATCTTACAAACATCTCATTTTTCTTCACATCTAGTTATCTAAATTCACACTATTTGTGCTGAAGTTTATAACATAAATTACAGCACTCGCAAATCAAGTTTCTGTAAATACTAATCACACTTGGTATATGATACTCCAATGTCCGCAATCATTTTGCATTTTTCTCTTCTTTTAATACAAAGGTGATAAACTGATAATCACGTTGCATTTGACTGCAGACTTTTTAAATTTATTATTTAAAAAAAATAGTATTCTATATTTACCTTGAAACTACATAACTAGGATGAAAATAAAACTCAATCTGAAAGCACTACGCTAAACGTGAAACACTTTATTCATCAATTCAAGATGTTCTACCACCTTAGTCTGCACTCTCGGTATTGCTTTCCCGTTGAAAGCATACAATCACATGCTATCTTATGTGGTATATATTTCACATAGAATGAGGTACATTTTCAATATCAAACAAGAACCATATCTCATTCACCCTATTGTCATATTCAAAAGGGGCATTGTACTGTGCCACAGTGTAAACAGAAGCATGACCAGCGCTCTGGCTTTTCTCAATGGCAGCAGCCCACTTAGTTCCAGCAAGACTATCCTTCAAGGCTGCAGCTTCCTCTCCAACATTAGTATCTTTGACAAATCCACCAAACTGTCTAACTGCCACATACACACTTTTCCATCTTTGAACATGGAGACCCTTTGCCGGAGGCGGGTTTGCCTGGTTCTCTTTCGGCACATAGAAGCTCACAACAAATGAGGACTCACAGAAGGGTCCATCACTAGGTAAAACTTCACTGATCACAGGTGCTGTCATCTCAATTTTCTGCTTGTAGTTGTTCTCACCCTGAATATAATCAAACAGCCTAGGAAAACAGAATGGTTACTCAAACTTATTTAACTCCAAGAATGGGACTACCCACTATCATAAACCGAAAATCTTTTCACTATACATGAACTTAAGATCATAGTCATGTTTTTAAATTGCAGTTCACAATTGCAATTACGGCTTCATTTTTACACAATTTCCCACAAGTTTGAAAAAGAGCAACATAACCTCAATTTAATATCATGTATTCATGGCTTTAGTTTATTCAATTAAAAAACCAATTTCTAAGTTTAAATTCTAATCTGAATGTTATTAACGCAATATATTTTGTATCATAACGCATGGTTGAATTCTTCTACGTTCATCAAAATGGGACCACAAAATAAGGCATAATTGAGGATTCCACAAAATATATTACTTCTTAATAGAGAATTCCACAAAAATACCCAGATTATTACTGTATTGCTCAGAAACTTGACTAGAAATAAGGCATAATTGAATTTTGAAAAAATGAAAAACAGAAATAGTTAGAGAAAGGCAAAATTACCTCCTGAAGCCAGTTCTTGTAGCTTCAACAATAGAAATGTCTTGAATAGGAGGGTTTGAAATCCAAACACTGGAATCATAGCGACGAATTTCATAACCGTTGCCTACTTGTATAACATCATAACTGGGACATTCAATGCGTTTGCATGTTGGGGGAACTGTTCCTACATGCTTAAGGGTATTTGACCTCACTGCCAAGATTGAAACTGAGAGGAGGCTAAAGAGCAGTGAGAGCGAGCATGTGATGGTAGCAGCCATGGCCAGAGTTGCTGAATGCTGCAGAGCAAAAGGTTAAACTTATAAAATGTGAAATTCTATGGCTACAAAGAAACTGAGCATCATATCCACACATTTAATGGTCCTCTCTCGAGACGTTCAGAAGCTAGACAAGTCAATTTCTTTTTCTTTTTAATAACCAATTTCTTTTTCATCGTTCATATTATCAAAAATATTTACATGAATTGATATTTATTTTTTTCCTGTTTTTGGGTTATAATTTTCCTGAATTTATTAAATTCTTTTCAGGTCCAAATACGAACTCTCAGAGGCTCAAGGCCCAACAAAATTGTCATTGCTTACCTGCATGAACGTTGTTGCGTATACATTGACACCAAACAAAATTGTTGCCATGTTAGTCGAACTTTACCGTTCCCTTCTGACCAAAAAAACAAAAGAGCATCACTTTTTCGAGAGGAGTTTATGATAAATTCGTTGATTATAAAAAAAATAAAAAATTAAGAGATGAATTTATTAATTTTATCTAATTTTTTAAATTAAATTTAAATATTTAAAATATTAATATGTATCAATAATAACAATAATTATTATTATTAATATCAAGTTAATAAATATTTTTTATTTTCAGTTGCTAAAGACTTAAGTTAATTTTTTAAAATTATTATTAAAATCAAATTAATATATATTATAAATAAATAAATAAAGTGAGTTATTTGGATTTAAACTTAAAGTTAATAAATTTTTATTTCAGCTTTTATAAAAAATTATTTAAAATTTTTACGTTTGATAAAATTGATATAATATAGTATCTTATCTAATAGTAAAAGCTCATATTTTAAATTTTAATTAACTAAAATTAAATAATTTAAGTAGGTTTAGTTATTTTTATCAGAGGGGCTTAACGCCCAGAAAGCAGATTTAGTTATGAAATTATCATTTTACTCATATTTATATAAGTATATATTTATCGCAGTTTATGTTTTAATAAAATAAATTCTTTTTCCAATAAATGTTCAAATTACAATGTCCTTTCATTTTATTTTAAAAATTACAATTCTTTGCCCAGGAGGTTAACATGTGTTACACTTTACCTCATTTTAAATGTAAACTCAATCATGGGTGTTAATATATGTATAAATCAATTAATAATAAGTATTAGTATATTCAAAATGCATTTTACAAATGGTACAATTATATATTTTTATTTACTGAAAAAATATTATATTTTTGAAAATGCAAACATATTATTTTCTTTTAAATTTATATAAGATTATATTTTATTTCAAAATTAATTATTAATAATTATATGTGTGTGAATATATATGTTAGTTATCATATATACTTGTGCATGTGTACGCCTATGTGTCCGCGTTGAATAAAAATTTTATGTATTTTATTAGTCTAAATAAAATATGTATAATATTTACTCATAAATTTATAAATACTAAATTAATTACTTAAATGTAATGACTCTTTTAAAAAGCTTTTTTTCTAAACAATAATTTTTATTTTTAAAATAAATTTAATTAAATACGCAATAAATATCTTAAGAGTATTTTTTTTATTTTTGTCTTTTTTTCTTTTTCTTACTTTGTAAATATTGAGGACAACAATGGGTTTAAGAACGGGGAGGGACAGGAACTATGACTTTCTTATAATTGATAACTTGCTTGCATTTTCATGTACGAAATTGTATATAGTTTCATAACATTTTCTTTTTCTTACATTTCATATATATTAAAAAAAAAATTGCATAATATTCACAGTTGTGTTTTCATACCTCACTCATACATGTTTAGATGAATTTTCAGACTCTTAGTATTGAATGAGATTAATTAAGAGGACGTTTGCTTCCCCTTTTTAAATATAGTTTTAGTTTTTAAAACTAAAAATTATAATAACTCTTAAAGTATTTTTATTTTTATTCTTTTTTTTTTTTCAAAACTTTGAAGGTGCATATAATTCTATTTTCATTAATGGCAGTTTCATAAATTAAGAAGAAAAAAAATAAATGCTAAAAATATTGGGTTAGAGCTCCTAAATCATCAACACACTCAAGGCACCATTAATCATCCTATAAGAATGGTGCAAGAAACATAAATTTAATAAGTACTCAAATTTTTTCTTTTTTTTATTTTGAATTTGTTTTGTACCATTGTTGATTTTGATTTAAATTTGAACTTACATTCGTACTACAAAAGCACCAACAAATATGAGAAAAAAGCTCATATTTGATTCTTCTTCTCTTCCTGCATTTTTTTATCTTTTTCTTACATTTTACAATTAATATTGAATGTTTGTACACATCCAGCAAAAACTTTGTCTCAAACCAAGTTTTAGTGGCTATTGAAATATCCAACTTATAAAAAATATAAGGGTTGGAGCATATCTTGTGACTATTCTCTATAGTTGCTTTATGTGTTATGATTAAATTTACCTTACATGTAATATTTTATTTATGATAACCCTTCAAAATTCACAAGATAATGTGTATGTTTCCTGACCTGAATTGTTTTTATAATTACTCTTTATTGGGATGATATTGAGTTTTATGATCAAGTTCACTTATTTTATTGTATTAGTATTATTTTTTATGATATTTATTATCCATACTATTTATATTTATTTATTAAAATTTATTTTAATATTAAAATTAATCATTATTTTTTATTTTAATAATTTATTTTATAATTTTCATAATTTATAAAAAGTGTTTGTCATGGTGTTCCCACATTTTAAGGTATCGATACCCTTCATAAATCACGTAATATCATTAGTTTAATTAATTTATAATTTATTTTTGTTATAATTTATTTTTTAATATAAAAAAAGTCGTTTTTATGATTTAACGAGAGTGAGTATTTAATACTCCTCAATCGATGTACCATAGATTTTACTTTCATGAAAGTCTATGTATTATATTACTTTAATTTAATATTAGATTTTAATATTTTAATCTTTTTTTAATCTAATATTTTATTTTAAATATAAAAAAATCTATTTAAGTAAATTAAAAAATACTAAAATAAATATCACATACATATATATATATATATTCATTTAATTTATAATAGTAAATAAAACCAAAAACTTTTTTTTTTTGTTTTTAAAACTTGTTTTCGAAAACAAATTTATCAAACAAGTTTTCTTATATTTTTTCATCTTAAAAGGATATTCAAAAACTAAACTACTATGAATTTATCTAATTCTTTGTCATTGTTTTATCTTAAAGATCCGTTAATTAATCACGATACAGTTAGTTACAATGTAATTGATTAGCAATTTTTTCAACAAAATCTATTTTTCATATTCATTAACAATTGTATAATTAATGAAGTAATTCTTAATAATAGTTCCTGTGAATATGACACTTGGTATTCTGTTTTTCATAATATTACTTTGACAATAGATACACTTGTCCAATAATCAATTTTTACATATCAATTATAGCGAAACTCTATTTTTCAACTAATTTGGATCCAAAATGCAAAAAAATTTAATTGTGACTTTCTTATAGTAATTATAGTAATTAGCATAAAAACTTGACAGAATAATAGTCACACATAAATATATAGGCTGTAAAAGTATGTCAAAATATAAACTTATTATTTATTACAATATTAAATTTTTATTTGTAAAAAAAAGAAAGAATAAAAGTGGATAAAAAGTGAAAAAAAAATTATTCTTTGATATTTTAAGGTTTATCACAAGATTGATTTTTTGTTTGTAAAAGAAAAAAAAATAAAAAAACAAAAAAAAATAATTTGTAAATTTTTTTAGAGTTTATTAGGATTAAATTTTTTATTTATAAAAAAGGAAAACAATTAAAAAGAACAAAAAAGTAACCATTTTTTTTATTTTTTAGGTTTTATCGTAAAATTGAATTTTTAATTTGTAGAAAAAAGAATTAAAAAATAACTACTTTTTTTATTAAGATTTACTGCAAGATTAAGTTTTTTGTTAGTAAAAGAAAGGTTTTTTATTTTTTAGAGTTTATCATAAGAATCAACATAGAACAAAAAAGTGTAAAAAATTTTAAAAATAAAAAAAGGTGTTTGATCTTTCAACTTTAGTTTTTTTTTTTATCTCTACTTATTTTATTTATTTATTTATTTTCTTTCTCTTTTATCCATCCTTTTTTTTACACAATTTTTTTATTTATAACTTTTTTTTTATTTTTTAAAAAAAGCTCTATTACTTTTTGTCTATCATTTCCAATAACCACCAATTAATTTTTTTAATATTCTGTTTCACCTTCTCAACGAATCAGTTTATATAAACTAACACATGAAATCTTAAAAATTTACTTATTTTTAAATTTTGAAATTTGAAAATTTTAAATTTTAAATTTTTAAAAAATAAATTTTATCAACTCCTATAAAATTTAATCATTGTCTAAAATTTTAATATTAATTTTTTTATTATTTTAAAATAGAACCAAATAAAATTAGTTATTCACAGTTTAAAATTTAAAAATATACTTTTTACTGCTCTTAAAATATCTCTTCTACAAATACCTTTAGCTGCTAATGTTACACATCTGTAGTTATAAGGATGTGTGGACAAATGAAAAATGAAGTCGAAATGTACCTGCATAAGTTTTAGGTCTAAATACATAAACAGAGAAATATTCAGAATGTTCGAGATTTGAAACAAGGTTCAATTCATTACATAGAAACATCTATTTCGGCTTTCTTTATTAAAGAAAACTCTACTATTGAAAGTATTAAAAGTATGTAAGTGATGAATATTTTTCATTTAATTTTTTATTTTGTTATCTTCTTTTATTTATTCAAAATTTTAATATATGTTAACAACATAAAAATTGATTGATTATTTAATTAATGATGTTTTAAACTAATACACTGAACAAAATAATCGTATTAAAATATCAATTTCAAACTATATGATGTTAGTGATCAATAATTATAAAATTTATCAAGCATTAAACTAATAAAATACTGATTCATGATTCGTTGGTTAAATTGTGACTGAATTAGAATCAAAACAATAATTTTTAATATTATATAATTTATTAAATAATAAATTAATATAAAATTATAGAATATGATTTAATTAATAAACTATCATAAAATTATATTATATATTTTACAAGATAAAAATATAAAATAGTCGGTTTATTAATAAATTTTATTTGATTTTTAATTAACTTAATTAATTCTTTACTATATTTTTAATTTATCAATTCTTGTTGTTATTTGAACAGGTAACCTGACCAACTATTGGTCGAATCGGTCGGATTGAATTTTAATAATTGCAGTATTTATTATTGGATAGATATTATTTATATCATCTATACTTATAGCGCATAAAAATTACTATTTAAATACTTTTTGCATTTAATATTTTACTAAATGAAATAAAAAATGGAGACAAAAGAATAAAATATTCGTTATTATGACAGAAATTATTTTTTTCAATTTCTTTAAAAAGTAGAATATTTTAAAATATCCGCAGATTCTAGAATGTTACGAGGATAATAAATAAATAAATAATTAAATAAAGGTTACGACGATTAATTGGAGTAGCAGTTCTCATTCTTCCTGTTTAAAAAAATATTAGTAATATTCTTATTTAATATTTTAATTTTAGTTTGGTAAAAATTACTATCAATCAATTAAAATATATTGTAAACACAATAAAGATATAATTTTTATATTAATTATTAAAAATTTAAAATTTATTGATATAATAATTTATAATTAAAATAGTGTAAAAAAATTATTCTATTAATAATATATTTAAATTAAATTTATTATTAAATTATTTTTATAATTTTTAATTTCTTAAAACTAAAAATAAATTTTAAATAATCAATTATAGAACATGTATTTTTATAAAATTTTAACAAATTATAAATATTTTCCTTCAAAAAATTAATGATTCATTATAAAATTTATGACTGAATTTAAATACAAAAAATTATTTAATAAAAATATTTATTAAATTAAAAATAATAAATAATTTCAATAAAAAATAGCTTTTAATTTTGTTCATGATTGAAATCAGTTTTCTTATTTTTAAATAAAGCAATATTTTAACTGAACTCCGTGTTTTTGAATTGAGGGATGAAAGTCCTCAATTCATGTGATAAAAATATCTTAAAAATTAAATCACATATTTAATAGTAATAATAATCCAGATAACAGTGAATTTACAACATATAAGTATAAATTAATAGGTTACATCTGCGTTTGTCACAGACTCTCACCTGCTCATCAATTTTTACTCCACTCCCACTGTGAAACTGACATGCCAATGGAAGACCCACCACCACCGCCACCGTCCTCCTACACCGGCTCGGGTGCGTCCATGGCAAAGCCTCGAAGCTACTGGCGGTGGAGCAAGCGAGACTTCTTCCCTGAGCCATCGTTCGAGAGTGGGAAATCCTACTGGACCGCAGTGGCGAACACGTGCCCACGCCTGAAGGACCGCCTCCTGAGCCGCTCGAGCGACTCCCACGAGCTCCTCGTCCTCCCCCAAGCCAGCGAGAACCGCATGAATCGTTGCCTCACGTGGTGGGACCTCACGTGGCTCGCCTTTGGCTCCGTCGTCGGGTCCGGCATCTTCGTCGTCACCGGCCAAGAAGCCCGCCTCCACGCTGGCCCCGCCGTCGTCCTCTCCTACGCTGCCTCCGGCTTTTCCGCCCTCCTTTCCACCCTCTGCTACACCGAGTTCGCCGTCGATGTCCCCGTCGCAGGCGGCTCCTTCTCCTTCCTCCGCATCGAGCTCGGCGACTTCCTGGCCTATGTCGCCGCCGGCAACATCCTTCTGGAAGCTCTCGTCGGCGCAGCTGGCCTTGGGCGCTCCTGGTCCTCTTACTTCGCCAGCATGGTAAAAAACGACCCGGATTTCTTCCGGATCCGGGTCAACTCCTTCAAACCGGGGTTCAACATGCTGGATCCTTTGGCCGTTGTGGTTCTCTTCGTCGCCAACGGCATTGCCGTTAGCGGGACAAGAAAAACCTCGATCTTAACCTGGCTCAGTTCCATCGTCACCACATTAGTAATCGGTTTTATCATCGTGATTGGTTTCATTCACGGTAAAACGTCGAACTTGACGCCCTTTTTCCCTCACGGCGTTAACGGTGTTTTCAAAGCCGCTGCTGTGGTGTATTGGTCGTACTCGGGGTTTGACATGGTGGCGACGATGGCTGAGGAGACGAAGAACCCTTCGAGGGATATCCCTATTGGTTTGGTTGGGTCAATGACGATGATTACGGTCATTTATTGCATGATGGCTTTGTCACTTGTGACGATGGTTAAGTACTCTGAGATTGACGTGGATGCTGCTTATTCTGTGGCTTTTGTTCAGATTGGGATGACTTGGGCTAAGTACCTTGTGAGTATTTGCGCGTTGAAGGGAATGACAACTAGCTTGCTGGTTGGGTCCATGGGGCAAGCTAGGTACACAACTCAGATCGCGAGGTCGCATATGATCCCTCCCTTTTTCGCCCTTGTTCACCCCAAAACCGGAACCCCTGTTAATGCCACTCTGTTGACCACTATATGCAGTTCTTTGGTTGCTCTTTTCTCTAGCTTGGATGTTTTGTCCAGTGTTTTCTCTATCAGCACTCTTTTTATTTTCATGCTTATGGCTGTTGCGTTGCTCGTGAGGAGGTATTATGCGAGGGAGAGCGCGGCCAAGAGTGACTTGGCGAAGGTTGTTGCGTGCTTGTTGGTTATTATTGGTGCTTCTGCCGTGGGTTCTGCGCTTTGGAACTCGGGGAAGCTGGGTTGGATCGGCTACACCGTGGCTGCTTGTGTTTGGTTTTTGGCTACGCTGGTGATGGGTTTGCTTCCCAAGCAGAGGGCTCCCAAGGTGTGGGGCGTTCCCTTGGTTCCATGGCTCCCATCGTTGTCCATTGCAACCAACCTCTTTCTCATGGGCTCCTTGGGTTCTGAGGCTTTCTGGAGGTTCTTAATTTGCACTGCTGTCATGTTTCTGTATTATTTGTTTGTGGGTGTTCATGCAACTTACGATGTTGAACATCATAACATTAGTCAGCAAGAAGCAAAGAATGCCAGGATGCCAATCAGCTAGTGAGAGTGACTCTCCAAGTTTCGTCTATGCAGGTTGAACAATTCATTATTGACGGTAGCTGCTGCATGTTGGTGTGACATAACATCTACCTGCAACTTTCAGCACAATTAAGCTTTCTGTGCTATACATTGAAATTAGCCTCTTTTTTTATTGTAAAGGGTTCTTTGGAGGATGGACATATTATTTATATGCCATTTGATTCGAAACGTTTTGCTTTTGTTTGAAATGTGAATCGTTGATACAGTTAGGTTTAAATTAATATTGTTTGAAATGTGAATCGTTGATACAGTTAGGTTTAAATTAACTTTGTCCAGAGGTGTAGTATCCTGTTCATGGTTCATGAATCATAGGTCATTCAAGTTTATATTATCATTTACATTGTGCATTGTGGCATACTGGGATTTATCTCCCGTAACTTGTTATTCTTGCACTTAACTGTGGATAATTCTGCCACCATTGTTATCATTAAGCAGAAGCTAGAGGCATGCCAAATATAATCGGTTTAATCAACAAATATTCTTGATCCTAAGACTTGTGATGCCACTGTACTGGAGCTAACAAACGGTCTACCGGTTTGTGTAAATGTAACCATATGAATTATACATTAATGTTCATGTTTGAACAATCATCCTCAGTTTTGTCATGGTACTTTTTCGAAAATTTTCCGAATTTTATGTTTGATTTCTTTGAGCATCTGTGTCATTCAATTTAAAACCCCACAAAAAATTCAGAACAGAAATTGGAAAAAAGAGAGAGGCTGAACTCAGGTATGGAAACTGCTGTTGATAAGACCTCTATTGGGTAATCCATTTTCTATATGCTGTTTTTTTATGTGCAATATTTTTTATGTGAGAATCAACCTGTCCTATTTCTACTTGTTAACGTATGATGCTCCTTGATTATTTTTTAAATTTGATATCTGATTTGGTATCTTTCTTAGGTTCTTTCCTCTTATGATTCAAGTTCTCTCTTATGTTGTGCACACGTTGTATGATAGAATGTCTGAACCGCTGTTTTTCTCTCGGATAAGCCTTCTACCATATTTCCTGTGAGAGTGGTGTCGATGTGGGAGTGTCAGATGCAAAGGTTTTGTGTCATCTTGAGGGATTTGTTGTTGAGTTCATATGTTCCTTCCCCACCTAAATCTACACTTTCAGCATGAGACAAGAGACAAGTTATTGCAAACGACAAGTGCTTTCACAGAAAGAAAGATTCAGCAAGAAAGTGGAGCAGAGAAAGATAGAGGTACAAGCAGGGGCGGGCATGAACCATTGCCCATGAGCAACCAGCGAAAGATGTTTACCGAGATCAAGGGATGAGTTAACTTAGCCCTATTGTCTTTCTTTCAGTTCTGGTAATTTCTGGTTTGATACACAGTTGACTTTAATTCCTCTTTGGGTTTTAATTCTTAACTATTCCATGTAACAAAATTTTAAGGTCTGTCTTGATTCATATGTAAAGGTTGATGTTGGGCATCCTGTAAATGCTGACATTGGTCTATTACATATAGTTGCCATGTTATGTGTGCAATATTTTTTGTTATTTCTTGAAGCCAGGGTGAATTAGCTAGACTATTTTTTCACTTGTTCGCTTTTGATCTTGAAATATTGACATGTTTCATGCATGTGCCCTGAATCTCTTTTTAAAATTTCCTGCGATATTTTAGCTGTGTCCCTTAGGTGATAATGATTGTTTGGCTGTTGATGTTTCTCAGGTAATATGTGATATAGTGCTCAGCATAATCTTTGTGAATTTTGTATCTCATATTTGTGCTTTATGTTTTCCATTAGATTTTTGGGCTTGTGAATTTGTTGCATGTTTATGGTTGAAACTTGATGTTTACTATACTCGAATTCTTGTACATAACTTGTTTGATGGAATGTCTGGGGATATTGGTTTTACTAGGTGATCAAGGGTCTTGAACAGGTTAGTATGAGTTATGATCAGTGTTGTTAAATTCTTATATTAACGTGAACCGATGCGGGACTAGTACTGGAGTGTGTTGGAATGTAGTCTCCAGCACAGTCGAACAGCTGATGTGAGACTAAAAAAACTCTTCAACAATAGACCAAATCTGTTACATATTATATTAATGTAAATTTTAATATTTATTATATACCGATTTAAAATGATTTATAATAAATTAAAGTATGAGTTGTGATCGGTGATCTTTCATATACAAATTTTTGGTACGATGGGTGCATTGCGAAACTGTTATTTGCTTCATTTTTTTTCTTTTTATTCTCGTATGCATTTTTTTCTAACACATTCGGTTTTTGAGTTTCTCTTTCAAAGGATAAGCGTTTTTTTTTAATAATATTTTTCCATCTTCCATGTGGTTTTATAACATTAACTTATGCAATAGTAAGTATAATTCTTGCTTTCCGTTTGGGGTATACCCAAGGTTTTGATAATAAGTTTTCCAGGTTTTGACCCCCAATTATACTTTTTCAGTTGTCTTTTTTGAACATACTGAAAAGTTAATTTCAAATTATTAAATATAATTAAAATATATGTATAAATTAATTTAAAGTACACCATTTTATCAAAAAGTGTAAAATTAATTTTTAAACTTTAATGTGAATCACGAATTTGTTTGGCTGGATTATACGATTCTGTGCAATGCCAACTTTCATTTGATAAGTCAAACGGTCCCATGGTATTTTGACACATGCAGAACTCGGATTTGCTTTGTAGTTGGTGCAGTCCGAAACACATGAACCGTTTGATCCATCCAGCACTTTGTAAGGGCACGTCATTGCCTTTTCTGTGCCAGAAAAATAAAGCGCGCGACACACAACACGCAAGTGTAAAACTTCACTTAAAAGACTAAAATACTCGACTCCATTCAAATCACAAAAAATCATATTGGGTTTAGATTTGATTTTCAAACCTAGAGAAACTAAATCATATTTTTTTATAATGAAATTTAATGACTTTTTAATTCCAATTTAACATTAGAGCTTGGATATTTTCTAAACATAATAAACTTAAATCAATAATATATAGTTTTTTTATTTACTTTATAAATTATTTTATTCTAGAAGAACTAAATTTCACATTATCAATGACTAATGAATTGATTAAAAACAACAACAAAATTTGATAATATCTATAGAAAATAGAAGGATATTGTACAATTTCTCGGTATTGTATAAACTATTTTACAAAATTTCATGTTTTTATTCAATTACGCATATTGCAACACCGCTTCGAAAATTAAAAAGGTGCATATATCACAGCGATCGCGATGGGACTCGAACCCACAATCTCCCGCTCCGGAGGCGAGCGCCTTATCCATTAGGCCACGCGATCGGAATCTGAAATATAGATAAACAAAAAGTTAATAAATCCTTTTACAATACAAATTTTCTTATGGCGTAAATAGTAGCCGATCATCTAATCTATATCTGTATACTTTTCATAGCTGGGTTTTGCCGTTATATAAATACTGTTTATGAAAAGAAATAATCATACTTTTATTTTTACTTTTGTTATATTATTGAAATTCAACTTTAAGTATTGTTTTGTTCTTTTTTTCATTCTTTACATGAAATATATAGGCGTGTGAACTTTTTTTTCCAAGTTGTTTGGTTTGCAACAAATATTTTATTTGTAATTTGAGATTTATATAATAATTATATACATCTCATCATACGCTTTGAGTGAGTTCTTATATTTAAGTCTAAATAAAAATTAAAGGGTTATATGTATTATTTTTTATGCATATTTTTTTTATTATTGTAAAAATTCTAACTAGAAATTAACATTTTTTAATGCCTTATATTTAATAGACTCTTTCCTTTTATAATAGACATTATAAATTCGATCTTAACCCTGTCAAAAAAATGTTATGTTATAACTGTTCTGCACATGTTTTTGTAACATTTTGCAATTTTACATTTTCTTTCAGTATAATAATATTCAAGAAAATATTATAAACATAATATTTTGATATCTTTAATTTACAAAATTTATTAAATTTAAAATATAAATATTATAATTTTAAAACTTACGTCAACAAATTATCTTATTAATTTATTTAAATTATATAATATATTAATTTGTTTTAACTATCTTTATATTAGTATATGTTGAAAAGAAAAAAATTATATTTTAAATTTTTAGTTTTTAAAATAAAAATTAATATATTAATAAGAGATAAAATATTATTATATTGATATAAGTCTAAAAAAATTTAAATTTGATTTAAGATTTTTATTTAATTTATATCTAATAATTAATAAAATAATAAATTATAACCTGATATAAGTTAAATAAAATATTTAAATTGAATGTAAAAATTTTAAATTTAAACCCATGTTAATAATATATTTATTATTATAAATAATATTTTTTTTTTATTCTAAAAACTCCTCTAAGCATTTAAGAGAATATAAATTTTAAAATAATCGGAGCGGACACGGACCTACACCCCGGTGAATTTTTAAAATTTTCTCACGTGTTTCAATTTGAAAAGCTTGTTCCCGCTGGAGATGAATTTATAACTAGAAAACCCAACGTCACACAGTAGGCAAATAGTTCTTCGATACTGCCGCGGCAATGGAAGACAGTACGTTGAGGCTAGCAGACCTTCTCCGCACCCCTCGACCTGTCACCGCCTCTTCGTCTCTTCCATTCAATTCCACACCCTCTCCGCCGCCACAACGCTCCGCGAACCACCGCGTCCTCACAACCCTCAACCGCCCCACCGTCATCGTCGGAACCCTAACCCTCCCCACCCCCTCCCGTCCCTCTTCTTGCTCCTGTTTCCGATTCTCCGACGCCTCCGCCACCGTCTGCTGCGACCTCCTCCGCTTTCGTGCCGCCGCTGTAGGCAAGGAAATCCGCGTCACCAGGTGGAATTTCATCCCGTTCAAGCACCACAGGCACAACGTCAGCCACGGCTTCTTAGAGATCATCGATTGGTGTTTTGATGATCCTAATGAAGGGTCAAACCCCGTGGATTCACTTCTGCTGATGCCAAATGATCGCAACCTTGCCATGGACGGATTGAGAAGCGTCCACGGAGTAGTGGAGTCGGTTGACCCACTTTCCGTGGTTCCATGCACAATGGCGGTTAGTGGCTCTAATATGAATTCCGGTCCTAAGGTGAACATGCCGGGGTTTTTGGTGCAATTGATGTGTTGTGAGTGTAGGTTATGTGGTACCAGGGAATTATTAATTAACAAGTTGAACGAGAATAGGAGCAGGCATTCTTTTACCAAATTGGAGATTGTGTATTTTTGTGGTGATGCCTCGTCATGGCACCCTGCAATCACTAAGCTGATTGGTAACCGCATCGTGGTTTCCGGTCTGAAGAAAAAGATAGTTTATGTGACGAAGGAGGAGTCTCGTGTGATGTATGTGACTGTGGATATGTCGGTTCTGCATGTTGGTTCGTGTTCAGAGAAATGTGTGCAAAGCTTGAATGGTGAATGCAAGGGGAATGGTGAATGCGGTACTTACACTGGTGTAATTAAGGGTGTTTACATGCAAGGAATGGCGTTGGAGTTGGATCATGATGTGTGGCTTCTTTTGACTGATCAATTACAATCTGTGATACATGGTTTGAGAGTTGGATCCATTGTAAGTGAAGTGAATTCACTGCTTCATTGACCAGAGAAATTTTTTGGACTGTAAATATAGCAGTGTGTTGTAGAACGAATTTTCCTTTATGATTGTATAATATATATACTCTGATAATAGCTATCCTCTTAGACTTCTATGTTTTACACCTAAAGCAATGACCTGACCATTGTGTAGATATCTGTGAGAAATGTGCATTTTGTGGATCCAAAGTTTTCTTGGACAAAAGTTATTATTCTCGGGGCCTGTGTCAAGACTAGTGTTACTGTGCAATCCTTCTCCCCGCTTGAAACTGTGTATGTATTGCTTCCATAATTGTGCTTGCTTCTGTTCAATTGTGTCACATGAATGCTCAATGTAACGTATGACAGTCGTGAGACCTTATGTGTGGCCATTGAAAAGTAACTTATTTTGTTCTATACATGTTATTGCCCTTTCCTTTTATATTTGGAAGATTGGACAAAGACCAACAATTGCATCTAACTGGACCCATGCCTTGGTCATGTTCTGATTTGTTGTATGTTTTGCATGATGTAATGTTAATACTAATTGTTCTTGAATACTAATAGCATGTTTGGATATGCTTTTTTTCAAGGGTAATGATTGCTTATTCTTCTAAAGTTCTCTCAAGAAGGTGACAAAAGAATGCAATTATTTCCTCAAAATAAGCCAAACCAAACATGAAGTAATTGTTCCTTGAATGTTTCTGAGTTATTTGATGTCTAGCTGCCTATACATGTCCTTTGCAGATAAAGTGATAATTCAATTTAGTATTGCAGGTGTAATGTAGTTTTGCAATCTACGGGTAAGCTAGGAAAGTTCATTCAGTCATTACCATTTTCTGCAAGACTCTGGTATTAAATAAATTTTTTTCCTTTTGTTGCAAATAATTTGGAATTTCTAGTTCTAAAATTTGCTGGAATATGTATTATTTCTTTTTATTATTTTTGAATGGCAGGGTATTACTCCTTGTCTCAAGCTTGCGTAAAAAGTTTGCTGGTATCTTATCTGATAAGGAGATTTTGGGATCAAAACATGTAATCTACTTCCTTTGGGGTCAAGTAGTTATTAGTTTTTCTGAAGCTTATTGTTCTGTTCCAATTCTAATGAGCTATTGTTGCAAGGTTTTTCCAGAAAGAAGGACTAGCTCAGATGTACGCTAGTTTGCTGTTTCCTCCATCAGTGTTGCAAACTCAGGTAACAAATTGACGCCTGGGAAAACTTCTTTGAAGTCAATTTTTTGCTGCATTAGTTTTGTTGTAATGTTTTCCTTTGGTAGCATGATGTTTTCATAGGGCTGCGTTCGCACGACTTGAATGGATGCGGTAGAGAACTGCATTGTGGTTTTCTGAAATTGGTATTTTATTTGAATTTAAAAATTTATATTAAATTTCTTCTGGTACTTTATAAAGTTTGGATACAATATGTAGTCATTGTTTCACCCAAAAGAAAGAATAGTCATGTTTTTCTAGAACGAATTTGTTATTAACCACTGAAGGATATTAACTATTGTGTCTTTGTATTATTACAGGTAATACCAATGTCTATCTTCTTTTGTCACTGTATATACACCTTGCTAGGAACACTAAAGTTGGAAAATCACAGTCAAGTATTGCCTGTTGGCAACTATTTCAGTATTTTATCACACAAAGCCAGGAATAATGGTAGATCAGTTAGGAGGATCCTTCGAAGTGAAGATTTAGGTGTTGTTTTGCTCGGACATCTTAAGGTTGTTAATTCAATTTATCTTTTATTTCAACACATGGAAATAAACTGCATCAATGGTTATATTAGTTCTGTCTTATTTGTACATTACTTTCTTTGATGTTTTAAAAAAGGGATCAGACAATTTTTTTTTACATGAATTTTTTATATTATTGGCACATCTACTGATATTTAGGTTGTTGTAATTTTGCTTTGACTATTCAGATTGATCCATTCACTAGAAGACTGCAGCTGGTTGATGCAACTGGTGGCATTGATGTTTTTATACCAGACCTTCCCTTAACATGGAATCCCAACGAAATGTACGAGGTCTGTTTCTCTCTGCATTTCACATTTTATTTTATCTTATGAACAACTAAATATAGTTTAGGTTCTCTAAACATGTAATGCCTTCATTTTGGAATTATGTGGTTTACACTCAAAATCATGGCTCTTGTATGAATGCTTTGTCATTCTGGAATTATGTGGCTTACACTCTTAAAATCATGGCTCTTCTTGTACAAGTGCTTTGTGTGGTTGATGGTGAAAGAAGACTAGCGATGAGATACATTTATGAAGCAATGGATAAAACTAAAGAAGCTATTATTAAGTATTTCAAAAATAATGAATTAAATACAAAGACATGTTTGCAACCATTGATTATAGATGAATTTGCCAACTTCATCATCCCTTGGATACATTTAAACTCAAAGTTCTTTTATGACAACCCTTAACTAGAGTTTGATTTGAAGGTTACAAATGAGTTATATGATTGTATCAAGAGGTAAGTGCCATGTGAGAATGTGTAACAAAGCATATTACTTGAACTACTAATTTATAAGAGTGGTTTTGGGCTCTTTTGGTCTGACTTTGTAAAATCATAAAGAAAAACATTTCTCTTGATAATTCATCAAAGACTTCAACATTCTAATTTCAAGTTAATTTATAGCTAAGACCCTTAAAGTTGTAATTTATCTTTGATTTATAGCTCAATGGTAAAGAATGTATGACCATTCTACCATACCTTTATGACAGTTTTTTGGCTTTCTATCATGACCTGCCATTTGCCATTGATAACATTGGCAAGCACGGAGACAGGGTCAAGGATTGTACAATTGTGGATATATCTTTAGCACGTGATTTTGACTATCATAGTGGAACATATATATTATTTAGGGAAAATTCTATTTGTTTTATTCTGTTTCTATTCTTACTTTATTTTCTTGTTTCCTCACTTTATTTCCTTTGTTAGTGATTTTAAATTCTGTATATATTATTGATCTTGTTGAGGTAATTTTCCTAAAGCATTTAGCAATTCTTTGTCTCTTCATCAAGACAGCTTAAGCAAGTTTTTAATCCCTAAAACTTGTGATTTTGGTCCTTGTAAAATTTTATTTGTTTGTAGTCCCTAAATATTATAAAAATCACAATATTTTTGTTACATGTAGGTACTAAAAACGAATAAAAACCTTGATATTTTCAACGGATAAAAATATATTTAAACCTATAAATTTCTAATTTGATAACATAGTATTAGGCTGTCCATAGATTGTTTCAACTTCACTATAATTTTGGATTTACAGGTGATGGACTATGATGTTTTTGTGGATAGCATAGGCGAACTTGATAATCAGTCCAAATTGCTTGGTAGCGAGTCATTATCATGCAGAACGATCTTTAATTGCTCCCAAGTAGAAAGAGAGTTACGCACATCAATTTTTGTTTTCTTCCTTTGGAAGAATGCTAAACGCAGAAAATTTCCCCTTTACTCTTGTATCCATAGTGAGAATGAAACAGAGACACTAGAACCGGGATCCTACCATTTGCTTAGGGTATCTCACAAATTTCCTCTGCAAGAAAAGGTATGTTTTAACTCTATTTAATCTGAAATTATGGTCACTAATTACATTATGAGCTGCAATGAAATATTAATTAGAACTGTTGCAAGTTAAAAAAGTGGTGAAGAGTTACATATAAAATGATTATAAGATCAGGTAGAAGGATTAGTATCAGCTTAAACTAATGTGTGTGTGATTGATAGGATTAACCCTTTCACATCTTATATTTCTGGGAGATTTTAGCTTCTATGTAACTTAGTGTTATTGTTTGTGAATGGCAAGGCTATTATTGTTTGGTTAGTATTTTGGGTTCACTGTATATAGTTGATAGATTAATCAACTTCTCTTGGTTATGATAATTTCAAAATCCATATTACAAGATTAAATGCCTGCTGCCAGTCAGTCAAAATTCTTTAAATTCTTGTTAAGTATGCGATCTGTTTAAGAAACCTAAAGATTTTTAAGTTATATTTGCATTTTCAGGAGACAGATGAAGCTTTTTCTTATATTGTAGTTTTCTTGGTCTAGTAAGTAGTAAATGTCATGTGTCTAGGGAGATGGAATCCTAAATTTATTACATTATTAGTTAGTTAATAACAGTTATTATTAGACTGTTATTCTGTTAGGTATTGTTGTTTCTGTTTAATGTATGTATACTTGTAATTGTAATCCTTTGTGTGAATTAAGTAAAAAAAGAATGTACTTAACTCAGTTCAACTTGACCTCCTATCTGTTAGGGAATGCCTGGATATGATTTTTTATGTCTAGCATGACCCAACAAGTGATATCTTTGGGCTTGACTTGAAGCATCAAGGCTAAAACCTTATGCTGAAATTATAATTTAACACATAGTAGGACTAGGAACTCCAAGGCTTGAATCCTACCTTGGTTGAAGAAGTTTCAATATCATGCCCATTGCCAAGGAGTAATTGTCCTAGGTTAAACTAGTAGGTATTCCTAGGAATGGTTTTTTATGTCTAACAATATCCACACATATTAAGCCCTTTATCTACCTCTTAAGTGAATAATGATTTCTAAAACATGTAAGCTAGATACAATGTCCACAAATACAGAAAAGCATAACAACTTAACTAGTGTGCAAAGCTATTGAGAAGGAACAGAAACAAGTGACATACAATGTCCTTGGGGTCATGAACAAATCAAATGGCCTTAAAACCTTGAGGATGAGGAGACTAGTGATGATACAAGAACAATGAGAGACTTGATTTTGAAGAACCAGTGATGACATTTTTTGTTAATGAGGTCAAAAGCAGTAAGAATAATATCACCCAAGAAGCGAACATGACTATGATACAAAAGAATATGAACAGTTTCAATTAGACGTGTATCTTTACATTTAACAACCCCATTTTGTTGTGGAATATAAATACAAGAGGTTTAATGAAGGATGCCATTAGAAGTCATAAAACTTTGAAAGTGATGAGATAGATATTCACAAACATTGTCTTTTCGTAAATTACAATTCAAAACACTAAATTGAGTTTTAATTTTAAAAAAGAAAGAATTGAGAATAGAAAATAATTTAGAACGAGCTTTCATTAAGAATAACCAAGTACCTTTAAAATAATAATGAATAAAAGTAACAAAATATCTTGATCATAAAGTGGATACAATACTTCTTGTACCCCAAACCATAACAAAATATCTTGATCATAAAGTGGATACAATACGTCTTGTACCCCAAACCATGGTAGTTAAATCGATATTCCAATCTTGAATCAAGAGACCTATTTTCTAAATTGTGAATCGAATTGTATCATGAATAGTAAGATTCATGATTAATTGCTAAAAATATAATAAAAAATGTTCTAACATAAAGAAAAATTAAATTCATCCATATATTGACATTTTATAGTTAAATACTTAATTGTATAACTAATAAATAAAACATAGTACAAAGATTTAAGTCAAACATAAGCCACAATGACACAAAAAAAGGATTGTAACTGCAGAAATCAGTGATATATACCTTCAAAAAATAATAGCAACCATAATGCAGAAAATTGTGAAAAACCAAAATACTGCAATGTCATGTAGCATATAGCGTTGCGGGCAAATAGTGAAAGTCACATAATGGTTGAAATATAAAAAATTAAGCAGTAAAACAGTATATAAATAAATAAGCTACATAAAGACTAAAAGTAAGTATATAAAAAAAGTGACATAAGATTAATTCAAGTCAAAAGTTTAATTGTTCAAACTTCAAACAAAGTACCAAAAATATCAAGTGTCAAAGAAAGTTCAAAACAAAGTACTGAAAACACTAAACAACGACAAAATAAATCCATTTATTCAATCATTTTCATCCCCTTCTTCCCCTATATAATCATCATTCTCATTGTCAAATAGTGAGGCATATCCTTCAACTTCTTCTAAATCTTTAAAATCATTGTCTTGACTGTCTTCTAATTCTTTTTCTATTTCTTCCAAGATTGCAATATCTTCAACCATATGCTCTTTTCCATTTTTGGATGACGATGCACTTGCCAAACCTTTCTTTGTCTTAGATGCAACACCAACAACATTAGAGGGTTCCTTTCTTTTATGAAATCTTTGCCTAATATATGTTATAGGTTCTCCAACTCTTGAAGCTCCGTAAACATCTTCCAAATAAGGGCATTATCATTGTCATCCTCAAAGACTCTCTCATTCCCAACATCATTTTCATCACCATCCATCTTTTCAACTAACCATTCATTACACTCATCGATATCATTGAGTGAGATTGGGTCAATCTCATCCATTAAATTATATCTTCGAAGCAATGCTTGATTATATTTGACATACACTAAGTTGTATAGTCTTTTATGCCTAAGCTTGTTCCTTTTCTTAGAATGAATCTGCAACAATAAGTTAAATAAAAATTAACGAAATTTTCTAAGTGACTAAGTATAGAAACTATTATCTACTAAGAAAATTAATTAATAAATTACTTGCTCAAACACTCCAATTGCGTTCGCATCCTGATGCACTAGATGTTAAGTTCAAGATCTTTATAGCCAATTGTTATAAATTTGGAGTTGATAGTCCATACATTCTCCATCATTGTGCTATGAATCCAAATAAATATTTTGCAATAATGCACATAACAAGGGTTACAATTTAGAAGAATTGAGAAAACTTCATAACGTTTCTCACTTGGTGCAATTGTGTTTCTTTGTGAAGTAGCAAATTTATTTTCAAACATACCACCAGCAGTTTTATAAACTCGTAGCTCCTTCTAAATCTTTTGTTAACCTCTCAATGCATGCATACAGCCCATTTGTTACCTCAAAATCAAATTCAATTGAGGGATTATTGTAGAAGAATTTTGGATTTAAGAAGTAACCAGCCACATGTAATGGACAATGAAGTTGACAACTCCACCTCTTATCAATAATTTCAAAAACCTCCATATATTTGCTTTCAATATTCTCAAAAGATCTCATAATAGTTTTTTTAGCCATTTTCATTGCCTCATAAATACAACCCATGGCTGGTTTTTTCTCACTATCAACAAGGCGAAACTCATGCACAAGAGGAGCCATAACCTTAAGTGTGTATACTACATTATTCCAAAAAGTAGGCATGAGTACAATTTTTGTTGCTTCCCTTCTTTTGGCCTCCTTGGACAATTTGTTATTTGTCCAATCATCCAATACAAACATTTTTCTAAGATTTGCTTTCTCTTTATGAATCCTTTCTAATGTGAGGAAGGATGTAGCAAATCTAGTAACTGGCCGGGGGGGGGGGGGCACAATGACCAGAAAAGTAAAAATCCAAAAACTAGATGAGAAAAATAATGTTTGGAAATAAAGTAGCAGTGGGCTCACTTGGTAATCATGGATTAAGGCTATTTCTTGTTAGGCTGATACAAAATTGAGAAAATAGATGAACGAGAGACATATAATGAATCCGTGTGTCTAAATTGCATAATCTAACATATATCTATAATGAGAATAATTAATACACTGTATTAATATTCAATTGCTTAATTACTGTAATTACAAAGATATTAACTTTCCTATTTATAACATTACCACAGTTACATATTTCCAACAATTGCATATCCATGCAAAAATCTGATGTGATGTGATGTCATAAAGGACAAAAGGTGCTTTTCTTTTTATTTAACTTTTTCTTGTATAGTTTTACCCATTCTAAAATGTTCCATTGTTGTACAGTATTAGCATTGTTTTTCATCAATCTTGCACTGCTAATACCCCTACCTGTATCAATTCTTGCAGTATTCTAATAAAATGGTATCCAGCAAGTCAAGTACTTTTGTTGAAGCCATAATTTTGCCTTGCATTTTATTGCTTGCTGGCAAGAGTAGAATAGCTCATCCATGCTATGCTTGTCATGACAAAACAAATGAACCTTCTAAACATTGTGTTAGTGGTAATAATGAGGATAAAGTTTCCATGAAGAGGCAGAAAATTATGGAATCAGTATGTTCATCAAAGGATGAGTTTCGCACAATCTATGGGTTGAGTGCTTGTTCTAATTGCTTATGGAAATCAGAAGAAAACACAAAATGTGTCAATTTGAGGTCTTCTCATGATATATTTTGTCTGGTTACTTTTAGAAGCCTTCAAAATGAGAATGTGATTTGCCCAGGTATCTTGTGCTCCACATCACCTATGAAAGATACGAGTTTCAATTGTAAACCTACTTCAAGGAAAATTTTGCTCGAGTTCTCATCAGATAGATTTTTAAAGTACCAGGTATCTTATTTACTCTGGCTTTCTTTCTGAGGGTAGTAGGTATTAACTAGTTTTATATATTGGGCACCTGAGTATTGATTTACTTTCTACTGCATTTCAGTTGTTGCAGATTGGTGGCTATTACATCATAGATCATAATAGAAAAGACTGCTTTAGCTGTGCAAAAGATGGCTTTGGTAGCAGTGGCACTACTAAATTTCTTGTTGATTCTGGAAAACATATCTGGAGCCTTTCATTTATTTATGATGAGAATCTTAATGATTACAAATCAGTATATACAACTGCAGAAGATTCTTTATCTCTTACCATTGATGAGGATTTGCCTAAAGATCAAAGTGAACAGTTTCTGCTGAGGTCCGATAATGAACCTTCAGGTGTCTCTTCAGATGTCTGTCTTTACCTCCCTGTCAATGTTGCAGGTGTCTTGGAGGATAATATTATGGAATCGGGAGATTGTCAAAGACAACAATTTGCAATATCAGAATACATTGCTAACATTTCCTTGAGTACTGGGCCTGTAGTCTCTAGGCACAATTTTTGTTTTGGGCCTCATAGATCAAATTGTTTGTTTCCTGAGGGAAAATTGATCTCTCTTGAGGGAAACGTGGTTGACATTCATGACATTGGCTCTAGCTTCTGCTATTCAAGCTCAAGTGGTGCAAACCTTGATGCCCTTGAGTTGAAAAGCATTGCTAGGACTGGAGGCAGTTTCTGCATTCACGTTTTGGTGCATCATCACATTGTAACTGCAATTCCATCTCGCCATATTTTTGTATTTTTGTTTTGCTTATTTTTTCAACTTAGTCTTGTTAATTTATTTCTTATTAGGTGAATATTTTTGGTTCTGTAAATAAGCATTCTTTCCCCACTGGTTTTGGACCTGGTGTAACTGCCACATTTCATCGAATTCTTGATGCAAGGTATGAAATAGGTTCCTCCATGAGATAATCGGGTTCCATTTCTCGTTTTGCTGCACTGTTTAAGAAAGCAAAATTGGCAGTTGTGAACTTTTTTGTATGAAAAATTTCATTGATGAGGATGTTTTGTGTACTTCTACTTACCAATCTGTTCTGTCTATTCAGTTTTACTCTTCCATGTTCCCATATGCACTTGTCTGAAGGACTTATCCTTTCATTAATTATATGAAATTTGTTTTCATTTTTGCTGCAAAATTGATTGCTTATCTTTATCTTTTTTTCTGCAGGGTCCAAAATAAATTTATGTTGCTGCCTGTGTCATTTATTGTAATAAAATCCATAGACGTATGTGATAACCAATGCAGTGACAACTCCACCAATTTAAAGGCTACTAAAGATGCTTACAGTGCATCTCAAGATTCTTTCTCTTGTCTGATTTCCCAATTGCCTCAGAACTTGAGTCACAAGCAAATACTGCTTCGATGCAGGGTAAATTGTTTATATATTTATCTATGAAATGTTTGTGCTCTCAAAGAACATTATTTTCACTGTTGTTTTTTATGATCAGGTTGTTGCAGTCTTTGTTTTAGTTATAGAGAGGAAGACTACAAATTTTATTGCAGAAACCAAAATTAATGCTGAGAGGACTCTTTTGGACATACCGCTTGCTTGTTTTTTGTTGGGTAAGTTATGTGTTAAAAGATAAGTTCAGTTGAAGTTTTGTGGAAGAAAAGTCAGCTAAGAACAACTTAATTATATGTTCATGTACAACAGGTCAAATGTGGTTTAACCTCATGACGTTTTTATTTTACCCAGTATTCTATAGGCATCCTATTTTCAACTTTTTTCTAAATTCCTCATAAATTCTGTCCATTTTTTGGCTTGGTTTGGTTTCTATTTTCTATATTCTTATATGAAGTTTGTGTTGCTCTTTCATTTCTAACATATATAGCCATGTTTATTCACTTGGCAGCATGCGAAAGCATAGTATTTTGTAGATGATTCTTACTATAAGTGTGCTTAAATTTTGCAGGGTAGTAAATTTTATAGGAAAGTGAAAATTTATTTAAACAATAGAATTGCACAATATTGTAACCAAGGTTGCCGAAGATGGTGAATGGGAGCACTTAGGGTTCAAGAGTACTGAGTTTGGATTATACAACTACATGCAGAAATTGACAATGTAAAGGGGGAGTAAAATCTCAAAAATTGCCCCCTTTAAAAGGCTTCTAATGTTAAGAAAACAAGTGTAAATTTGACATTTCTGTCATACATCAAATAGCAGCTGGTACAGCTGTAATTTTTTGCAATTTTGGCCATGATTCGCATTGCTCCAGCCACTACACTGAACCGTGATGCTATGCACTTAGAATAGTGGCAGGGAGCCGCTCTACTCTGCTATGCCGTGATAGTGGCTGCTATGACTACTATGATGGTAACAAACAATTTTAACAAGGGTGTTGAGATTGTGTAAATATTTTCTTTTTTAGAAAGTTAGGATAGTGTGTTAAGTACAACAGTTTGACATCTAACAAAAAACTAACAAACTGTACAACAGACTCTTAACTAACTAACCAAAACTTAAAGCTCAAAATTAACAGATATCAGAAATCAGACTCCCAATGTGGCCAACAACTCAACACCCAAAATTAAGTTGAGCTCTTTCATATCAAACCCAAAAGAATTGATGCATATTTGCAAGTCTTCCAACTCAAATACTACTCCGCTACACCTCCCTTGCCCCCATTTTCAGTTCCCATCTCCTAATCTGACTCCCACCTCTGTGGTGTTGCCATGCTCTAACTCCAAGGACTTCACAATCTTCACTGAAACGAAATTATGAGAAGCTCTGCTGTCAACCAAAATTACCAACGGAACATGCTTAATTTTCCCTTTTATTTTCATGGTTGTGGGCTGAAACCCAACTCCACGACCCACTGCATAACTTTTACGAGCAGAACACTACAACTTTCCTGCAGGATGCTCCTCCATCTCCAAGGCTAATACCTTCTTTGCCTCCTCCCTAATTGTTCATCATCCACAATGATTAACTTAAATTATCGTTCAGGGCAGGGCATTGATGCATAGGGTGGAAGTTTTGGCCACGTTTAATACACAAACCTTTTTGCTTCCTCTCTACTAGTTCACCATATGATAAGTGATGCACTCCCGAGTCTTTCCAGCCCCAACATTGCCCAAACTTTTGTAAAAATTTTCAAAGATTTTTCCTACTTCTAACTTTTCCATCGTGAGAAAAACCGAAGTAACCTTTTTCTGAATCTATGAAAGTTACAAACCACCTTGTGCATAACTTGTTAACCCAGGTTGTCCAGCTGATCCTTCCTAGTATTTCTCTTAATTTAATTAATTTTGTTATCTGTTTTGGCAAGAGAATTTCCCTAATTGATTGTCTCTGCCTATTTAGTCTCTATAATTCTCTGATTTAATAATGAAGAATGAAATCATTCTCTTGTTCTAAACAGGAGAGGGTTAGGATGTGTGCTTTTGTTCAATCACTTGTAGGTAATACTTGACCTAGGACAATCTATTTGACATCTAAAAGTTAGCTTCTTTAATGTGACCCTTGATGTGCAGACTCACCATCTATTTTTCTCACATCTCATGCTTTTTATCTCTACTTTATGCCAGCTTCTCTGTGAATACTTTATTTTTATAATGATATTTTTCCTGGCATTTCATGATTCTTGTAGAAGATGGTTCATCATCATGCTGTTGCTGGGCTAATGCTGAAAGGGCAGCAACCTTGTTGAGACTACGTGAAGAACTCTCCACATCTTATCATCTAGCGAAAATTTTGAAAAATCACAAAAGAATTACCATGAAAAACCATGGATTATGTATTGATTCTCCTTACCAGGATCTTGTTTCTGTTACTTCTGGTGATGCTCTGTCCAGTTCCGATCAAAACATGCTCAAGTTCATAATATTCAATGCATGTGTTGGTAGAATATGGGTGAGTTAACCTATATGGATCTGATACAATTGGCAATAATTAGTTTATCATTAAGATTTTGGTGTAGAGAAATAGTCACTTGTGCTTGGTATATTGTGTCAATTTTATCAAAACTAACTTCATTCTTCACAGGCAAAATAAACAAACAAAAAAAAATGTTAATAAGGAAGCAATATTCAGTTCAGTAGTGTTTTAGTATGACATTTCTATGATATGTTGCCCACTGCATGTTACTCTCATTTGTTGGTTCAATAATTGTACCTGCATCATACATTTTCCATCTTCCATCATCTCATTTCATTTGTTGTGGCTTTTAAATATTTGGCTAATTTAAGTTTTTAACTTGATGTGAGCAGACTGTAGTTGCTAATGGGATGGATGCAGCGGAAATGAGACAGTTGGAGAAAGAATACCCTACAGAAATGGTGAATGTGCAAACCATGCAGAATATATGGGCTAAAGATGTCTCTTACACACGCACTCTAGCTGAGGCAAGGAATATGATTAAGGAACTTAAAAGTTAGTGCTTATGGTCAAATTATTAGGCGCTAAATAGGATTACATGCATTTTGTAAATAAATATAAACTAATTTCTATATAAAATTTAGGTAGTAGTATACTGTAATAAACGCCAGTATTGTATATAATGTTGTTTTAATTATATTATATCTAACAATCTGTGATGCAAATGTAACTAAGTTATAAATAGAATTTATACAATGAGATTTCATATTACCGACAATTCTAGCTAGGCAGTACTAGTAACTGAGTCATTTTATATTATGACTAGTCGTATGGTGTGTAAATCTGCATTAATCGTCATTCATTGAATCACTAATTCATATGTACAAGTGCATTTAGTGTTTGTTAAATACATTCTATAAGAACTTGTTAACAAAACGTAACTTGAAAAGAGGACCAATGTTTGAATATTCTAATGATGTAAAAGCATAGGATATTTACAATATCTAGATTAAATCTAACCTCTTCTAATTAGGGAATCAAACAATAAAATCTATCCTAATCACAAGAAATGAGAAAAGTAAATTTGTAAAAGGATAATAAGAGGCAAATCATGTACTAATTACAAAAATTATGCCATATAATACTCTCAAAAGTTGGCGAATGAACATTTATCCTTCTCAATTTACTTGTAGATGAAAACGCTTTGTGAGAAGTCCCTTTGTCAACATGTATTTGTGAATTGAAGCCTTGAAGGGACGTATGTTGTAGCTATAAGACTGCTATTCAACTACAAGAGTCGGCTTATCTCTGTGCTTCCAATTAAGTTGCGTGCAATGTAATGTTAATGCTAGGCTTACTGTTATTCGTACTACCACTTTATTATTATTTTCAAAATTTAATTTTCAGATGTAATTTTATAGTTTTCAAAAATTAAACTTCAAAAATCATTTATAAATCACTTATTGAAAATAAATATATACTTTCTAAAAATTAAATTCACAAAGTTATTTGTAAATGACTTTTAGTTTAATTTTCAGGATGTATTAAATATACATTTGAAACTTAAATAATAATAAAAAAGAATGTGCTAATAGCAAAAACAGTTAGTGCAAATAGCAATTTCACTATGGCTTTGTTCTACAGGTACTTAGGAGTTTTTGTCACCCAACTTGCTTATCTCCTTTAGAACACTACAAGACAAACTGTAATTTTCAAATGGATTACAAATAAATTTCATAGAGTTGAGACTTGCCCAAAATAATAATAAGATAAGCTAGAATCATACATGGAAAAGTTCATTCTTGAAGAAAATAAAATGAAGTTAGGGATGACAATGGGTAGGGTATGGGTAGGGTATTACAGTACCCATCCCCATACCCGCGTTTTAAAAAAATACCCGTACCTGACCCCATACCCGCGTGGGTATGAACATTAATCCCCGTACCCGTACCCTCTGGGTACCCACATACCCGTCTTGTACCCATTACCCGCGCTTATTTGAGAAAAAAAAATTTATAAAGAAAAATATGTTTATATAATTTCACATAAGTAGCATAATAATACAAAAATTCAACATGTAATTATCGAACAAGGTACAAATATAGATAAAAAATAAATATTCAAAGATCATAAATGTTAAATGTATCTTAATATAATAATTTTCTAAACTAAAATTCTTAGAAACAATAAGCAAAACTAAACACACAAGTTATTTGTCAGTGATAATCCTATCTTGTGTGAGATTTGATTGATTGGTAATGTCAGAACGACAATGAAATAAATCTGTATAATGGTTGTCCCCTTCGTGTGAGATTACTTAGTAACCTCTTGTGACGGCATTAACAACTAACTCTAATGAATAACATTTCATAGTTATTAAGTTTTAGTGAGACAGACATTGAGAATGAGAATAGAGTTAGAGTAGAGAAGTTCAATACTAACACTAGAAAGTTGATACATAAAATATTTTTTTTAACTTTTGAATTTGAAATTGTAAGAAAAATAATAGATTTAATTAAAATAATATAATATAATTAATATATATATATATATATATTAATACTAGTATTTTTTAACTCATATACTATACGAAAGTATTTTATCAAAAATATAAATTTTTGAAAAATTATTTTAGTGAATTAAATATTTATAATGTATATAAATTTAAAAAAAAAGAATTTAAATAAAAGATAAATAGTTACAATAAAATTTTATAATAAAGAAATATACATGTATATTAAAAAAATTATACTTTTTTATCTTAAAAAAATTAACAAATAAAAATTAACAATAATTTTTTATATTTATATCTTTTCAAAAACTTCTTTGAATGTGAATAAATAGTAAGAATAATATTATTTAGATTCAATAGATTATAGTTGTGCTTGTAATACATATGTTGCATAGAAAAATATTATTTTAAATTAAAATATAAAAATAAAATTTAAATATTATTAATAAATAATAAGTTTACGGTAATAGTAGGTGATTGTAAAATTTATAAAATATTTATAATATATTTATTATTTATCATTCACTTTATGATTTAAACATCAATATGATTTTATTAACAAAAATATTTGTGTAAAAAATATTTTATGTGTGTCATATATAAATAATATTTAAAAAAAAGTCAATCTCATATTAAATATGTAATAATTAAATTGTGTTAGCCTAATTAAATGATATAAAATAGTAAATAAATTTTTCTATTAAAAATATAAACCAAAATAAATTTTTTAGTTTACTTTATTATTAAATATATTTTTATATTAATCTTATATAACTTCACATAAGTAATATAATAATACAAAAATTCAATTCATAATTGTAAAATAAAGTTCAAGCATATATATATATATATATGCGGGTATGGGGCGGGGTGGGTACTTAGATACCCATACCCGCACCCATCCCCATTAAAATTTGCGGGTTTTTACCCACACCCATACTCGTACCCGTAAAGCGGGTAAATAACCAACCCATTGTGGGTAAATTTTGCGGGTGCCCATCGGGTACTTTACCCATTGCCAACCCTAAATGAAGTAGCATCATCTAAGTTGTAATTAATGTAGAGCAAATTAAAATAAACAAAACTCATCAAACTGCTTATAAATTTAAAACAACGTAAAACTAATTAGTCATATTCGTGTGCTTATCAATCTATCAAAGCACAATAAACTGGCTTCATGAGTCCCCTCTACCACGTCCACGTGAACAACAAACCATGGAGGTCGACACCCTATCCCACTTTATTGTTGCCAAATCTATTTTATATGGTTTTGTCTTTTGGCAAAGTTGTAAGCTACCTGCTGCAAACTACAAACAACATGCAAGAAATTAAAATGAGGGGAAAGAGATACAATGTTAAACAACAAAACACGGAAAAAGCAAGAGTCTAGGTACATTTTAAGATTGAAATTGATTAAAAATGATGTGTGAATTATACTCATTTTTATTGTAATGATTTTTCTTTTTATCTACATCCTTATTAATTTTGTCTTAAATTTTAGAAATTAAAATTGTTACTTAACTTTCCCTTGTTAGCTTATACAAATTTTTATATTTTTTGTAAATACATATTTTTTTTATTTATAAAAATTATCTTTATTTTTTTATATTTTTAAATTTAGAATTTACTTTAAAAATCTTATTTCTTAAATTATGATTATTTAATTGCTGACATTTTTACACTATATGATAAAAGTATTATTTTAAAATTACTTAATTTTATTAAATTTGTATCATTATTGTACATAATATTCATAGTTATAGAGTTCAGTCAAAAAAATTTTAAAATGTTTTAAGTTAATTTCAATATATATATAATTATCTAAAAAAATATTAATTTTGTTCTTTAATTATTAAATTATATGTATATTTATTATAAAATAAGATATTTATGCATTAGAGCTAAACTGATATTATAAAATAAAATATTTATGTATCATTATTGTACATAATATTCATAGTCCCCTTTGTTTAAATAAAAAAGAAATATAAATTAGTATAATAACATATAAATATTATTCTAAATATAAAAAAGCTAAGAAATATTCCTTTTCCATATTATTTTGAAAATATTTTAATAAAAATATTAAAAATAATTTTTATAATGTTATTTTGAAACATCTAAAGAATAATATTTATATCCATATATTATTTTACTAATATTTCAATTTAATAAATATCATAAACATTTCATCTCTTAACATTATTTTCTATTTTTTAATATATTTTAATATTTTGGGGGTTAAATTTTATAAAACCATAGCTTTCAGAATATTTTATTTTGCAGTTTTTTAGTAAAAAATTATTTTTAATAATTTTTAAAATATATCAAATTTTATATGTTTATATGTGTATTTATGCTTCATTTAATAGTTATGTAAAATTTAAAAAATAATATGAGTGTGTGAAAAGAAGAATCAAATTATTCAATCTTACACCATCAATAACTTTATATATAAATGTAATGTGTGTTGATTTAATGATTAAATTATAACTACATGTTACTTAGATTATCAGTGTTGAATTTTGTTATAATTAAATAATTACAAAAGTATAATTTAAGGATCTTTATTTTTATATATTTTAAAAATATGCCATGACGATAAGTTCATCATTTCAAAATATAATAATCTATTATTATTAATCCATAACTAAAATAATCGAGGCTTATCAATAGATATTTTTCTAAAATAAACTAATATTCTAAAAAGCTTGCAATATCGTTATTTAATAGTATAAAAATAATATATAAATAAAGGATGAGTCACACAAACTTAATGATAATATAATAATTATAATGAATAAGAAAGAGAAATAAATAACACCCGAATAGTTTGTAATTATAGAATTTATTGATAACACATTATTTTAAAAAGAATTCATTCTAACTATTCTTTCAAAAGCATGGTCATGATTAAGTTCACAAATTTACATTGTTAAATAAAAACAATCATAAAAACAAATGTCAATATAATACTATAAGGGTCATTTGAAAGAGAACTAAAATCTAACACAACTTCACCTTGTTGATAGGCTTTTTTCTCCCAAGAGCGGTCTCTCCTTTAAAAGTAGTTCTATCTAATAAGTAGTTCTCTCTTTACATATATCTATTGTAATTAATTTTAATGGGGTAACTTCATCTTGTTAATAGTTCTCTTTATACATTAGTTATTTTATTTAACGAGTAACACACTATCTTGTTAATAGCCTTCTTTATACACTATGTGACTTTATCCTTTTAAAGTATAACTATATGACTGTTATTTCTCTCAACAATTATAGGATTTTAATATAGTTTCTTAAAAAATATTTACGTTGCAGAAAGTTGTTCTCATACATAAATAAATTTATTTAAAATATACCTTCCTTTTAAATAAATTATATCAAAAACTAATTTTTCTTATATCCTAGAGTTGTGAGCATATCTTGGAAATTTATAAAAAAAATTTATGCAATACGTGACACAATTTTCTCCTTCAAACACTATTCTAAACTCTGAAAATTCATACAATATTATCGATGTGAATGAGAAAAATAAATGAATTATAAAAGTCTTTTCAAAATCTAAAAAAAAAAAGAGTTAAAATAAAAAAATAAATAATCACATAAAAAACAAGAGAAAATGAAAAAGATAAAACTAAGGCAGAGGGAGAAGAGGAGAGTGTGTATATGAAGATGATTTCATCAAATGAAAGAAAAATAAAAGGAAGGAGGGGGATCTCCCCCTTTATTCAGTCATTTTAAAAAAAAAGAAAGTAGTATATTTTAATATATTAGCTTAATTTTGATGAATAAAAGCAATGTATCAATGAATTTTAGATTGATTTAAAATCTTGTAAACATAATTCCATACTTAAAATTTTTAATTTAATGATTAGTTTTTGAATAAAATTATTTAATAAAAAAATTATTAAATAACATGAAGTTTAATTTAAGTTACACTGACATAATTTAATTTTTACGTTTGAAAAGAATTTCTACGAAACTCTCTAAAAGTAATAGCATAACACATTTATGTCTTAAATATTTTTTATATTTTTTAATAAAATTTGCACAAAAACTTAAAGATTAAATAGAGAAATTTGGAACAAAAATTCCTTATCCCAATGTTTGAAGAGTTATTAAACTCTTATTTACTTTGAGTAATTTTTTCTCTTTATATAAGACTTTATTTATAAGTAAATTTTAAACTATGTTGCTCGTTTAAGTTTACTTTTTTCTTATAAAATTTGATTATTAAGTTATGTGTTAATTAATTGTTTTTATTCTTTACTTAAGAATATTTTAAGACATCATTCTTAAAATTTTAATAAAAAAGAAATTGTAAGATATGATAATATGTCATGTGAACCATGGAAGCAAGGAAATTTAAATTAAAAATAAAAGAATATTTGAGAAAAAGAAAGTGACCTAATCTTATTTTGTCTTAAAGCACTTGACAAATACTATATATATATATATATATATGCATGTGGTGCATGAGACTTTAAATTAATGACTATTTTGACAGTCTTTTATGATTAGAAAACACATATATTAAAATAATTTTTTAAAAGACAATTAGTCTATAAATTCACTCTAACCCACTTAACTTTATGGACTTCTTAATTTTATAAACTTTTTATATAATGAACTTTTTAACCATAACTCACTTGAGTTAAGGCTAAATAAGTAAAAACTAACTCATTTGAGAGTTGTAATACATATAGTAAAATTCTATTCAAAATAATCAAAATGCTACAATAAAATATAATCTATCACAATTAGCATAAATTAGATAGATAAACATAATTTAAAAAATATAACTTTTTTGCTTAAGTAGATAATGTTAATAAGCAAATAAATTACTTATATTTCTTTAATTATCAAAATAATAATTTCATATAATATTAATTTAACAATAGCATTAATAATAAATATTAGCAATCATAAAAATAATTTAAAATCATTTTTTATTATTAAAAATACACACATTAATACACTAGTAATTCAATTAATTAAAATACTAATATTAAATAATAATTAGTAATAATTTTAAAATATATAGATGTACATATGCAGAACGCACATGCACGCACCTATATACACAGAAGTAGAAAAGTGAGATATTACAACTCTCCAACTTTAAACTTAAGCTGTTGTTCATTTATAACCATCATGGTTTTGGTTTCCATTTGATAGAAAAATAATTATTTTAGATTACTGAGGTGGCTTATGAGTAAGAAAACCTAACATTTTATCTAATAAATAAATTATAATAGAATTTATCTTTTTAGATAACTTATTCTCAAGTTATGTGAGTACTAAGAAACTGGTGCAATTATTTTGTTTCTCCTTCATGTCGCTTTGTATATGTCCTTACCGAGTCTGAATGACTCACCCTTAACTCTTATCTTTCTTCCACATTCCTACGTTATAGAGTAGCAAATTCCTAGGATTGTTGTCTTATCAAAGAGTTGTTATCTTTTCAATAGGCTTCCACTATTAGTGAGGGCTAATGTTTGTAAATTCTAATATAGTGCAGTTATAGTTGTAGAAGATCGGAACAACATTTTGTATTGTTGACATGTATTTAGTAACAGAACCTTGATGTATTTGATACAACCCACCTCACGCCTTGTATATATAGAAAGGAAACATGGGAATCAAATATGTGCCTAAATCTGTACAGGATAACTACTACAGAGTTTCTATCAGCCACACAGTAACAAAATAAGCTCCCCTGTCATGAGAAAAAAAAAAAAGACGAGAGGAACAGATCAAGCTAGTATATCACAATACACGAAGAGCCTGATTGCAAATATATCACAATGCTACACATTGTTTCGGCATCATGATAAGTTACAAGAGAGGCAGAAACCTCTGCCATAGAAGCAACTTGCACTTCTACTTCAGATTGCTCCAAATGTACTTAAGTACATGTGACCTTCAACACAAACCAGTATAATTGGGAGAACTTCTCCCCAATTATCTATCAACTTAGCACTGTCTCTGAGTTCACATGACCACCGCTGCTCCCAGTATAACTGTTAAATCCAACCACAGGCACAGAGCGCTGAGCAAAATCCAGTAATAACTTCCTCTGGTGGTCATCGGTGTGAGGAAGACTTGCTCGTAAGAGTTCCACAGGCATGTCCCTACTAATTGCTTTAGCAGCATCTGATCCAATTGCAGCTACATTTGGTGTCCCTTGAACAAGCAGTGATTGCATGATACTATGGTACTTATTCATGCAATACTTAGTGAGAAGACCAAAAAATTCATCAAATGAGGCTTGCCAAAATGAACGATTACCATTGTTATAGCTGCAAGCACCATGGGAATCAGTTAAAAGTTCAGTAGCCCTGTCAAGAACAGATACTAAAACACGTGAAGCACCATCACCAGTAGTGCTTCCAAGGGGGCGTAGAGGAGGCTGCTCTGCAGAGCAAACCACTGCTGCAAGGCAAGCACCCAAAGCACCAAGATCCATTCCTTGGACACATTGAGAAACAACCTTAGCAAGGTCACTTGTAGTCTCCCCAGCAGCAGGATCAGAAGGGAGGCTGCCAAATAAGAATCTCAAATGTCGAAATATGGTCATGCAGACTATCCGCATAAGCTCACTACCAGGAACAAGTAACTGAAGATACTTTGCTAGGAGTTTACGCCCTTTGGGTAGAGATACCAGTCGTAAGAAAACAACATCATCTTTAGCACCAAGTCCAACTTTGTGTCCATTCTTTCCCAGTGGGTCAACAAGTTGGAGTGATGTTGCTAGTCCTTCCAAAAGGACCTTCCGTCTTCGTCTTAATTGAGTTCCACCATCTTGAAGCTGATTACACTGTAGAAAGCGATCGATATCATCTACATCAAGAAGAAGACATAGACCATCCTCAATTGAGACCCTGGCTGCAAACAAAGGCTCCTGTTCAAGGGGCTTCTCTGAAATATTTCTCTCAGAGCTACCACTAACAGAAGAGTTTGGAGGATCAACTTCAAGAAGAGCACGAGACTGCCGAATAGCCAGGAATGAAACCCTCCCTAAAGCATCGACCTGAAGACAACCATGTGACTCAGAATTGGAACGGGCCCGAGGAGGAAGCTCCTTTATTTGGGTTGGGCAAAATGAATGTTTCAACTTAGCCCCAGGATTTTTAGCAAGACAAGCTTGGTGGTAATAGTCATCAACATAGGGGTCATTGCAATGAGTCACAGCAAGCTGCATTTTAAGAATACTCTCTATTTCATCACTAGTCATGTACTTGGACCTAAACTGTAATGAACCACTTTCACTTTTCTGGCTGCTGGCATCAGAACCCTGTTGGCAGAAACGATGACTATGTTTACCCTTATGTGTTGATTTTGATCTATGTTCTCTAACATCAACAAGACCAAGCATGTGTTCAGATTTGCTAACTATGGACGATGCAGATGAAATCTGGGGGCTAAATAAATGGGACTGGTAACCTGACATGTAGCCTGCTGATTGCTGAACAGGATGATGCAATCTGTGCTGTTGTTGCTGCAATTGGGTCAATAAGTGAGGTGATACTGATCTGCTGTGATGAGGTAATTGTTGCTGCAACATATTAGTCAGGAGATTTGGATGATCTCCAGAATACAATCCTGTTTGGTGAACCCAGGGATTCTGTATTTGATGATTAAGAGAGGAGCCAGTTGTAAATTGGCGCATGTGTCCACTAAAATGTGAATCATGTTTTGATCCACTCAACTGTAGAGCAGAATTGAAGAAAGGAGAGCGATTTTGTGATGGCAAAGCCATATGAGCCCCACCAGCATGATAAAGAATGTTCAAGTGACCTGTACTGTGATTTGGAGAAGACTGTTGGGACTGACCACCAGGGGGAGGATAAGAAGTAAATGAAGATTTTGGTACTAAAATCGGTTCACTAGAAAAACGAGTAAGTTCCTGTCTCTTGTCAGGATATGAAGATGTTCTATACAGGGGCTTTGATTCTTGTATGTGTGCAATGGGGAAATGTGGTTGTGATGACCATCTCTTTCCATCCTCAGTAGTTTCACTATCATAAAAATGCTGATCAAACCAGTTAGGAACAGGTTCACTAGAGCAATGTTGGAGGTGGTGTTGCAGCTGCCGTTGCTGCTCAGGATATGAAGATGTTCTGTACAAGGGCCTTGAGTCTTGAAGCTGAGTTAGAGAAGAATGGGGATGAGATGACCATCTTTTGCCATCCCGAGTGCCTTGCCCTTCACTGTCATAAGCATGCTGATCAGACCAGTAAGGAACATCATCCCTTTGTGACCATTCAGAGGCAGAGGAATCTGTATAGAGGAATATAGGAATAGAAATAATTCAGTCAACAGAAACAAGATGGCATGGAGAGAGGGAGCAGGAATAGTGCAGCCAGAGTCAAAACACATATTTCACTAAGAACACTTCATGTGTGTCATGTCATATAAGTCCAGACTTCAAAATTGCTATCTATCAAATAATTTCTCATGAACTTGACTGGTGTTTTGCTCGTTGTTTCTTACACCATCGATCTTCAAAAGTAAATGAATTTTACACATACGTGCATGCTATAGACATGAATGATCACAAAATCAGGCAATTCCTCTGATGAAACATCATATATTGCACAACTCTGTGACCTTCCCCCATCATTAGCATGGTTTTTACATGATCGAAGAAAATGCCAATTGAATCTCAACAGTCACCAAATTACTGACCTAACATTTCACAGGCCCCATCTTTATCTGGTGGAACTTTCTCCACTTAGAAGACCATACCATTTATAAATAAGCATGCAGCAGAACCGGACTCAAGTTTTACAGTTGCATGGTAAAAAATCAATGCATGTACACTCAACATAATATTTATAAATGCATAAGCATGTTTACGAGGTTTCAATCAATGCAGTCGTATAGAAGTGAGAGAAGTTTACAGCACAAGCACCAAAAATAATCTTGATAAGTAACAGCAGAAAGAAAGAAAAAACCAGTAATTGATATCGTCACTACATCCATATTTGTTTTCATTTACCCAAATTTGACAAGACTTTTTAATAATTTTCAATTTTGTATACCTGGGTTGTGTCCCATAAAGACACAGCAAAGTAAATAGACAAGGAACAGACAAAAATAATAAGATTATTTGACATATCTTTTTTGCTTTACGCATTTTCAGTGGCTAAAACCCATCTTAAAACTATTTCAGTAATTCAAACTAGCCTTTTTCTGTATTGATGTCAATTTCTTTCTTCATCCTTCATTTTGTCAAGCAGTATTGAAATAAGTATTGAGATAATGACAGGCACAGGCCCATAGAATTGAGATAATGATAGGCCCTAAATAGAAAATAGTGTTGTATTTTCACATATCTAAATCCTATCCTAAGAAACCTCTGCTCAAAAAATGAAACTTCACAAAAATAATAAACGCAGATAATGCAGATAAGTAACATCAGTTTTTTAGTTTAAAAAAAATAAATAAATAAGCAAGTAGCTGAGTTCATTGCTATTGCTACTCACTTTCTCTTGATCCTCGATCACCAATAACTCCTGCACTTCTAGGTCCACTAACAACCTTGTTCAACTGTAATAAATCAAAAAGCTTAATATCAATTTGCAGAACAGATTACCATTAAAGGAGACCCACATTATTTTCAAATTTCAATACAATAAGAAATTGAATCATAAATTAATCACTGATTGAAGTCATGCAGAGTACATGTTTTGCAGAAAACTAAGTACGAATTATAGACAAAATTTGTTAGTTGTCGTCAAAATATTCATATAAGTTAGATAAGCTAAACGAAGTGTGCTTTCCTTTCCTTTCACAACTCATTCATCTACTTATCCTTCTTTTTTCGCTCTATTTCATAAATGACAAAACAGCTTGATTGTAAAAATGACTGGGACTTACTAACCAAATGAATAAACTACTAGAAAAACTAAAAATAGGGAGAAAGAGAGAGAGCCAAGCATGCAAAATTGCACAGCACACAAAAATTGGAAATGCAATTTTATATTCATAGGATGTTATTTGATTTGCTGCGATAAGAAGCCCCCTTGATGAAGTATCATAAATATCTTTCAGGCTTCACCAATAACAATCTTCAGAACCCAAGATCCCAAAAGTTTAGCATTCCCATAGAATCACATATCATAATTTTCTCCGTATTATGATTGCTCTACTGGTCCACAAATACCCAATAGAGAAGCACAGAAAAGCAAAGCAGCCAGTATACCCAATAGAAAGAATAATTGAGTGCAAGCCATGCAACAGAATTATGCCTTCACATCCTTCTGAAATTAAGAAAACATACCAAGGGAAGTACACTTTCATCGCATAGCAATTCTAGAGAATTTGAAATAGCATGATTCACACAAAGACAGCACTGGCCTGCAGATTACTTATAATGAATTCTTTTCCATCTGCCGAGAAAGTATAAATAAGGAACCAAAAAATAAAAAACTAGAATATTGATATTCTTTAATCCCCTTTCCATCAACTAGATTATTTGTGATCTTTATCCCTTTCTGCTTCTGCAATGCAGGGTGAATAGTGATCAATTTTAGCAATTTCATTTGTCTATGGTATTACTATATCAGTAAAATTAGTGATGAGGACCGAGGAGAAGAAAATGGGCCTAAGTAGAAAGTGATCCATGATGCTTCAGCCAAGCCCAAGGATTGGATAGTGTATGTCCGGAAAAGAAAGAAATTAGGAAATGTTTGGGATGTTGGCAAATTTAGTAATGGAGAGAGAATAGTTTTTGATTACTTAGGCATGTTTATCCATGAGTGGAGGGGCGGTTTTTGCTCTTTTGGTAGTTGTGGGATAAAGTTGCCATTTAGCTCTCTGTAAGGAGCATTGCCCTGGGGCATTAGAAGAACCTATCTTCTACGTAGTTTCCATTTATTGTTGCAAATTATACAAACTTCCCTTATTCTCTCTCAATATTGTTGTTCCTGCCCTATATCCTGTTCTGCTATTTTCGGGTCTGTAACAATCTGTAATTTTACAGGAGTAATTTTAAATTTTTTGACTAGTTACTTTGTGAAATTTTAAAGGTAATTGCTGAAGGAATAGAGCCTACCAGCATAAAGGAACAAAAGAATGTATCGACGAAGTGCAGCACCCATGAGTCATGAGATGGTCAACAATAGTTGTGTAAGGTATATATCAGAAGTTCTCGAGTCAAGACAAGGTTTTAAGAAATGTTTCAAACCAATTGTTCAAAGAAAGTCCCAGAGATCAATTTGCAGGCTTAAGAAAGGAAAAAAAAAACAGAATGAGAAAAAAGCTTAAGCCTTTACCATACCAAAGAGATCCCAGTTGAATGCTGAGACAGAGAGGTTGGGAGCTGAGACAGAGAAAGATGGAGACCAAGGGCATCTAAGATGAGGGAGGTTGAGAATGTAACCAATGGCTGGCGGATGGTGAAAAGCCAAAAAGCTGCCATAAAATTATGACAGATGCCATGGCAGAAGCATGGCAACCATAATAAAATAACATATATATCAAGGTAGTTAAATCAGGATTCAAGTTGTGGATCAGAAGACCTATTTTTTGAATCGTGAATCGAATCGTATTTTGAATCGTAAGATTCAAAATTAATAATTTAAAACAAAAAAAATATAAATATAAGAGTATTGTAACATAAAGAAACATCAAAATATCTAATATATTAACATTTTGAAGTTAAATAATATGTAGCTAACAAAAAGAGGAGAAAACAAATAAAAAATAGGAACAGTTACAATGCCAGAGGGGACCACCAAAAATCTTGAATACCAGAAATCTTGAATAGGGAAGCAGTGAACAAATGCCAAAAAAAAAATGATTTTTCTGGTGAACAGAAAAACTAATTTCTCCAGTGAAAAAAAAAAAAAAAACAGAGGATATGCCTTAGAGGAGACAACATAAAAGATGATTTCTCCGGCAAAATGGAGCAGGTGAGCCTCCGGACTAGCTGATTTCTCCAGCAAAATGGAATGGGTGCGCCAGTGAGAATGGGAGAAACCACTACACAGAGGTCAGACTTTACGTGGAGAGAGCTCAGAGAGGAGAGTGTGGGGAAGATGAAATTAACACGTGTTTTATAAAGGGTAAATGACCTTTCTACCCTTAAAAAATAATCCAAACGGTGTGTTTTTTAAAAAATAGAATAGGGTTTTTTTCTTTCCCCCAAATCACATGAACGTCTCCCTGTTTTGGCTGCAAACACCTGCACCTGCTGCGATGTGCCAAACGCCCTGTGATGTGGTGGCTGACAGCCGCACCGCACTGCTCTGATTCGAGCGAGCACGACCTGGCTTGCAAAGGAATTGTGTGCTGCCATTCAGATTCACGATTCAGCCTGATACATTCGATTCAAGCGATTCTAGCAACGATTCAAATGTTAAATCGATTCTGCAATATGATTTGTATCCTTGAGCTACAGAATCGAATCGTTAGTATCGTAAGGTGAATAGTACAATACTAACTACACTAATATATATACACACACACCCCAAAAATATATTAAAAAACACTGCAGAATGTGATATAAAACCCAAAAACTAACTACATATGACAAAATCAAGAATCTCGTTGATAGAAAATCATCAAATATTATCATATGCTTCATAACAAAATCTCATAATAACATAATCGCCTAAATCTCATAGCAGTTCAATACAAACTAAAATGCGTCAAAGCGTTAAGTGAAACAAGGTGATAAAAAACAAGGAAAATAGAAAGACTAATTGAGGAAGCTTGTTGTTAGGCTAAGTTAAAGAAAACTGCTGCTCAAACCAAGGCAGCAGTGTTAGAATAAAAAATGGATGAAAAACAGAGAAGAAAAACTCGAAAAAGAAAATAAGAAGAAAATCTGAGAAGAGAAAGAAAGTTGAAACAAACAAAATGGAGAGAGAGAGAGTGGAGGAGAGATGTGGAGAAGGAAAAAGAAAAATAGAATGAAGGAGGATAGAACAAAAACAACAACAAAAAAACCCGCTCACTGGAAAATGAGGGTTGATGGAGCTCACTGTCATTGGAAGCAAGGAAGGTGACCAGCGGGAAAAGTAAGAGAAGGAAATGGGAGGTTGCTGTGCGAGAGAAAGACGTAGCTGAGACGATAACAGAGGCCAACAAGGTTGAAAGTCTACATTTGAAGGTTTTTATCTTGGGTCAGTGTGGTACTAGATCAAATCAGCAAACCTGATTCTTTTCTTTGTTTGGGCAGATTCCCAAAATATCTGCCACGGCCACCATAACTGCTGACCGCCATGACCCACCACATGCATGGCAAATTGTTAAAAATCCACCATTTTCCGCCAAGGCTGCCATTTGATAACACTGGGTTGAGGGCATCTGAGACAGGTCAAGTACTCAAGCCTGAAAGAGGAGGAGGTCAAGACAAATGGGACTAAGGGATTTTAGGTTTCTCTAATCACAGATTGTTGATTGCAAGTAACCCAGCTCATCCTGCCAAAGCAAGGCTTGTCATTGCTCTCACCAAACTAAGATGATCCCACCATTCTGGCAAGTTTACTAGCAATCCCACCCTGATCCTTCAACTTGACAATCCCTAGTAGGCTAGTACAATTGGGATCATGACAAGCAGCACACGTATACATACAGTTGGGTCAGTAAAAATTGCTTCGCCCATTAGAAACTCGGGTAAACTCAGGTGAAAGGTGAAGAGCCATACTCAACACCAATCACAAGATTAAATGCTAGGTTATGACAAAGTATTTTCAAGGATTGACCATTTCACTGAAGATTCAGACTCTAACAACCAATATTTTCAATGTAATACTGTATCAAAGGCTACTGTGGAAATCACTTTCCACCAAGCCAGGGTCCCTAGAAGAATGCATACCTCAGTCAAGTTTTATCATGCATATCAAATGGCCTAGTATGTACATAACAAGATGAGATACAAGGATTTTCCTTCTTTACTGGTATATTCCAGAGAATATGCCAGTTACCCTTTACAGTTTTCACAAATTTTTTTTGGATAACTCACCAACAAGTATTAAAGCCCTAAAATAAAACAAAGAAAATCTACTACACTTAAGGAACAGATTACACTGCTCAGTTTGTACCTCTTGAACTAATTCTAGAATCATCCTCCTCTTTCAATGCAAAGATTCTACCCAGTATGTCAAAGAAATTTATGAGACTGGACCAAACCACTTCGTTAGTCATATCAAAGAAACACATCTCATTTTAGCATTGTAAAACAGCCACTTTACATTGAAACAACAGTAGGAACTAGGCATTTTATTAGCGATATAGGGATAAGAAAACAAAAGATATCAAACATGACAGAATTTGGAGGGTCTGCAAAACATCGACCAAAGGCCCCAAAAATCACTCAACGGCTGAATGTCTTCTCCCCTGCCTTTCCTTCCCATCTTTGCTTCCAGCCATTTCACTCTTCTGCCATGGTTCCAAGCATCCTTGCCATGAAGGCAATGAAGCAAGGTTGTAACAACCCAAATCCCTCTTCTGCCCCATAATATTTCCAATATGATCTAGCACAGGAGTTCCTAACAAACAATCATTTGGGGATCTTGCTGAACAATCAAAGGTTGTGTACTTAAAACTTTGGAGTACTTTCTGATGGCTTTGTATAGAAGTTATAAAAAAAATAAGGTTTAGCTTAAAGGTAGTATGCTGTTTATGAAATCATGTGAATTTGATTTGTTGTAATCAAGTGCCCAAAAGAGAATAAGGAGAAGAAAAATAGATATGGAATTTAATGCAGATCAACCTGCAGTAAACTACTGGCCTAATTCCACAGGCAAAATAGAAAGACAATTCCCTATGGTCAATGAAGATTACATGGAATAACTGCACAACACTAAAACCCTGGTCCCAATACACCCAAGACCTCACAGTTTGCTATAGGACAGGATTGTCTTTTGGTGTTCAGCTCATAGCTCAAAGGAGTGGCTCCAACTCACCCAATGATTGGGTAGCTTTGCAACAATCTTGTATTTAGATTTCTCTGTTTGAGTCCTTATATAAATAGCAACAAGTCATTCATTTATCTAAAAGTCCCCAGCATACAGAGAAAGCACAGTATGCCACATTTTCATGACCTTACCTTTAAAAAAGTTGTAGTGAGATCATCAATATCGGAAAGAGATCTTACATCCTCCGCCTGCAATGTGGAAATAACAGTTAGTTGGTAGAAATTTTAGTATCACATATGCAATATTAAGTGCTCAAGTGGAATATCAAGTCATGGCATTGGCATCTGTTAAATATGTGTAAATATATTAATTAGGGAAATTAGTATCATTGTAATTATGTTAATTAGATAACTGTATATTTTGTAATTATTTTGTAATCATTGCTGATACAATTATTATCAATATAACTATTCAACCCATTGTGTAGTTAAGACACATATTTCACCAATGTTCTTTCTTTTTCTTCTCTCTTAACATGGTATCTAGTGCCTAGTGAATTAAATCCGTGTTCCGGGTGGGCCAACCACCCATTGATGGAATTTTTTCCAGAAACCATGCTTCAATTCCAGTTTATGATCTTCCCTCCACCGGCATCACTATCATCACCACTTCTACTGTTCCGACACACCTTTCTGACTAGTAACCAATAACAGCATCAGGACCACACCATCAAGACTGACCCATCCCCGAAGACCCCATTGCAAACAAAGCCCACATGCGCTGGCACATGTCACCACTGAGCTATGCGTATTTCTCTCTTCAGTCATCGTCACCACCGTGCATGGCAATGCATCTCTCCTCAATTTTTGGAGTTGCCTCTCTCTACTGGCCCTGAATCTCTCCTCATTTTTTGCATTGACCCTCCTTTATCAGTCTTTTTCATTTTGCATCTCTTTGTCCATGAGATCTTGATTCTGGTGCCATTGATCATATCATTGGTAACAAATCTCTGTTCTTCTCTCTCTACCTCTAGTTTTTTTCCTTCTATTACTAAGGTCAATGATTCTCAAACATAGTCTTAGGGTATTAGTATTGTTCATCCCTTTCCATCCTTACTTGTTGACAATGTCTTATATGTCCCTGGGTCTTCTTTTAATATTTTATCCCTTGGTTGTCTTGTACTCTAGATTGTGTTGTCTCTTTTACTATAGACTCTGTTTTCCTGCACTATCAGAGTTCAGAGCAGATGATTGGCATTACTCATGCTGGTTAAGTGGTGAACTCTCCTCAGTCTACATGCTTGATTAGGTCATCCCAATCGCTAGAAGCTACAACAATTGGTGTAAAGTCTTTCTAAGTTGTCAACCTTGTCTTGTGAGTTGTGTCAGTTAGGAAAACATCTTTGTAGTTCTTTTCACAATCTTATTAATAATTGAGCTTCATCTCCTTTTGGTTTAGTCTCTTCAAATGTTTGGGATCTTAGTTATACTATGTCTACTTTAGGATTTCAATATTTATTACTTTTATTGATGATTATTCTTGAACTTAGTTGTTTTAAAATAAAAAATTATTCTAAAATATTTTCTATTTTTCAAACCATTTACCATGAAATAAAGTTCAATAATGCTAGAGAGAACTTGTCTCGTTCTTTTCAACAATTTATGACATCCAATGGAATATTTCATTAAACCTCTTGTACTCATGCTCATCAACAAATGGGTTTGCCAAAAGGAAAAATAAACATCTTATTAAAACTACTCGCACTGTTCTTATACATAATAATGTCCCTCATTGTTTTGGGGTGATGTTTTTACAGCATATTATCTTATCAATTGGCTACCTTCTTTTGTTCTCAACAACCAGGTCCCACACTTTGTCTTGTTTCCTCACTAATCTCTCCATCCTTTACCTCCTCGTGTGTTTGAGTCTACCTGTTTTGTACATAATCTTAGTCTAGGAGATGACAAACTTTCTGCTTGTGCTTACAAATAAGTCTATCTTGGTTATGGTTGTTCTCATAAAAAGGTTATAAGTGTTATTCTCATATTATTAAGCACTACCTTATCTCTACTGATGTAACTTTTTGAGTCTATTCCATTTTTTTAATTCTTCATCTACATCTCCTGTGTCGGGGTTTGTCATGGCTATTTCCCTAGTTCCAATTGTTTTTAACCCACCATAGGTATCCCTCCTCTAGATGAACCCCCCTCCCCAATTCCAATTTATCACTGTCAACAAACACCTCCTCTAGATGATCCTCCTCCTTTGTCATGATCAGCCAACATTACAACTCCATTTGACTCATTGTCAAAACCAACTCCTTCATCTCCTCCAGCCTTGCCTCTTGAGGCTGATCTTCCTATTGCTCTTTGAAGAGGTATATATTTCACTCATAATCCTTCTCTTCATTATGCTACTATAACATATCATTGTCTTCTTTCTAATATGAGTCTTTATTCTTTATTTTCAATTCCTATTACTAAGAATACAAATGAAGCCCTTTCACACCCTGAGCGGCATCAAGCAATGATGGATGAAATGTGTGTTTCAGAGCCGTGGCACTTGGGACCTTGTTCCTTTTCCTTCAAGGAAATTTTTTGTTGATGGTAGATGGATTTTACTATCAAAATTGGCCTTGATGATCAAGTTGATTGCCTTAAAGCCCGTCTAGTAACTAAGGGTTATACTCAGATCTTTGGTTTTGATTATGGCAACACTTTCTCTCCAATGGCTAAAATGGCTTCTATTTGTTTATTTTTATCCATGGCTGCCACACGCCACTAGCCTCTACATCAACTTCACATCAAAAATGTTTTTTTTCATAAAGATCTCAATGAGGAAATTTATATGGAGCAACCTTGGATTTGTTGCTCAAGGGGAGTCTTTAGGATTAGTTTGCCATCTACAAAAATATTTGTATGGCCTTAAACAATCTCAAAGGGGGTGGTTTGGTAGATTCAACAATGTTGTCTAAGAGTTTGGGTTGTCTCGATGTTAAGCTAATCTTTCAATTATTTATCGAGATTCAGCTATAGGATCCATTTATTTGATTGTTTATGTTGACAACATTGTTATTACTGATAGTGATCCCCATGTCATTACACAATTGGAGAACCATCTATGTTACCATTTTCAGGCAAAAGACTTTAACAGACTCCAATATTTCTTGGAAATAGTGGTGGCACAATCCAAGAATGATATTGTAATTTTTCAGACAGTGTGCATTGGATATCTTAGAAGAAACAGGTTTGAAGTCAAGGGGAGCCTCATTCTGATCCAGAGAAGTACAACGGACTTATGGGAAAGTTGAACTATCTCACCGTCACTCGTCCCAACATCTTTTTTGCTGTCATTCTGATAAGTCAATTCCTTAACTCTCCTTGTAAAAGGACATTGGGATGCATTGATTTGCATCTTAAAGTATATGGAAGGAGCTCCAGGAAAAAGTATCTTGTACGATGACAAGGGTGACACTCAAATTGTAGGGTATTCTAATATAGGTTATGCAAGCCCTTATTATAGGTCTACTGCAGGCTATTGCATTCTGATCGGAGGTAATATGATTTCTTGGAAAAGTAAGAAGCAAAATGTGGTTTCTCTTTCTAGTGCAGAAGTATAATATCAAACTACAGCCTCAACCACGTGTGAACTTATTTGGCTAGGGGCTAAAATGACTTTCTAAAGAACTGAGATTTCAGGAGGTCACAAATGACAATTATTTGTAATAACCAAGCTGCCTTGCATATAGCCTTGAATCTAGTATTCCATGAAAGAACAAAACACATTGACCACAAGCTTTGTCAATTCAAATGATCAACTAGCAGATATATTCACCAAGTCTGTAAGAGGTCCTCATATTAAGCACATATGTGACAGGCTTGATGCATATGATTTATATGTTCCAGCTTGATGGAGAGTATTAAATGTGCAAATATGTTAATACGGCAAATTACTATCATGGTAATTATGGTAGTTAGGTTGGATATTTTGTAATTATTGTGTAATCATTGCTGATATTATTATTACCAAAATAAATATTCAGCCTGTTGTTCAGTTGAGACACATGGATTCCATCAATGATCTTTAGTTTTCTTCTCTCTTAACAGCATCCACCACTAACTCATCTGACTAAAACATATACTCAAGGAATTAGGAAAATTGTATCATCACATCTACATTATGCGTATCATGTAATTATAGGAATTGGGAAAACTGTATCCTAGTATTTAGTATATTCACTACAGAATGTAAAGTCAGTGATGTTATTGAGCCATACGGTTTTCAGCATATGCCTCTCTTTTCTCCTTTCTCAACAAACTTCAAAACAACATCCTTAGTACAACATCACCAAATGATCAGGCATTGTATCAGCACAATTTAATAAGAAAAATCATACAAAAATATATATAATTTCTTCTTTTTTGTTGGCATTCTCTGCTTCTATTGTCTAACCACATAACTGCAATTGAACAGTCTGCTTAACAAGATAAGCAATTTAAGAGAAAATGGGGGAAAAACCAGCAGTTTAACACCCAGAGAAAATAAAACCATTGGTGAATGAAATTAAATGCTGGTTAAATTTTTTGCAGACGATCAAAATGCTTATACCTTAAAACAAAATAGCCACAATAAAATTTAAAATTGAGAAAAAAAATGCAATAACATGAATGAAAAATAACCTCTTCTTTATTGAGAAAGAAATCTTCCTCATTGAACTCAACAGCAGGCATAGGCATATGGTCATCATAATCTTCTAATCCCCCCAACTCTACTTCCTCAGCAGCATCTTTACCAAAGAATGCATATTGTGATGCATCAAATACTTCATCTTCTGCATAAAAGAAGAAAATCGAGTCAAAGACATGTCCGCAGCTTCATACAACCTTTTAAATATAAAATACAGTTTTGCACATTTAAAAAACAGAAGTATCCCCATGTGTATGGCCCGCCACGGCCCACCAAAAGAAAACAAAACAAGGAGGAAAAGCTAAGAACCAAATAATAAAACAAAACGTTTGAAGATAATAGGTCACGTTTCAATAAGTATATAAAAATGGCATAACAACATTGTAATTTAAAAAATATATATGTATTCTACTCTACAATAGAAGATATTAATACAAACAAGGCTCTAAAAAAACAGAGCAATGATTATCTACTATTTGCAAGCTTCCTTGGCAGTCACACAATAAAAAAATACCAACATTCACTATGGATATCTACTAAAGCAATCAACAATGGCATAAACCAAAAATCATAATAAAAAAACACAAAATCATTTAAATTCAGATGTTACAATAAACTTTTCAAAATTAACAAAACTCTAAACCCTATACGGTTGTTCACTGAGTTGCTGTGAACTAAGCGCATTAAACAAAAATAAAAAACTGAATCGCGGAGCTAAAACTTAAATTTTTCCATCTATTTTCGCGATCGAGCTCCTAAGTTGGACCAGATCTACATGCACCAGCTGAATCAGAGAACGCGAAAGAAGAAAGAAACTACTGTAATAACCATTTAAGAAAAAGCGCCAAAGGAATTTTGGTAATAATGATAATGCGAGAAAGTGAAAACAATGAAAAAGAAAGGAACCTTTGGAAACATTTCCGAATTGTTTATGATCGCCGGGGGTGGGAGTAGCAGCAGAACCAAACCCATCCATGAAGGAGAAGAAAAACGCAAACGATGACTTGATAACACTTTGAGAATTGCTCGGAGATATGTGTATTAGGTCATGGCAGAGACTGAAGATGGAATGGGTTTGGATTTAGAGAGAGAGAGAGAGAGAGAGAGAGAGAGAGGAACCCTACCAGGGAAGGGGGTGAGGTCGCGTACCTAATTTTTTTAATTTTCTTGAGGGAATATGTTGCAACTTTATTTATTTATTTATTTATTGTTATTTTGTTTTATTATTTTGGTAGAGACATTTTGTGATGCCATATCAAATTACTGCTGAAGGCGAAAATGACTGATTTGACTTTCTACTCAATTTCCGCTTCTGTCTGACTTTCCCGCATATTATTTTCTCTGCCGCGTTTATTCCAATAATTTCAATTTCAATAATAATAGGTAATCAGTTTTAGTCTAGGCATTTTTTCTGAAATTATTTCTTTTATTTTACCTTATTTGTAATTTTTTTACTGCTCCAATTTTAAACATATTAAATAATGTTAGAAAATCGATTTCTCTTGCCAAAAAAAATTGTTTTTATCTAAACAAAGGATTCCAGTAATTTACAAATCGACATCCAACTGCCACTGTTTTAATTATTTAAAATTAATTTTAATTTATCATTTTCAGTTTATTATTTTTATTTTATTATGGTTTTAAAATTAAATATATCTTATGTTTATTTTTAAAATATTATATTATAAATAAATATATATAATTATATAAACTAATTGTAATTAAATGCATTAAATTATTTTGTAATAATATTATAATATTTTAATGATAATTCATGTAATTAGACTTATTAAAAGGTTTAACATATTAATGATAATCAATATTTATAGAGTTAGTATTTTTAGAAAATATAAAAATATATAAATTAATTTATTTTGACATATTTATGTTACTTATTAAATTTTTTCTATGTTAATGAATATTAATGTTATTTATATATTTTGAAAATATTTAAATTAATCTGCTTGCTACATTAATCAATAATAAAAATATTTAATTTATATAATAAAAATAAAATACAATATTACTTGATAATAATAATAATAATAATAATAATAATAATAATACAACGACGACGACGATGATATTTTTTTTCTAGTAGGTTCAACGTGATGGAGCACTTATAAAAGATATGACCTACACTTTTGACATATTTTGGTTACTTCCACTGTGTGTACATCTCTTTTCAAATACAAGTTAGGGCGTGTTTAAAAACATATTAGAAATTGTTTATAATAGTGAATCCAGCATAAAAAATATGACCAGTAACGTTGAAGTAAATATAAATTTATATATATTTTAACATAAAACTAAACATGTTATAAATTATGGAATGAGCTTTTTACGTTTTTGATTCATGACATAATCTTGAACTGTTAAGTCTATATTTTTTGGAGTTGTTCTTTAACTTATATTATGCACTTTAATCTAATAATCTATATAAATTTTCTTAAATTTATGAATGGATTAATTATGATATTCAACTTGATCTTTTGATAGGATAAAAGTTATTTAGATTCCACGTGATTAGTTAGATGGATTATTGAAATATAGATTTATTTAATCAAGTGAAAGTAAATAATATTTATAATATGTGATGATGAAAATTATTTTAAAAATAAAATCATATATTTATATATTTTGAATGAGTAACTCTTGGTAGGTGTACGGAAGATCGTAAACAGTACTGTTCTTGATTTTTTTTTTTTAGCTTTAACTCTTTTTCAAATATTCTATGATCAATAAAAATAAATTCATTTAATTATAATATAATTGAAGTTAAATTATTAAAAAAAATTATATGATTGTTTATATTGTTAGGATTTCTTGATCTAAACTTTGTTTAAGAGTTAATTTTTAGGAGAAAAAAATGAAAGAAGAAAAAGACATGAGTTTGATTTCTTTTTTTAAAAACTAAAATTATTTGAAAAAAAGAAATCAAACATAAATTTAGATTATATTTATTTTTTTTAAAATTAGTTTTTAATGTTTAAAAATAAGATATTGTACAAATCGGTACTATATTTTGTTTTTAAAAATAAATATTTATTTTTAAGAGGAAAATCAAATATGCTTTTACTCTTGTTTGTGAATTTTCATATGAGAAAAAAAAGTTTATAAACCATCATAAACATATGTTTTTTAGTTTCTCCAATTTAGAATTTTGTTTATCGGAAGATAACTCCTCTACTGTACAATTTGTATAAAAGGTTAAAGTGTATAAATCATAACCATTAATAAAAATGAATGGCAAATAATGATTCCAACTCATACAATTAATTCGATGTCATTCTAATTTTAATAAATAATATTTATTAAATTAAAATAATTTTTTTGACTTAAAACAACTTTTAAATCATAAAAGTTAAAGGATAACACTAAACAAATACGATTTGAAGATGTATAGCATTTGTTATTCAATAATCATGAAGTAGCAAAAAAGTTTGAAGTCTCCACTTTAAATGTTCACAATAATTTTACCAATCTATATTTTGTTAACGTTTAAGGTGAATAAAATGGGATGGGATGTCAGTCAAATGTTAAAACCATTGTTGTAGAAAAATTTGGAAAGAAAATTTGTTAATGTTTTAAGTCAAACATGAAAGTTGTTTACAATAAATATGTAAATTTTTACTTTCTTTTTTTTATATTTATAACTTTATTTGCAATTATTAGTTGGAATTATTATATGTTATTCGTTGTTATGGATGGCTTAAGATTTATGCAATTTACCGTTACAAGTTGTACTTTAAAGAAGTCATTTCCTTTCTATCAATTCACTTTTTTTTTTCTTACTCTTTAAACTCTTTTTTTTTCTCTTTCTATCTAAACTTTCAAACAAAACTTAAATGTCAAACTTAAATACTTGCATTACCTAATAATTTTTCATGAAATGAAATATTGATTAATCCAAACCTTGAATCATCTTATATTATTTTCATGATCATTTACAAATAATAATTAGGGATATAATTATATTTATAACTATAAATTATAGATTTAATTGATTCCTCTGTAATTATGATTAATTTTACTATACCTCATTATTTTATTATAAATATAGTTTATATGTGATTATATAACCAAAATTTAAAAGTCTCTTCTTTTATATAATATCAATATTCTTTTGATTTCTCGATTCTATTCTACTTGTGAACAATACGTGTGAATAATGAACAATATTTGCGCCTCCAATCAATCATTTTTTGCTTGCAATTGCACCTCACTTTTCTAATGTGCCCTTACAACCAACTTCACCACCCTTTAGTGATTGTCACTTTATTGACGTCATCCCATATCATTGTCACACATGCCTCCAACGACGATCTTTTTCGGCTCATTTGCCTCACATACCTGCACCCATGTGAACCCTTTCTAGTGAGACTCATTCATTAGTGACATTTTTCCTACCTACCATCACCAGCACTGCTTTTACTTGTTACTCTTATGGCTTTTATTAGTTCACCTTTCGACTCCAGTAATGCCCTCACTTATACCAACATTTTTGTGATTATAGAAAAGTATATTTCCTGAATGTGTTATGTGTCTAATGCAGTCCACACAGTATAAATTTATACTAATTTATAGAATTAAATATAATTAATTTCTATCTAATAATTAGGAATCAATCATCTTAATTTATTATAATATGTAACTGTTAATTTCCTACAAATCCGTAACGACTAATGACTAATTACATTCTCCCTCAAGCTGGAGCATATATGTCATATGCACCAAACTTGTTACAAATGTACTCAATCCGAGGGCCTCTAAGAAACTTGATGAACATGTTAGCCAGATGATCGCTAGAATTGACAAAATCAGTCGTGATTTCTCCAGAAAGCACATTTTCTCTAATAAAGTAATAATCAATCTCTATGTGTTTGGTTCTTTCATGAAAGACCGGGTTTGATGAAATATGTAGTGCAACTTGATTGTCACAAATAAGTTTTGTTTCATGGATGTTTCCTACTTGTAGTTGTAGTAGTAGTTGCCTAAGCCATGTAAGTTCACAAGTGGCTGTTACCATGGCACAATATTCTGCTTCTGCACTGAATCTGGCAACTATGTTTTGCTTCTTGCTTCTCTATGAGATCAGGTTTCTTCTGATAAAAACACAGTACCTATAAGTGGATCTTCTATCTGATGGTGATTTTGCCCAATCCGTATTAGAATAACAAGTAATCTTAGTATTGCCTTTGTCTTCATACAATAACCCTTGTTCCGGAGCATTTTTTATATATCAAAGAATACGTGTCACAGCATCCCAATGGATATCACAAGGGGCATTTAGAAACTAGCTGACCACGCTAACCACGAAAGTAATATTGGGTCTGGTGATAGTGAGATAGTTGAGTCTGCCTACCAAGTGGCAATATCTTTCTGAATTTTTCAATAGCTCCCCCTGACTCAAAAGAAGCTTGATATTTAGATTCATAAGAGTATCGCAATGATGACAATCAAGCATACTAGTTTTAGTAAGAATGTCCATGACATACTTACGTTGATTAATAACAATGCCAGAAGAAGATTGAGCAACTTCAATGCCTAAGAAATATTTGAGAGGACCCAAATCTTTAGTATAAAGTTGCTGTGAAAAGTGCTATTTGAGTTGTTGAATTCCAGTCGCATCATCTCTAGTGATGACAATGTCATCAACATAAACAAGAAGATAAATGCACCTGTTGGATGAAGAATGAAAGAAGAAGACAGAATGATCAGCTTCACATCTAGTCATATCAAACTGTATCAAGGCAGAACTGAAACGACCAAACTATGTCCAAGGAGATTGCTTCAAATCATAGAGAGATTGATGAAGCTTACAAACAAGTCCAGAATCACCAGGAACTATAAACCTAGGGGGTTGATCCATATAAACTTCTTTCTACAATTCACCATGTAAGAAAGCATTTCTAATATCGAGCTGATGAAGAGACCAATGACGAATAACAGCCATGGCCAGAAAGAGATGAACATAAGTTATTTTGGCCCAAGGAGAAAAGGTGTCCCCATAATCTATGTATATCCTTTGGTGACCAATCGAGCTTTTAACATGTCCATTTGATGCAATTTTCAATGTATAAACCCAACGACAACTAACAGTTTTCTTGCCAGGAGATAAAGGAACAAGTTCCCAAGTGCCACTGGAATGTAAGGCTGCCATCACCTCTACCATTGTCTAGCACCATCCGGGATCAGCCATAGCTTCACCTGTAATCTTAGGAATAGACATTAAATCCAAAGAAGAAACAAAGGAGAAATAGGATGGAGACAAATGATCATAATTAATGGTAAAAAAATAGAGAGAGTTAGGATTACAAGTGGAACAGATACCTTTTTGTATCGCAATAGGAAGTTCAAGTGCAGGCGTGGGCGGAGGGGCGGTTGGAGCAAAAGATGATGTTGGAGGATTAGTGGAGTGAGTCATAACCAGATTTTGAGACCGTATGTGGTATTGAAGCAATGAAGGTGGAGGAGAAACAATTACTTGAGCCAAAACAGGCAAAAAGTACAAGACTTCTAAAGAGTTTGTTGCAAAATTGACATCCAATACAATAGAAGTGGAGAAGGGAGTAGTCTCAAAAAAAGGTGACATTAGTAGAAACAATATATCGTTGAAGTTGAGGATAAAAACAACGATAGCCCTTCTGAAGGCATGAGTAACTAAGGAAAATACACTTGATACATTTGGCAGAAAATTTATCTTTACCTGGAGTAAAGTCATAGACAAAGCATGCGCAACCAAGACACGAAGATGGATGAAGTAAAGATCTTATGTTGTATATAAGAGAGAGTGAGGAACCTGATTATTAAGGACGAAGGAAGGCATGCGGTTGATCAGATAACATGCTGTGAGAATGACATCTCCCTAAAAGCAAAGAGGAAAATTATGGTGAAGAAGAAGAGTACGGGCAGTCTTAATCAAGTGTTGATTCTTTCGTTTAGCAACATCATTCTGTTGTGGTGTGTGAGAGCAAGATATTTGATGAAGAATACCCTGTGAACTAAAAAAATGATCAAAATTGGGAAGACATATATTCACGAGCATTGTCAGTGTGTAAAATTTTAATAGATGTGCCAAATTGATTTTGAATTTTAATTGAGAAACCTTGGAATATAGAATTTTTCATTAAGAATAACCAAGTACATCGGAAAAAATCATCAATGAAAGTAACGAAATAATAAAAACCTAAAGTTGAACTAACATGACTAAGACCCCAAATATCTTAATGAACCAAGGCAAAAGGTGACAAAACACTTTTATTAACTCGAGGACTATATGTATGACAAGTGTGTTTTCCTAACTGACAAGACTCTCATTGAAAAGACGAACTGTGAGAAAAACTTGGAACCATTAGATGCATTTTGGTAATATCAAGATGACCTAAGCGTTGATGCTCAAGAGTTGGAGGCGCAATGGAGAGACAAGCAACCGATTGTGACAGATAGTATAATCCTTGATACTTATGTCCTGCTCCAATTGTCTGTCTGTTACGCTGATCCTAAACAAGAACAGAATTATTAGCAAAAAAAAAAGGTAATTTTGGGTGTGAATGAGCTTGCCGATGGAAATTAAATTAAAAGGACACTCAGAGATATAAAGTACAAAATCTAGGGTAAGATTAGAGAGGGTTGTGTTTGACCAATGCCATGAACTTTTATTTGAGAGTCATTTGCCATGGTTATAGAGGGTAAAGAATCTAAATAAGATAGATGAGAGAAAAGGGACTTGTTAACAGACATATGATTAGAGGCACCGAAGTCAAGAATCCAAGATCCAAGGGAAGAGAATTGAGAAACAAAAGCTACAAGATTACTAGACTGAGCAATGGCGGCGATAGGTTGGGTATGTTGCATGGCTGTTTTATATTAGAGAAATTCATTGTAGGCATTAGCTGAAACTGAAACCTCATAAGATGTTCCTGGAGAAATGACCTGAGCAATATTAGCTATCGTGGGTTGTTTTTGTGCCTTTGTACAACATTCTGCCTCAGTATGGCCACACTGTTGACAAAAATTGCAATGAGGGTGTTGACCATGATAGCCACCACGAATTCTACTTTGTCATCTCTAGTAGGAAGAGTTAAAGTAAAAGGCAGATGAATTGGTATGAGATACAAGAGAATGTCCAAACATGTGAGGAATTGAGAGGCGAAGTAATTGTTTACTAACGGTGTCATAAGATGGAACAACAGTGCCCGATAATATTTGATTGTGGACAGAGTCAAATTCAGGAAGAAGTCCAGCAAGGGCAAGAACCATAAAAAATTTTTCACGTTGTTCAACATGTTTATCTGGATCATTAGTGAAAGGCATGAGTGCACTACAATCAACAATTAAGCGATTGAACTTACCAAGATAGGTCTGTATATCATGATTTTCTAGCTTCACAGAAATAAGGTTAGAGACAACATTGTAAAGGCGATGAACATCATTGGAGTATAGTTTCTTAGCTTTGTTCCAAACATCGTAACAGGTAGGAAAGACTTAGTATTGAGGCTGCAATTTGACATCAATGGAGAATTAGAGAACGCTACACAAAGAGGCATCAATTTGCTTCTATCAGGCTTGATCATTGCTGGGAATATCCTTGGCCTGTTTGGTCAAGTGGTCGTCACGACCTTGACCCTGAAACCATAGCTAGATAGCAGCAACCCAAGAGCTATAGTTGCCTGCCCCGGTCAGTTTTCACATGGAATCAGCGAAATAGTGGTAAACGTCATTGCAAGGGCGATATTCAAGTGTGAGCTGTCGGAAGTCATGGAAAATAAATCTGAAATAGGGCTACAAAGGGGTGCCGAGGTGTGAGGGCATGCCAGCAAGTGAAAAAACCCACAATCTGATACAAGTGCGTGAAATGCCCGCAAGTGTGGGCATGTGCGATGGCAGATTAGAGCAGTGAACGGAGCTTGGTGATCACCGGGGGAAGGTGATTCTAGTCGCAGTGCTCACTGGAGGAGAGGAATGCTTGGTGACAGAGGAAAAGGGCACAGTGGCCTTGGGTACTATTCACAAAAAAAAAACTAATGCAGATAAAAAAAAAACTAAACTACTAATACTATATATAAAAGTATGTTTGTTGAATGTATTATGTGTCTAATGCAGCCCACACAGTATAAATTTATACTAATTTATAGATTAAATATAATTAAGTTCTACCTAATAATCAAGAATCAATTATCTTAATTTTTTAGAATATGTAACTGTTAAATTTTTACAAATTTGTAATGGTTAATGATTAATTACATTCTAACAATGATTTTATGTAAAAATTTATTTCAACCAATGAACTTTAGTAATTATTTTGCTGCTAAATACAATGAGTTTTTTTCGATACAAGGCATCCTAAGGGCCAACCTCTCCTACCATTGCAATTGGGCAATCTAGTAATCCTGTAGCATTTGTTTTCTAAGTCTTCCTTTCTTGGACCTTGAATTCTTGATTTTGGTGTATATGACGATGACTCTCAAATAAAAGTCCAAAGCTTTACTCAATCTCTTGCACCATCTTTTTAAAATAATTAAGTTAAACATAATTCGTTTAAAATAAAAATATTAGTTATATTGAGATTAAAATATATTTTATTTGAATCAAAACATGTATAATTTATTGGAGACAATACTATTCAAGTTTAGTAGGATTACTATGAGTAGCAATTTTAAAAAAAAATATTTAACACAAGCATTTGCTGGAATTAAAATTAAGATTATAAGTTAAATTGGAACAACTTCCTACCCATAAATGCATGGGTTCAGTGGTAGAAGCTATTAATTATATTATCCAATATTAAATTAAATAAATTTAGAGTTCATTTAGTATCACAAATTATCAAAATAAAAAATTCAATTTTAATTAAAAATAATATAAAAATTATTGTGCTAATAAAAATTAGTATACATAATATTAATAAATTGATTGTTGAAAAAAATCAATTAATAGATTAAATATTAGCTTCAACTAATTTTTACATATGATGTAATCAATGTTATCTTGCCTTATTTTTTTATTATTATTATATATAGGTTTTAATTTTAATTTATTATCTTTGTAACCTTTTTATACTAACATTTATACTAATTTTTTACACTAAATGAGACATTTGAAGTATTTAAAAATAAAAATATAAAATAATATTATATTAATTTAAAGTAAAAACTCAGACAATTGAAAATATTAAAAATATAGTATTATGTAGATTTTTAGAGATTTTTATTAATATTAAAAATTATTTAAACTAAAAATAAAAATTCAGCTTATAAATAATGTGGATAAATATTTTACAAATATTTACTTTTTACGAGGTATCAAAACTTTATAACAAAAAGTCACCACGTCAATCACCCAAAAATTATTCCTCAGCATCTTTCATTATGTTACGAGTCGTAAAAATATAAAAACAATTTTGTTACCTAAATGTTAAAAAAGGGGTCCCAGGATTTTAGCAAAAAGCGTAAACCTAATCCCAAACGGGGGGCACGGAAGAAAGCATGCACCAATGGCATTGGAAAATGTTTTATGTTACAATGCACCAACCAAATTAACATAATATATAGATAGCACTCTTCTCTGTGTCTCTCTGCTCCTGCAAGTAAAATGGCAAGAGCAGCTTACAATCACCTTCACTTGGTTCCCAGTTTAGTTCATCCTTTGAAGTCACCCCTCTTCAGAAATCACACTCTTTTCACCTCACACACTCGCCTCTATGGTATTCAACGAAGGTTCTCTTCTTCTTCATCCAAGATAAGCATGAGTCTCAAGGCTGGCATCGTTGGCCTCCCCAACGTTGGCAAGTCCACTCTCTTTAATGCCGTTGTAAGCCTCTCTCTCTCTCTCTCTCGATATATTTGGTCCAAAACGAGAAGAAACTAAAAAGCTCTTATTTTTTTTGCATCCGGGTATTCCTCGAAATGAAGGGTCTTTGTTCATTCCGTTCCCATTCATGCAGTTCATGGGTAACTCATTTGGGTATTTAATAAAATGATGGGTAGGTATTTGAGAATGCTTATAAGTGAAGTTACTTCGGGGAACAACTTTGTGAATTGAATGGCTCTTTTTGAGACACAACATTTTGCTTTTGATGGTTTCCCTAATGATACGAGCTTAGCTGTCCACACTTTATGTGAATTATAGATGGAATGCTTGTTGTTGATTCATGGTTTTTTAAATTCTTAGAATTGACCCTGATTTAGATTTAGTATTGATTTTGCACTTATTTGTTGTTTGGAGTGGTGATCTTCGTGTGTTCCTCTATGTAACACTTATATGAAAAAAATGGTGATGCCCTTCGTGTTTTGCTTAATGCTAATGCTAATGCTAGAGCTACCAAGGAGATATACATGTGTACTGTTGGTGTTTGTTGTATTCAGATGACGAAGGGTCACGCAACGTTGTTAACTTCGCTGCTTTATTTTGTACATGCAATATAAATGGGAGTGCACTTGCTGAGAAGATTGTTTAGATTGCTTGGAAAAAAGCTAAAGTAAGATATAAGTAATTGTTGTGAGATATTCTTGGGATTTGGGTTGATATATTTTTGTAATAATTCAGTATCAGAAATCAGATTATTATAAATTCTGATTTTGATTAGATCATAGGAGATTTTATATTTGTATTTATTTCTTACTTGATTTTATAGCAGATTGATTTCCTTTTTAAGGAACGAATTCTTCTAATAAATCATTGAGTTGTATCTCGAATAAAACATAAGAGAAATAATTATATCTTTTCCTTTTTGATATAAAAAATTATTCTTTTTCCTTTCTGGTATGGTAACAGAGCTTTGACTCTAAATCCTGCCTTCTCCAAATGGCGATGACTGGTGCCACCTCTATTGGTAAAACTACCCCTGATGTGAAACAACACCACCTTCACCACCGGCGGGTGAGAGTTGGAGACGGAGTGGAGTGATGTTAATACAAGCCCTCCTTCATAATTTAAATTTCCTACTCATCTGGGAAGATCTAATCAGAAGAGTTAGTTATAGTTTCTAGAATAATGTCACCTCATGGTCATGGAAATCAAAATCGAGCTTTAAGCAAGAAATGTGCAAAGATTTGTTGGAAATGTGTTTTACAATCTGCCACTTTAAGCAAGAAAGGTGTTCGTACTTCATATTTTGCTCATGAATGTTTGATTGCAAAGATTTTCTTTACTGTAGTTATTAAAGCGAATAGTAAATGTGCATAGCTTGTTTGAATTCCTTTCCAATCGTCCAAAGATTTGTAGAGTACCAAAGTATTCTATGTCAAGGAGTCCTGTTGACAATAAAAACAAAATAATATATGGTTTACTGTTCGTAGTGTGCTACAACATTTTGTATAAGTGCTTAGTAAATGCTCCTAAGCTTGTAAAGAGGACATTGAAATTAAATCTAAGTGCGAACTTTCCAATGGGTTCTTTTTATACTTCCAAATAGGCTTTCTTACTTGTGATGGGGTGACTTGTATTTGAATGGCTACTATTTAAAAATATATATGTCATTATCATATTAGCTTTAAGTTTGCAATATCTGCATATGCCTCTGTGTAATCAACTGACTAGCAAAATATTGTGAGGGATTTTTGGTTTAATTTCTTTTCTATGTTTTGTCTGATTGTTCTATTGATGTTTTGTGTGCGTGTAGCTCCAGTTCCCAAAGCTATAAATAATAATGTATCCTTTTAATATATAGTGATCTTGTATGTCTAGGTGGAAAATGGAAAGGCTCAAGCTGCTAATTTTCCATTTTGTACAATAGAGCCAAATGTAGGGATTGTTGCTGTTCCAGATTCCCGTCTCAATGTGCTCTCCGATCTTAGCAAATCTCAACGAGTAGTTCCAGCATCAATAGAATTTGTAGATATTGCTGGGCTTGTCAAGGGTGCAAGTCAAGGCGAGGTTTTTTATAAGTTCTCTTCTCCTTGTTTTTGGTCTCAACAATCACCTAATTTTTTATCTGTTTCAATGACTTGTAATATTTTTTTGTGTAGAAAGTTAACATGTGCATTGCTTTGATCTCTATTCTTATCTCGACTGTTGCAGGGACTGGGTAATAAGTTTTTATCACATATTCGTGAAGTGGATTCTATACTTCAGGTGTTCATCTATCATCATTTCCATGTCATCATTATCTTACATAGTTACTTCTATTTTTTTAATTCTATGTCTTCCCTTTTCTATGTACTAGTTTAGTAGCTATGTATATTCAATCAGAACTTGGGAGTTTAGAAAAATCTGCATGTGCTAAAACATATGGGGTAGTTTTCATTCCCTTTTCTGATTTATAATGGTTATGGATCTATTGACTATGACATTAGGTTGTAAGATGTTTTGAAGACAATGACATTGTTCATGTGAATGGGAAAGTTGACCCCAAGTCTGATATTGATGTCATCAACTTGGAGCTTGTTTTCTCAGACCTGGACCAGGTCAGTTTCCTAGCCATCTTTCAATGCAATTTTACTGCCTTTGTTTCCTTTTGTTGAGCGAGATGAGAGAAACGAGGCACAAGTGGAATCTGTGTATCTCAATACACAATAGAGCTAGTTATTTATACTGAGAACACAAAAAATACTTGATCAACTGTTATATAAAATCATGCTAATTATGTGATTAATATAATTACACAATTTCCCTATTTGTCAAATTTATGCTATTTATATTATTTACTACACTCTCCCTCAAATTAGAGCATATAAATTGTATGTGTAGAATTAAGAGGTAGAGAGCATAGAGAGAGACAGATTAGTGTGCTGGAATTGGATGTTCTACAATGTGTAGAGACCCTTATATTTATAAGGATACATATGTAATCCTACTGGGCCAAGCCTGTTATTATTAATCATGCTCAACTTGTTACAAATATAATTGCTACATGTTTCATTTAAAGCCTGTGTAAACAAACTGCTAGTTGGACGCTTGTCCTAACATGAGAGATGGATATAAGCTTCTGCTGAACTTTTTCTCGAACAAAGTGACAGTCTATCTTAATATGTTTTGTCCGTTCATGAAAAACTGGATTTGAGACGATGTGTATCATTGCCTAGTTATCATACCAAAGTTGCATACGCTTAGTGCTACCAAATCCCATCTCTTACAGCATATATTTCAACCACATTAACTCACAAGTAGTCTAAGCCATCGTCCTGTATTCTGAATCTGCACTTGATCTCAATACAACGTTCTGCTTCTTACTTTTCCACAAAATTAAATTACCTCCCAAGAACACACAGTATCCGGTAGTAGATTTTTTGTCTATAGGTCCTGCCCAATTAACATAAAAAAACGCCTCTATTTGTGCATGTCCATGATCTTTGCACACAATTCCTTTTTTTTGTGAGATGACATAAACTGGCTAACAACACTCACTGGAAAAGCAATATTTGGCCTTGTGACAGTCAAGTAATTTAGCTTACCTACTAATCTTTTGTATTTCTATGGATCTGCAAAAGGAACTCCATTTGCTGTTAGTTTCACTCTTAGCTCCATAAGTGTCTCAAATGATTTAGCTCTTTTTAGTCCAATCTCAGTCAGTAAGTTTAAGACATATTTTTTCTGTAAAAGAAAAATTCCTTACTTAGAGTACATGACTTCAATACCCAAGAAGTATTTCAGAATTCTTAAGTCTTTTGTCTAAAATTTGGTTTGAAGAAATTTTCTTAGATTGCTGATTCCTTCTTTGTCGCTACCTGTAATAACAATATCATCAACATAAACAACCAAGTAAAATACAACCACAGTTAGTCTATTTGTAAAACACTGAATGATCACTCTCACTCCTCACTAATCCAAATTCGAGAATCACATTACTGAATCTCCCAAACCATTCTCTAGGTGATTGTTTCAAGCCATATAATGATTTCTTTAAATGACACACTCTTCCACACTACTCTTGAGCAACAAAGCTAGGTGGTTGCTCGATGTACACCTCCTCCTGCAAGTCTTCATGTGAGAATGCATTCTTGACATCTAACTAGAATAATGGCCAATGATGCATAGCCGCAAGAGAGATGAAGATGCGAACAGATGAGAGTTTAGCAATTGGAGAAAATGTATTAGTGTAGTCAATGCCATAAGTTTGGGCATACCCTTTTGCAACAAGTCATGCCTTCAAACGAGCCACAAAACCATCTATATTAACTTTCATAGTGTAAACCCACTTGCAACCAATAGCTTGTTTTCCCTTGGGAAGAGAAACTAAATCCAAAGTATCATTAGTCTTGAGCCAACATTTCTTCCTCCATAGCATGTCTCTAACCATCATGACTGAAGGCATATGCAAGGGTCGTAGGAATAGAAAGAGAGTTTACACCAACCATGAAGGATTCAGATGTAGAGGATAAATGAGCAGACGTCATATAAGATGAAATAGGATAAGTGCAAAATCTCTTACCTTTACGGATAGCAATAGGAAGGTCAAGATCAAACATAAGATTTGTTGACATTTGAGGAGATAATGGTAGAGATTGAGTATCCTCTTGAATATCATTAGCCATGGGAGGCGCATCATTTGAAGGCTGTTTTGGCCAGCGAGAGTATGTCCGCTCAAAGAACTTGAAACCTGTATCAATAGGAGCCAGAGGTGCAACAGGATGTGTGGATTGAACAAGAGTATAAGTTAAGAAAGGTTCATCTACCTCATACATGGACTTAGAAGATGAGGACTTGAAGAATGAAAGACTTTCAAAGAAAGACACATAAGAGAAAATAAGATAATGACCAAGATCAGAAGAAAAACAACGATAACCTTTCTGTGACTAAGAATAACCCAAAAACACACATTTTAGGGACATTGGATCAAGTTTAGTTACTTGAGGATGAACATCAAACACAAAATAAGTGCAGCCAAAAACTTTAGGAGATAAAGATAAAAGAGATTATGATGGAAAAAGTATAAAGTGGGGAATCTCACTATGTAACACAGATGATGGCATGCAATTAATTAAATGTGCAATAGTAAGAACAAGATCAGCCCAAAAAAGTTTAGAAACTTTCATTTCAAACATTAAAGCACGGGTTACCTCCATAAGATAACGATTTTTACATTCAGCTACTCTATTTTGTTGTGGGGTAACAATACAAGAATACCAATGAAATATGCCATGTTTATTCATAAAATTAGTGAAGGATGCAGAAAAATATTCTTTAGCATTATCACTTCTAAGAAATATACAAATATTAAATTGAGTTTTAATTTCAGCACAGATATTACAAAATATAGAAAAGACTTCAAATCTGTATTTCATAAAAAACAGCCATGTTACATGAGAATAATCATCCACAAAGGTAATAAAATATTTAAAACCAGATTTAGAAGTAATTGGACAAGGGCCCCAAACATCAGAATAAATAATTTTAAAGGGGGCACAAGTCCTTTTATTTAAATGAGGTAAATAAACATTACGATGATATTTAGCAAATTGACATGACTCAATAAAAATTAGACTTTATAATAGAACATAATTTCCTAAGAACTCTTAAAGATGAATGACTCAGACAACAATGAAGTTGGAAAGAAGACACTTTTTTATTCCTAGAAGCAATAGAAGCTTGCGGAAGTCTTTATTCTTCCAATAGATACAGCCCATTAGATGCCTTACTTCTACCAATAATCCTCTGTGTTAGAAGATCTTGAAAAACACAAGAATAAAAAAAGAATGTTATTAAGCAATTTAATGATGAGGTGAGTGAAAAAACAATTGATTTTGTGGAGGATGAGTGCACTAATTCTGATAATGGTCAAATTTGCTACAGTTGTAGCACTGTACAATATCACGATCTCCACTACGCCCACGGCCACGACTACCTCTTCCACCACAGTGACTATCACGGTGACTGTATTGGGGTGCAAAGGCAAAGTGGTCAGGAGACTCATTTTCAGTAGTGCTCTTGAGTTCCTCAAAGGAAGACTGCATAACTTTGGAGAAGACATCGGTAAGTTATCAACCTGCTTACTTGACATAATCTGAGACTGAACTACCTCATATTCTTGATCAAGTCCGGAGAGTCAACTCAAAGCCATGAGTTTCTTTTGATGCCCCATCATCTCGTCAATGATTTTGCAGGTTAAAAGAGATTGTATCTCTTCAGTATGCTTCTTAAACTCCAAAAAATAGTCCATTAGCTTTCGTTTATTTTGTTTGGGTAGATAAATTTCCTGCAAGAAAGCATACAACTGATTTAAATTATCAGATTTTCCAAAAATAAATTGCAAATACCACAGAGTATACTAGTAATGCAAGGATCTTTTTGTCTCGTATTGTCCATGTGTCAACATCTTTAGGATTGACAATTGCCATTTCAGTCAAATGATTGTCCTTTCCCATTCCACCAGGCTAATCTCAACCAAATACTTCCACTCCATATAGTTCGTACCATCTCCATCCAGCTTAACATCAGTAAGTTTGGATAGAGATACAATCTCCGTAACAGCCCCTTGTGTTGCGCATTCTGCACATCCTGGCTATAACGTTCAGACATTGTATATCCACAAACAGTGATGGAATTGCCTGGGTTTCGTCTCAATGGCTAGAAAGAAACTTTCATCCCCATAGCAGCCATGGTTGACCTTTTTCGAAGTTGCTATTTTTTTTTTGTTTTTGGCGGCAGTGGTGACGATGGCGTTGGTGGCGGCGGCAGCTGCAGTGGCAACGAAGGAGGAATCCTAGAAGGCTCTTGATACCATGTAGAATTAAGAGAGAGAGCATAAAGAAAGAGAGAGACAAATTAGTGTATTGGAATTGAATGCTCTACAATGTATAGAGACCCTTATATTTATAAGGATACATATGTAACCCTATTAGGCCAAGGCCATTATTATAATACTAACAAAAACCTTAATCCTAACACGTCTATTATTGCTATTCATAACAGTATGCACCCAGTTTGACACATATAATTGATGCGAGGATACCTTTGTGACTTAATGAAGATATCTGCTAGTTGATCATTAGAATGGAGAAAGTTAGTGAAAGTATCTCCAAATAAGACCTTCTTTCAGATGAAATGACAATTTATCTCAATGTGTTTGGTTCTAACATAAAACACTAGGTTTGAGGTTATATATCTATATATTGGGTAGCTTAATTATCACAGATGATTTGATTAGCCTCTCCCAGTTCAGTATCTTAAGTAGCTATTTGTGCCAAATAACTTATTGGTAGAATGGTAGCTGAAGCCTTGGCTCACTCCTCAACTCCTACACTTGATCTTGCAACAACATTCTACTTCTTATTCTTCTACGGGATTATCACCAAAAAATACACAATACTCAGGTGAATCTCCTATTTGCAGGAGAGCTTGTCTAATCTACATTAGAATATCCCACAACTTGAATACGTCTTCATACAAAAGACCTATTCCTAGAACTCCCTTGACATATTTTATTAAGCAAACAATTGTATACCAATGTTCTTTAAAAGGACAATTG